ATCTTGCTCAGGGAATTAGGGTTGCCAAGAGCACCACAGTGTAGCCCGAAGAGCTCCAGAGTAAGAGACCTTAAGAAAACGACAGCTTGGTTATGTGCCAGAACATGGATGGTGCCGCGTTAGACTATATCTTCCTCCTAATGTTTTATCAACGCGGTTGCTTTTTGCAGTTAAGGAACTGCAAAGCTTCGGAAGGGATGCTATGTTTTCATACTGGAAAAGAGAGCAAAGATCACACACACCCTCCCTCCGCAACCGTTCATATTTCAGGAGCACGTGCCCGTTTTAAAAACGGTTGTGCGTTGTTCCTTAGAAGGGACAAAATCACAAGAGGCAATGGGAAGTTTCTGATGAATCCATCAGGGCCTTGTCCGTCAACATGTAGTACATCATCATTGGCCTTAAGTCACATCTAAGAATTGGGGTTTGACAAAGAAAGCTGAGCATATTAAGATTAAGAGAAAATAGGACAAGCAATAATTACAAATTGAATTTACTTTTTACTTTTTTTCTTACAAGCTGCTGAACTATAAAGAACCTGGCATCTCTTTCATTTTGCCTGTTTATGAGGAGCAGGGGGGAAACAGGAAGACATTAAAAAAACCCACCTGACTGCGTATTCAACTAAATCCTACTCAGAGTAGACCTACTGAAACGAATCACTAAAACAACCACCACATATGGCACAGTGAATGCAAAGGGAGCTCAAAGGTGCTTTTAGATGGGTGTGTGAAAACATTCTAAGAGCTACAATGCCAGCCAGAAGCATTTCTGAGCTGCTTTTTATGTGAATTATAACAAGAAACACCTGTTTAAATATGGTGCTTGTTTTTGTTTCAGTACAGGAAGCCACCAATAGAATTTTAGAGCACCTTCTACGAATCCTGCTCCCTGTCCCAGAACTGATGTCACTATACAGCATTCCTGGAAACTGGGGAACAATGTCTTGGGTCTCATCATCCCTGAAATTTGTGGTAATGATGACTGTAAAGGGATCATCTACTCTTGGGGCCACCACTGCTGCTGGTGTGATGGTTTCTGTCTTGGAAGTCATAGTGACATGAACCCTTTATATAATATGTGGTGATGTCAGTTTTCGGAATATGTTGGATCCATAGTTCCACGGACAACCTCTGCATCATCTCTCCAGCTTGAGAGAAATGGAGTCAACTGTTGTGCAAAGCTGCACAGATTTTTCTTGACCAGGTACAAATTTTCTTCATGCTTACCTCTAACTCTGACTTTAGCCATTATGCACTCCACATATCCCCCAAATGTATTGTTTAATTTAAATACTACCTTTCTCCCAATACAAGAACCAAGGCAGCTCACAGCATAAATGAAAACAGATACAGCTAAAACACACACAATCTATATAAATATTAAAGACAAAAAACAAATAAGTAACCCTAGTAAAGCAGCACTGGAAACGTTTAAACCCATTTAAAAGCACAACAGATTAAAGAATTTAAATGTACAACACTTGCCCTGCCACAACAGTCAGTTGAGGGCTAAGGGCCTGTCTGAACAAAAAAGGCTTTTGCCTTCCAGCGAGAAGAAAGCAGAGAGGGAGACAGCCTAGCCTCATGTGGAAAGGAGTTCCACAATCTTGGAGCAGCCACCAAAAAGGCCCTCTCTCCTGGCTTCACCAAAGGTTACAGTAATTCAAACGGCATGTAAATAAAGCATGTATCACCAGGGCTAGCTCAGAAATCTCTGGAAACAGAAACCCGTAACCACAAATCTCAGTGTGTGTTGTTAAATGCAGATATGTAGTATGGTTACAAGCCACTCTGCCAAGCGGTAGCAAGAGATTCTAGATAAAGCCAGAGTTTAAAAAGTAGAGATTTGGGTCTGCGATGTGACCTAGAAGTAAAGCAGCAAGCTGGAGAGAGTTTCAGAGAGCAATGTTTTACATCTGTTTGAATCCAAGGCTGCAGCTAGGGGAGAAACAAGAGTATTTTGGGGTGGGAATGGCCCTCCATCACTGTATATATGTGTAAATAAACCATATATCATAAAGACTCCACCGTCTCCACTGTGCCTCATCCCAAAAGGAAGCATGAACCCTGCACAGGTGTCTGGAACTCCTGGAACCTTGCACTGCTACAAGACTGGGGTGGAGTGTAGGGTTGCCATAAGTCAGGAATTTCCAGGACCTTGCCGGGATTCAGCCATCAGAAACAGTGTCTGGGCGGAAATCGCTTTAATGTCTGGGGAAATCCAGACGTATGGCAGCCTATGTTGGAAGTGTAGAATTTGGCAACCCTAGTGGCGTGCAACAGTATAATAGAAGTGGTTTCCTGCATCTTGTCCCTAAGCAGATACAGTGGTACCTCAGGTTACATACGCTTCAGGTTACAGACTCTGCTAACCCAGAAATAGTGCTTCAGGTTAAGAACTTTGCTTCAGGATGAGAACAGAAATCGTGCTCCGGCAGCCCGGCGGCAGCAGGAGGCCCCATTAGCTAAAGTGGTGCTTCAGGTTAAGAACAGTTTCAGGTTAAGAACGGACCTCCGGAACGAATTAAGTACTTAACCTGAGGTACCACTGTACTCAGCTAAGAAGTATATAAGTCTCCCAGCTGAGTATCTGATTGGGAAAGGATTGGCCTGGGGTGGTGAAACTCACTTGTTTTCATCAGCCTCCTGAACACAATGGTCAGCTAGGAAATCTAGACATCTTATAACAAAATATTAGGAGTAAACTGCTGAGTGCATGAATATAACAAGAGAACGACAGCATCTACCCCATCCCAAATAATGGCTTCTGGAAGGTGTGTTTTGAGCTGAGAGGAGCTTAGCTCTTGACGTATCCCTGCTTTCAATTGCCGCTTCTCAAAGTGGCTTTTCAAGCAAAAGGAATACAGGGGGATGTCAAGCTTTAATTACACACATTTGCATGTAACCTGTAGTTTGGCCACTGTATTCCGGAAGCTGTAGGGGAGTGCAGTTTTATTCAGTTGTGCAGATACTCATATCTGAAACCCAAACTCCAATGTAAATACTGTATCAGTTCTGCAGCCAGCCCACACAGCATTTGTGAAAATCGAATCTGTGCTCCTTTGCAGTTTAGAATGGGCTGGAGAAAATTGCCTACAGTACCCAAGGCAAAATGGGCATGCACAAAGCGCCTTCCGCCATCTCTCCCCCCCCCCCCCGTTTTGCTATCCTCAGTGAAAGAGTTCTCTTGTAGAACAAAGCCATGCAAGGTGTTATTCTTAATGCACTCTCAGCTTCCTCTTTTCATATTCTATAGGCTTTATGTTTCTCTTTCATTCTCAAAGTATTAACTGAGGACTTGCAGCTTGCATTTACAAGTGACAGATTTGAACCAGGGAGACAGAGGGGGAAAGGGCTGTGCTATATGAGTTTTTATTTTTATTTTTAAGAATCCCCTTCATGGCACACCTAGAGAAGCAACTTCAAAGGGGGAAGAAATAACTTGCATTTCAACACCACCACCACCACACATCTTTCCAGCTTTTAAAATGTTCTGCTTGCCTATCAGAAACCCTCACGAACCTATAAGAAACTTCTTGGCCAGTGTCTTTTAGACATAGGGCATGGTGCTGAATACAGGGATTGGTTGTGCAATGGAATACATCTGAGCTGATCTAGTTTAGGCATGCCCAGAAATATTGCATAGGAACAGCCACTGCTCCCATCAGAGCTTTTAGGCTCTAACCCAGATATAGGCATCACACACAACAAGACAACTGGGACAGATCTCCATTAACTCCAGCGTGAGAAACTGGCTCCCCATCCCCGTTCTTCTTACCTGATAAGACGACATGGGGGCAAAGAATAATTGGACTTGTTGTTGGTTAAGTATCTCTCCAAGGTCCAGCTAATGTGGGTACCTCTCTCAGCTCCAGCTCCCTCCCTTAGCTGGCTGGCTTTCTGGTGACTAGGCTAAGGCGTTTCCCTTCCCATCTCACCTTTCCAGTTTCACTACATTGATAATAAAGGGCAGAGTCATCAGAATGCTCACTCCCCATTAACTCTTTGTGATGCTGACGAGAGGCTGGCAAGCACACAAGACCCACAGTCTTGTCCCTTGTGCTCACAGGCAGATCACACAGGGCAACCAGGTTAATCAAAACACGGTTTATTGAAATATGTTGGTTTTACAAATTAAAAAGAAGGGAGAGGGTCAAAGCAAGCAAATATAATTTATATGGTCCTCTGAGAGTTAGCTAGTTTGGGTCAGCATTACATTCCAGAGAGTTACGTCCAGGAAGCTTTGAAACAAGCTGTGAGGCTGATTCCTACGCTACAAAACCCCTGCACAGAAAATGCTTCGGTGAAGGAATTAACATGGAGCCTGTAAACAGAAGGCCATATGTGAAATCACATAAACAGTTATATTTTGTTGTACATATGGGCAAGTGCACAGTTATACACCAAGCAGGTACGGCCAATCGCAACTTCCTACCATGTGTACGCACAAAGCAAATACATGAATGTACACAGACGTTGTGTGTCAATTTATCCAGTGGACATGTGGTAAATCCCTATTCTGTGTCTACTAGCAAGCAGAATCAACCCATTTGTTGTGGGCCCATTATAATAAGTCGTAATAAGCTCTTGAGCTGAATACCAGTGCCAATGCATTATCTGGCAACATTCACATTTCAGCATGTAGCTTTGATGGGGGACTCCTTTGAGAAGACAATATGGGGTAGGAGGCAAAAACTCTCAGTTCCCACCCCTCAAAATGGCCCGCCAGCCATCGCTGTTATCACAACGCCAACCCACTCTTTCACTTCTGAAAAGGACTGGAAGGGCCAAAGAGTGACCCTCAGAGGGATGGATTTGGCTGCATGGGGAGGAGGACAGATTCAAGAAATAATGCAATCTACATTTTTATCACATTGACAAGGTGCTACGTGGGTGAAGGAACAATTAACATGGAGTTTTGGCAAATCAGCATTTGGACAGAAGGGCTTTCTCTTTATTGAGTTCTCTCTTCACCCTGTTTCTGCTCCAGACCTGAGTTTATTCCAAAGGGATAGATTTAACGAGATGTTGTGGGAAAATTCCTTTCAGTAGCATATTCTGGTTCTTCTTCCAGTCTTTCTCCTTTATACCCATCAGGAATCCCTTTTCCTAGAAAAAAGAAAGAAAAATCCCCCACTCTTAGTCAGGTTAACAAGACCTTTCCCATCACTACAGCCCAGAGAGTCTTCTCAGCATAGGCAATGTGCTTAAAAGCCAGTAAGTTTATTAAATGGCTCCTGCATGGAAGACACCATGTGCAGATGTGCTCATCATATTGCATGGCTACAAATCATTCAACACATCACACAATGTAGTTTTCAGAGCAGAATTCAAGGCTCACCATCTTAATTGATGATGATGATTCACAAGAGCATAAAGTAGCATAATTCCCCCCCCAGTCTCAAAACTTCACATAAAAACTCCAAATTTGGATTTCAAAATCTAATATTTCTGAATGCATAGATTTGTTTTTGAAGCACATTACATCTCTCTCTCAACACACACACACACACACACACACACACACACACACACACTATATTTGCACAAGTCTGTTGTCCTGTTGGTGACAGGTTGTGCAAGCTCCAGGATGAGGGAAGCATTTGAGACAGGCAGGCGTCAGGGCAAGTGCGTGGGGCAGAAGATGAGTGAACTGGGCTTGTGGCAGCAAGGAAAGCAAGTAGCAGATAGGCAAGCAAGCAAACTGGGCTTTGGTGGGGGTTGAAGCAGGTGAGTGAATTCGCCTTGAAGCGGTGAGTGGACTGAGGAAGTCGGGGAGCCTGATGGTGCAGGCAAACGGAAGAGATTGGGTGAAGAATAAGGGAATGGGCTTAGGGCTCATTTATTCCTGTGCTTCCTGTTTCATATCCAGTTCCTGATCCACAGGAGGACCTCACCTCTTTCTCTAAGACTGTTGTGCACAATTTTGGTTTGTCTACACAGAGGCATACAGAGGAATTGCTTGAAAATCACTCCCAAGTCTTTAATATACAGTAATTGTAATTCATTTGTTATTTTTTTGGTTGCATTTATTTTTTGCAAAAAACGAAAATGAAATAAAGTGAAATATAATGAAATGTGACAAGAAAACTGGTGTAGATACAGCCTAACAGCAGACTTAGGTAAAGGTAAAGGGACCCCTGACCATTAGGTCCAGTCGTGACCGACTCTGGGGTTGTGGCGCTCATCTGGCTTTATTGGCTGAAGGAGCCGGCGTACAGCTTCCGGGTCATGTGGCCAGCATGACTAAGCCGCTTCTGGCAAACCAGAGCAGCGCACGGAAACGCCATTTACCTTCCCGTTGGAGCGGTACCTATTTATCTACTTGCATTTTGATGTGCTTTCGAACTGCTAGGTTGGCAGGAGCAGGGACCGAGCAACGGGAGCTCACCCCGTCGCGGGGATTCGAACCGCCGACCTGCTGATCAGCAAGTCCTAGGCTCTGTGGTTTAACCTACAGCGCCACCCGCGTCCCTTGTAGGGTTAGGATTAGACAAATTCACAGAGGACTTGCCTACCTACCCTTAACAGCCCTGAAAGCTATGTGGACCCTTCATGTTCAGAGGCAGCATGCCAGATGGGACTCACTTCTGAGTCGAGTTGTGTAAGACTCAATGCTGAAATCCAGGGGGCGGGCGCATGGAGATAATACTAATTGCTGGTGGCTTGCCTAAGGCACCCTATGGGGCTGATGCCAGATTTGAATGGTGTACTTCCTGATTCATAGCTGCCCCTTTAGCTGCTATATTACACTAGCAGAAAAAGGAAATAAATACACGTTCAGTGGCTTCTGTATAAAAGGATTTCCAAATGGTTAAAGTTGCAACGCGTAGCATGTCGATTTGCCTTTAAATGTTCTGCCTTTGTAGGAAGCAAATGATCAGTGCTGTTGGTGTGGAGAGAAGGGTGTGAAGGAGAGTTAATAATTGATAGAAGACAGTGGGTAGGGGAACACGCATGTAAATAGACTTAACACACGGCAGCAGCAGTGGCAGCAGCTCTGCCTGCAGTTCCTGTTCCACGCAGAGAGCAGAGAATGCAACAAGGTCAGGTGGTGCTTTCTATGAAACAACGGGGTCATGCCCCATAGTTATCAGAAACCCAATGAGGTTCTATTGTTTACACACACAAAAATCCAAAATATGCTCCACTCATCATGACCGGCACTAAAAAAATAATCAGTGCCAACATTTCTACGCCAATGGAACCCAAATTCTGCACCACGGAAAACTGAGTTATTGACCCCATTATAAACTAAGTAAATTATAAACACAGGGTGTGCAGTTGTGTATTCTGATGTAGAGTCTGCATGACTGTGGGGCTGGTATCTTTCCTCCATCCCCCCCGGCCCCAAATGTGCAAAGCCTTGCATGGGACGAAGAGCCACAGTTCCTTAGTTCTTAGTGTGTCTGACCTCACAACACCTCTTTCTTTGCCCCTGGGAGACAATGACCTAGTTGCTTCCTAGATGCGGTGTTGAGTTACGACTTTTGATAAATTATAGACAAGGTCATCCCTTGGGTGACAGAATTCTGCAGGGCCCACAAGTGCCCAACTGTCCCCGCCATCGCTGGTCTTGTGTGGCTGCAGCGGCTGCTTCCAGAGAGATCTCACTAGAAGTTGCCACTGCACGACCCCTTTAAGCAAGGTTGCGGGGGGGAGGGGGAGAAATGGGCAGTGAAATGGAATGGCCTCGGTCCAGTATACCTGAAGGAGTGTCTCCACCCCCATCGTTCAGCCCGGACACTGAGGTCCAGTGCTGAGGGCCTTCTGGCGGTTCCCTCACTGTGAGAAGCCAAGTTACAGGGAACCAAGCAGAGGGCCTTCTTGGTAGTGGCACCCGCCCTGTGGAACGTCCTCCCAGCAGATGTCAAGGAAATAAACAACTATCTGACTTTTAGAAGACATCTGAAGGCAGCCCTGTTTAGGGAAGCTTTTAATGTTTAATAGGTTATTGTATTTTAATATTCTGTTGGAAGCCGCCCAGAGTGGCTGGAGAGGCCCAGCCAGATGGGCGGGGTATAAGTGGTAAATAATAATAATAATAATAATAATAATAATAATAATAATAATAATTGGTTGCCAACCTTTGATTTAAAAAATCCTGGCCTCCTTCATGGACCTAAGATGCAGCTCCACGGACTAGGCATGGAAGTTGTCCCAAACTGGAGGGTCAGAGTCTGCACCCTGGAAGTACTTGGCAAGTCAGTGGGGGCATAGGTGGGGGAGCATCTATAAGGGTGCTCTCTCTCAAAAATAAATGGGTTGCCTTTTCCAGACAAGATGACAAGACAGCTTAAAAAATGGCTAGTGCCATTATTTAATGGACTACTGGGCAGAAAGTAGATCAGGGTCTACTGGTAGCTCTCTGGGTGATTTGATGGAAATTGGTAATGGTTTAAGACTCCCAATGGTTGAACAATGACAACAACAAGGGACTTCCGGGGAGGCGCCTCCGGCAATGGCTGAATTCCTCCGATCGGGAGGAATTTGCTCCATGAAAAGCAGGGTCTGACCGCCACGGTGAAGGCGGAGAGCCATAGAAATCACAGGCGGGAGAAGCCTGTGAACCTGGGATTCGGCTGGCACCCTTTGCGCCTCCCCTACTCGCGGGGAAACCCTGTTTTGGGGATCCGGAGCGACGTGGGGTGAGCGGCGCGGTGCTTTGAATCGACCGCTTCTTTCACGGAGTGAAATTGCTGTTGCCGGAGAGCGCTGACTTTTTCCTGTGGACAATTGGATTTTAAATGACTACCCGTGAGTAGAACGGAGAATTGGATCTTGAAACACTTTAATTTGGTGCTGAAGCGGGAAGGCTCTAAACAGGAAGTCCGCCTCCCGTTTTGTAAATAGATTGAAGCAAAGACATTACAAGCTAAAGTCTTTGAAAGTTTTTGATAAAGGATTAAATTCCCACCGGACAAAAATATATAACCCCTCTTGGAAGCAGGAGAAGAGAGGGGAAGTTTTGGATTTAGTGTGCCTGCAGAAGAGAGTCAAAATTAAATTGCCACTGCTCTGAACCTGGAAAAGGGCTGCCAGATGACGTTCGGGGAATGTTTATTGACAGAACGGATTTGACAGCTAGCTAAAATAAGAAAGGTACTGTTTCCATTGTCCTCTTCTGCGTTTAAAAATGGAGGAAAAAGTAACCGAAAATTGAAACTATTGTTATTTGCTTGAGTCGTGCCTGAAAGAATTGATACAAACGGAGACTGTTTCCCTCTAGAGGGAGCATGTGAAACTGTTAACAGTAGTGCAACAGGGAGATCTCCAGCTGCAAGATAAGATTCTGAAAACTAGAGTTTGACCTTGGATCATTCAAAATGCTGATAGGAGAAGCTATTGTGACTGTATTATACAAGATAAACTACTCGCTGGAACAGCTCCATAAAAAGACAGATGATACGATCTCTAAAATTGACAACTTGGAACAGAACGTGATTAATTTGAGTCAAAAAGTGAGTGTTAATACAGAAACAATTCAGGATGATGTGAAAATGATGGAGAAAAAGGAGAAAGCTGATGATGTGAAACCAAAAGTAGTACAAGCGGGATCCTTAATTTCTCAGAAGCAAATTGAGGATTATAAATTGAGGTCTTTCATGACTGAATCTAGCAAAAGTCAAATTTTGAGGCTAGGATCCCGGCTTGGATTGAAGAAGGAAAGTTGGAAAGAACCCTCTATCCAGGGATTGACTGACTTTGGGGATATGGAACAGGGTTTGGAGGAGCTTGAAGCTTTGGGGGTCGCTAGAATTGGAGGAATCTTGAAATACGTTCTGAAACACTCTATGGACTTTATTTTCAATTTTGGAAATTTGGCTGAACTGTCCAGAAGGAACAAAAGTATTGCTAGGCTGGAGTTTTCTCGAGATATGCTCCTGAGTATCAAAGAATATGAAGAAGACCTGCAGAAGGGACTTGGAAGAGATTTAAGAGCCTCGGATATAAGAACACCAGGTTGATGGATTATATGGAACTGACGGAAAGGACTGGCAGAATCCGAAGCCAGGGAGAGGAGATAGTGGAAGATTACTGGAAAATTTAAAGTGTTTATTTAGAAATTTTGTTAAAGTAATGACTGTTAGAAAAATGGTGGAATGATATTTTATGGATTTAGGATAAATGCTATAAGAAGTTGGGTGTATATAAGCAATTTACCTTTAATGGGAAATAAGGTTAAAGAATATGTTACTTATAATATGACAGAAAATAGAGAAAGATGGAAAGGATTTGCTGAAACAAGTATTAGAAGTGGGATACAAAAAGGGAGGTGTGAGGAAGTCGAGGAAACAAGGGAATGAAGGACAGAGTATGGAAAAGGAGGGATGTTTTTAAAATTGTTTTTGTCTTGTTTTGTTTATGTGCTTAGTTTAATGGGTTTAGGGTGGGTTTGTATTGTTTATATATTGTATTGTTCTTGTTTTTCTTTTTTCTTGTCTTTTTTTTCTTATTTCTTTCTAGTCTTTTCTCTCTTTCTTCTACTTTTTTGTAACTTTTAAAAGCAATAAATATTATTTTTTTTAAAAAAACAATGACAACAACAAAATAATACTCCCACCCCCCAAGAAGATTATACTGAAATGAAGGATTTTCTTAATTGGGTGGGGGAAGGAGTTAAGGAGTGCAACTCCTTTGCAACTTCCATTCCATGCTGCTACTCAAAAAACAAGAAGAAGAAGAGTTTGGATTTGATATCCCGCTTTATCACTACCCGAAGGAGTCTCAAAGTGGCTAACATTCTCCTTTCCCTTCCTCCCCCACAACAAACACTCTGTGAGGTGAGTGGGGCTGAGAGACTTCAGAGAAGTGTGACTGGCCCAAGGTCACCCAGCAGCTGCATGTGGAGGAGTGGGGAAGTGAACCCGGTTCACCAGATTACGAGTCTACTGCTCTTAGCCACTATACCACACTGGCTCCCCCACAACCTTCAGCCCTCCAGATGTTTTGGTAAAATCGGTATGATTAAATGGGCACAGGACGTTGGACATAACATTATGTTTGCTGACTGGGAACAGTTATGGACCACTGGTATGAAATTTACGGCATGTAATGCCTTAAGAGAGAATATTATGAAAATGATATACAGGTGGTACATAACCCCAGTCAAGCTAGCAAAAATTTATCATTTGCCTGACAACAAATGTTGGAAATGTAAAGAAAATGAAGGTACTTTTTTTCACCTTTGGTGGACGTGCCCAAAGATCAAGGCCTTCTGGGAATTGATATATAATGAATTAAAAAAGGTATTGAAATATACTTTTCTAAAGAAACCAGAGGCCTTCCTCTTGGGCATGGTCGGCCAATTGGTGCGAAGGGAAGATAGAACTTTTTTCATGTATGCGACAGCAGCAGCAAGAATACTCATTGGGAAATACTGGAAGACACAAGAATTGCCTACCCGAGAAGAATGGCAGAGAAAAGTGATGGACTATATGGAACTGGCTGAGATGACCGGCAGAATTCGAGATCAAGAAGAAGGGTCGATGGAAGAAGATTGGAAAAAGTTTAAAACATATCTTCAGAACTACTGTAACATAAAAGAATGTTAGAAAAGGTTGGAGAAGAAATATTAGACCGTATTGGCAGACAGAGTATAATGGAATTAAGTAAATATGAAGTGTAAAATAAAAGATAGAGGAGAATTAAATATTTTTGAATGTTAAAATGTTAAAATAAGTACATGAAAAGAAGGTTAGAAGGATTTGGTGGAGATACAATTTGAATTAGAATACAAAGCAGAGAAGTGAGGGAAGTCACGGAAATAAGTAAATGGGAAAACGGTTCTAATGGTTTAATTTGAATTTTTCTTTTGTTATTTTTTATTGTGATTTTTTGTCTTGTGTATTTTTTCTTGCATTGTGTATTTTTTCTTTGTAGGATGTATGTGAATGGTTTTTCTTGCTTTACTTTTTCTTTTTCTGTAATCTTAAAATCTGAATAAATATTTTATAAAAAAAAAAAAAAAGAAACAAGTATTAGAAGTGGGATACAAAAAGGGAGGTGTGAGGAAGTCGAGGAAACAAGGGAATGAAGGACAGAGTATGGAAAAGGAGGGATGTTTTTAAAATTGTTTTTGTCTTGTTTTGTTTATGTGCTTAGTTTAATGGGTTTAGGGTGGGTTTGTATTGTTTATATATTGTATTGTTCTTGTTTTTCTTTTCTTGTCTTTTTTTTCTTATTTCTTTCTAGTCTTTTCTCTCTTTCTTCTACTTTTTTGTAACTTTTAAAAGCAATAAATATTATTTTTTTTAAAAAAACAATGACAACAACAAAATAATACTCCCACCCCCCAAGAAGATTATACTGAAATGAAGGATTTTCTTAATTGGGTGGGGGAAGGAGTTAAGGAGTGCAACTCCTTTGCAACTTCCATTCCATGCTGCTACTCAAAAAACAACAAGAAGAAGAGTTTGGATTTGATATCCCGCTTTATCACTACCCAAAGGAGTCTCAAAGCGGCTAACATTCTCCTTTCCCTTCCTCCCCCACAACAAACACTCTGTGAGGTGAGTGGGGCTGAGAGACTTCAGAGAAGTGTGACTGGCCCAAGGTCACCCAGCAGCTGCATGTGGAGGAGTGGGGAAGTGAACCCGGTTCACCAGATTACGAGTCTACTGCTCTTAACCACTACACCACACTGGCTCCCCCACAACCTTCAGCCCTCCAGATGTTTCGGTCTACAATTTCCATCATCCCTGACACTGGTCCTGTTAGCTAGGGATCATGGGAGTTGTAGGCCAAAACATCTGGAGGGCCACAGGTTGGGGATGCCTGAACAACAGCTTGAGCTCAGCATTCTTTATTTCTATATCTCTTGCTCCAGGTTCCGATTTGTTGATCTCAGGGTTTTAGTAAAAGAAGGAGAAGCAGATCCTACAAGCCTGAGGTCTGCTTAATCCTCTCCTATCCTATTGAGGAGCTTCACGAGAAGAGCATTGGCTTTGCATGTTTAAGCTTTGGGGCCACAGTTGGCCCTCTCTGGTTCCTAGGGCATCCTGTATCACATCAGTGCCAAGTATTGTCATCCATTAGCATTTCGAACAACAGTGCCAAATAAGTGCCCTGATGTTACCTCAGCCTCTTTATCTGACAGCACCAGCATGATTTCCCCTTGTCCAAACTGAAGGTGCTTCTCATTCTCTGAAGCGTGAGCTTGGACTGCCTGAGCCTGGAAAAGGAAACAGGATACCAATGAAGCAATGCATTTCTAGACTGGGCAACTTGCAGTTCACACGTGTGTGTGTGTGTGTGTGTGTGTGTGTGTCTATAAGCCTCAAGAGTCATGCTATTCCCCCTTAACTCAGGTCTACTCTTTGTGACTCATTTACACAAGAGCCAAAGGTTCTGCCTGTAGATCAGGTAAAGGGTAAAGGGACCCTGACCGTTAGGTCCAGTCGTGGCCGACTCTGGGGTTGCAGCGCTCATCTCGCTTTATTGGCCGAGGGAGCCAGCGTACAGCTTCTGGGTCATGTGGCCAGCATGACTAAGCTGCTTCTGGCGAACCAGAGCAGCGCACGGAAACGTCGTTTACCTTCCCGCCGGAGCGGGACCTATTTATCTACTTGCACTTTGACGTGCTTTCGAACTGCTAGGTTGGCAGGAGCAGGGACCGAGCAACGGGAGCTCACCCCGTCGCGGGGATTCGAACCGCCAACCTTCTGATCGGCAAGCCCTAGGCTCTGTGGTTTAACCCACAGCGCCACTCACGTCCCTATACATCAGGTTAGTGATTGCTTTTTCCTTACCTTGAAAAGGAAGCCCGAGGGCAACTTGCCATAATTCTCTTTCTTATCATCTGAGAAGAAGCTGGAGATGATCTGAAACAAAAAAGGGGCTTTCACTTATTGAACAGAATCACAGCACCAGATTTGAAATTTGACCACAGATGTCTGGAGGATGCTGCAAGTGTGTCTGAATACACACAGTATGGAATTCCTTTCTTATGGCCACTCCCTGAAGTACAAGTACTTTTCAGTATTATATTTTTTATTCCAGACAACTTTTGTTGCATACAGCCCCTGAGGCCAAATCATTAAAACACACACATATGGTGGCCTACACAGTGGCATCGCATGGGGAGGCCCAGAGGGGCATTTTTTGTTTTTTTGGGGGGTGCATTTTGCTCCTCAACCCTGCCAACCCCACAAGCTGTTGCGTCCTCTGTACACAGCCCTGCTGCATTGCAAAGCAGGGCTGGCAGGGCAGGGTGAGTGTATTCTTTGGGAGTGTTGTGCCCTCTGAGTGTGGGCAGGGGTGTAGTGCGGCTCCACCCCCTGGGAACATGCACCACCCCAGAGTGTGCTCACCTGCCCACCCCGGGCACCAGCCACACAAGCTACGCAGCAGGGCCTACAGACTCAACCATCAGCACCTATTCTATTCCTTCTTCGACGAAAGCAAAATGGAGAAGAGAGAGATGTGGCGGCCAGCCCTGTGCTTTTGTTACCTGCACAGGTGAGGTCACGCCCACCTCTGGTCACATGTAGAGGAAACAGGAAGTTTATCTACTGGCTGGACAAACATCCCTCTTCATGTCTAAACATGTCCACTCTAGGAATGTTGTATTTGACTGCTCTGTGTTTCACACCCCACAGTTTTATTGCAGTTGCTTTACTTATTTGTCACCTGCCCTGAGTGCAGGATATTAATGTTTTAAATCTTAAATTCATTCATCAAGGCCCTGCTTGACAGTCCCTTGGGGAGTTTTCAGGTATATTAGAAGCCAATTAAGAGCCCTTTCGGAGCGTCGTTTCCTTCAGCGATGGATTTGCAGGGATTACCCAACATGTCCTCCTTAAAGGAAACTGCATTGTCCCAGGGCAGTTTCTGCAATACGCTGCCATTCTCTGCACCCACTTACGCCCAGTCACCAAAGCTGCATGAAGCAAAGTCACTGTACTCTCAGTCCCCATCTCTCCATATGCAACATGGGAGGAAGAGACTGACTTATCCCACAGGTCCGTGTCCTGAGGGTTACTAACATACGTAAAGCAGTGGTTAAGAGTGGTGGACTCGTAATCTGGTGAACTGGGTTCGCTTCCCTGCTCTTCCACATGCAGCTGCTGGGTGACCTTTGGCTAGTCACACTTCTCTGAAGTCTCTCAGCCCCACTCACCACACAGAGTGTTTGTTGTGGGGGAGGAAGGGAAAGGAGAATATGAGCCGCTTTGAGACTCCTTAGGGTAGTGATAAAGTGGGATATAAAATCCAAACTCCTCCTCCTCCTCCTCCTCCTCTTCTTCTTCTGGTTGCTGCTACTTTGCCACAGGACAAATCAGGCACAAATCTGCCTTCAGTCAACAGTCTCTGGGAACACCTCACACAGAGGTTTCCAAACAGTGAATTAGCAGCCCTAAAATGGTGCTGGTTTTTGGAGTCTGCGCTGGTTTTTCCTGTCAGACAGGATTGGTACTCTTCATGTCTGGCATGTGTGATGCCTCTCCAATTAAATCTCCCAAGTGAGTGGCTCTGTTTTTGGGGAAAACTTTTGCAGCTGAGTAGCTTTTGTAGCTGCTGAGGCAATTTTGCACTGGAAGAAGGGCCTTGCTCTAAGGGAGAAATAACCAAATAAGTGGGAAAGGCAAATCTCTGTTAGAGGGCCGGGCTGTTTCCTTCATTGCCTGCTCAAAATAAGATCCCAGAAACGTCTGGATTGTCAGTGGATTGGCCTTGAGATTGATCTAACAGTACAGTTGTTATATTGTCCTGCATACAATCACTGTCTTCCTCCCCACTGTTTCTGTTGTTAAATTGCACACCTCTCTTGTTGGTTTCAGTATTGATTTCATACTGTATGCCTCTACCACCAATTAGGAAGACATATTACAAGAGCCACCAGGTAGACACATAATCGTATTATAGCAAGCTATTCCTCACATTGTTAGCTCACAGAGAATGATGCATAAGGTAGATTTGGACTATGCAAAGCTATCTTGGAAGGTACAGCTTGGAGCAATTCTCCCACCTCCCCATCTCATTCTTTTGTAGCCTGGAAAGTGTAGGAGTTCTCATCTCTCAATGTTCTCATTCTGAGAAATAACACAAGGTAATTCTGATTGCAGGATCCTTTTGCTTTTATTTATTTCTCTCCAAATTTGTGCTAAATAACAACAATGAATAATAATGACAAAAGCTACTTCTAAAATAATCACAACACAGTGCCTGGTTACAGGCAGTCAAGTCATGTATCCACAGCAGTGACCAGAGGAGGAATGACTGCTGGGAGGAGCACAGAGAGAAGAAACGCCATGGTGCATCTGCAGTAGCACAACCGGATGCCTTCATCTGCCCCAGCTGTAACAAAACATGCCTCTCCTGCATCGGTCTCTACAGCCACAGCAGGCGCTGCAACCTTCCAACAGCTTGACCTCAACCCCAAAGGTGTACTCCTTCATTGTCTCCCAAGACAGACAGATGCCATCAACAACCACAACAACGCAGGCTTCCTACTGAGATGAGTTTCCTGTCCATTCCCCACACACTGAATTTTTCATGCTAACATACGAAGCCACAAAAGAGGCACTTGCCCATCATTTTGCTCCTTAATGAGAAGACTAAGGTAAAGGTAAAGGGACCCCTGACCATTAGGTCCAGTCGTGACCGACTCTGGGGTTGTGCGCTCATCTCGCTTTATTGGCTGAGGGAGCCAGCGTACAGCTTCTGGGTCATGTGGCCAGCATGACTAAGCCGCTTCTGGCGAACCAGAGCAGCGCACGGAAATGCTGTTTACCTTTCTGCCGGAGCGGTACCTATTTATCTACTTGCACTTTGACGTGCTTTTGAACTGTTAGGTTGGCAGGAGCAGGGACCGAGCAATGGGAGCTCACCCCGTCGCGGGGATTCGAACCGCCGACCTTCTGATCGGCAAGTCCTTCTGATCGGCAAGTCAGACTAAAGCTCCCTTAATGCTATCTACACAGTGTGCAGTTACCTAGTGGGACGGGTTGGTTGTGCAGAACCCTCTCATGTCTTTTACCTGAGCATTGGTGGCCTTTGGGGAAACATCCATTTCTTCAATGCTTCCTTCACTGTTGACGTCATCTTCAGCATCCCTGCGTTCCTCTGGCTGCTGTTGAGCGGCCCCTTCTTTTGGTAAAGCAGGGGAAAGGCAGTCATTGGTGGTACTTGGTGCACCTTCTTGGGCTTCTTCAGCTTCAGATGAAGGATCTTGAGGATTGTCTTCAGGACGAACTGAACTCTCCCTGAGTGGCACGTTGTTCTCCTGACAGTCTGTTCCCCCAGTCTCAGCTTCATCCTGAGTGTTCTGGGGAGGTATAGACAAGACCTCAACCCTTGGCTGCAACGAGGAACCCTCTTCTTTCTCACAAGTATCACTGGCTTCAAAGTCATTCCTCAAAGGAGGCTGGGAGGTCTCTCCAGAGTCTTTGGGAACATTTGGGCTTTTGCCAGCAGCCTCGAGCACTGCCTCTGATACAATTCCTGCTGCTATATCATTTGCAGCCTCCTCCACTTCCTGGGGGGTGCCTATGGGAATGTTGGGGGTTGTCTCTACTGTTTGGCTGTCCTCTTTGGCTTCACTAGCAGTTGAAGAGTCTGGCTTGGCCGCATCTGTAGCCAAAGATGCCGCTGTCTCTTCCTCTGTCTTGCTGGCCCCACCAGGCGCAGATGATGTTTTGGTTGCCGAAGCAGATTCTCTTTCGTGATTTGAGGAAATGGCAGGAGGAGACGTGGGCATCTCACTTATGCTGTTCCTTGTAGGTATGGCAGAGGGGCTGGTTGGACTTACTGGAGATGAGATGACCAACGATGCTCTGTTACTGCAAAACAAGAAACATAAGTTGCGTTACAAAGTTTGAACATGCAGCTTTATTCAGCCTCTATAGTGAAAGTAAACCTCTCCATGTATTTGAGCTACAGTGGTACCTCGGGTTACATATGCTTCATACGTTTCAGGTTACAGACTCCTCTAACCCAGAAATAGTACCTCGGGTTAAGAACTTTGCTTCAGGATGAGAACAGAAATCGTGCTTCGGCAGTGTGGAGGCAGAAGGAGGCCCCATTAGCTAAAGTGGTGCTTCAGGTAAAGAACAGTTTCAGGTTAAGAATGGACCTCCGGAACGAATTAAATACTTAACCCGAGGTACCACTGTATTTTAAAGGAATTTCTCCAAAATCTACACTTCTGGCATTGCCCAAAAAAGCTCAACAACTTCCAGATTTGACAGAAAACCCAATCTTAATGCACAAGACTCCCATGGCTTCCCTTAGCATCACTTCCCCTTGTCTGCTTGCTCCAGAAACTGACCACTGGCCCAACTTGGAGCATGTAATCTGCTTCAGGCCCTTTCAGGGGTCAGCAAACTTTTTCAGCAGGGGGCCGGTCCACTGTCCCTCAGACCTTGTGGGGGGCTGGACTATATTTTGGAAAAAAAATAAAAATGAACGAATTCCTATGCCCCACAAATAACCCAGAGATGCATTTTAAATAGAAGGACACATTCTACTCATGTAAAAACACGCTGATTCCCAGACCATCCGCGGGCCGGATTTAGAAGGCAGTTGGGCCAGATCCAGCCCCCGGGCCTTAGTTTGCCTACCCATGCTTTAGACCTTGATCTGCTTGTGACCCCCCCAACTGCAATCCATCTCTGACCTGAGCCAAGACTTGACAAATGATTACAAAGCACAGGCCGTCATGGATTGAATCGAGAGAGCATCTTTTCCTATAAGTGATTCACTGCTCTTAAGATTCAGTATATAAAACCCACTGGTTTATTCTACCCTCTGTTAGTCAAGATGGCGCTTTTCTGTGGCAGTCCCAAAGCTATGGAATCAGGTGGCTGCTGAGATCCAGTGTTGTAATCTTGGCCCATAGCGATGTGGCTGCTCGGTCAATCTTTCTGAAGCTAACATGCTCCTCTGGAAAGGTTTTTTGTTTCTACTCTGACTGCTGTTTAGTGGCTGTTCATATTTCCCCTTTCAAAGTTTCCATATGTATTTTGTTCTAAAACAGCTCACTGCCTTGAGAAGCCCTGTAATTAAAAGATGGGTTATAAATCTTTTAATTAACTGACTGACAAACAAACCAGATCTCCTGGGATCCAAAGTGGAGATGAGTTGCTAGTTGCCCACATGGCTGCTGCTTCCGAGACTCCTCTATGCCCACAGGAAAGAGGAAATCACTTACCTTGACACCCCTTTAATAATGAAGACTTTATTGGAGTGCTGCTTATCCAATGTGCTCATCACATCATACAGGTCATGGTTTAGCTACAAGCAGCAGCAACAAGAAAAGCAAATATCATTACCCAGTAATTAAGAAATTACCACTATTCACTTATTCACATAAAATAATTAATCCTGACTGACTGCTTCAAGTCAACGAGTGTTTCAAGCTTATTGGTTTATTTTAAATGTTTCTCATACACTTTTCACTGCAATGCAGTTCCAGAGCGGGCTGTAATTAAAACAGAAATCCATCTCCTATTACAGCTACTCATAAAACATGGCAGATATATGCCAACCAGACAAAAATAAAATAAAATGTCATGAATATCCAGCAAAGGCCTGGGTGGAGACACACTTTTTCAGCTGGAAACACAGACAGGTAGTCCCCAGCCATATCTCAGAGGGGAGGGAAATGGACCACTGGGATGCCACCACCAAGAAGGCTCTGGAGCTTCTGATAGAGGTGGCAGACCCAAGAGAGCCTCCCTGCCAGATTTCAACAACCAGACAAATCTATACAGGAGGAGTCATTCTCTTAGGTATCCTGGCCCCAAGCTGTGTAGGGCTTAATGTTGTCACTGCCTACTTTATATCCCCTTCCTCTTGGAACTTGCCTCGGAGTACATCAGCTGACAGCTGCCCTTTCATTTATTTTTGAGATTTAAAAATAAACAGCAGTTCCCTGCCCTGGAGGCACTTTAACAATATTAGAAAGGAAGAATGATGTCTCTTCCAATCATCATTCTTCCTTTCTAATACTAATAGTCCTGGCACTCCAGTCACGTTCTGCAGACTTACTCGGACTGAATTGATTCCTGGATAATACCAAAATACGTTTCGGATGAGTAAATAATAATAAAATGTGTGTGTGGGGGGGTTATTCTTATTATTATGTATGTTGTCTTTTTTATCTTGTATTTTATGTTGTGAACTGCTCTGAGATCTATGTATAAAGGGTAGTATACAAATTTAATAAATAGTAGTAGTAGTAGTAGTAATAATAATAATAATAATAATAATATAGTAAGCCTCAACTTAAGCAAGGATCACATTTCAGGGATCACGCCTAAAGACAAAATTGTGTATAGTCAAAACACATTGGATGCAATGGCGGGTGGGTTTGTCAAAGTCTTTTCTGTCCCGTTCCAAATTTTCTTTTGCCAAGTTTGTAAATCTGAATGCACACAAATTGTGTGTGTGTGTTTGTGTGGGAGAGAGAGCGAGAGAGAATGCAACTCAGCTGGCTACTACAATGAAGTAGAAATTATGTGCACCACTTTCAAATCCTGACTTCTGTGCATTGTTGGCTGGTTCCCATTGGGACTGCTGGGGTGAAAGGCAGTTTTGGTGCCATCCTACAAGGGCGACGCTAAGACTAGGGGCCACTCCCAGGATTGGTACGAAAACAGGGCAGGTAGAAGCCAATGACGCAGCGTGCCCATTTGTCCAAATGGCCCACATGTATGACACAGTTGCTCATTTACCTTGCTCATTTCCTTGTAGAAGACATCTCGCAAGTTGGAAATATTCTGGAATATTGTCACATAGCACGCAATTCGGCTGGAGAAGCAAAAAGATATAAAACGAAGCCCAAATGTTAACTGGGTTGGGGCTGCACAATAAAGAAGAGTAATATGGCAAGTGCTGAGTTTTCTGGGACCCTGGAAGAGCAGAATGAAGTAGTTCAGCCACGTGTGGTTCACTGAACTAGTTCAAAAATCTCTGTACACCTGAAAGTAGTTCCCATAAGTGTTGGGTGAACTAAATGTGAATTAAATTCATTTTGGGGTAGAACTCTGAGCGATTTCTAGTTCATCTTCTTCCCCTCACTCCCAGCAGGGCTTCCATTAAAAAGGCAAGCCGATTGGACATCTATAAAGAAAGTTAGACAGCAAAATGAACAAGTTAAAAAGTACAGGTCCCCTTACGGGTGCTGCGGGGGGGGGGGGGCTCCACTTTCTACATCCCTCCGTTGACAGAATGGCTCATTTATTCCTGTGCTTCCTGTTTCATATCCAGTTCCTGATCCACAGGAGGACCTCACCTCTTTCTCTAAGACTGTTGTGCACAATTTTGGTTTGTCTACACAGAGGCATACAGAGGAATTGCTTGAAAATCACTCCCAAGTCTTTAATATACAGTAATTGTAATTCATTTGTTATTTTTTTGGTTGCATTTATTTTTTGCGAATTACAAATTTTGTTTTTAAAAAATTACTTCCAGGGCAGCACAGGAAAACGAAATAAAGTGAAATATAATAAAATGTGACAAGAAAACTGGTGTAGATACAGCCTAACAGCAGACTTAGGTAAAGGTAAAGGGACCCCTGACCATTAGGTCCAGTCGTGACCAACTCTGGGGTTGTGGTGCTCATCTCGCTTTATTGGCCGAGGGAGCTGGTGTATAGCTTCCGGCTCATGTGGCCAGCATGACTGAGCTGCTTCTGGCAAACCAGAGCAGCGCACGGAAATGCCGTTTACCTTCCCGCCGGAGCGATACCTATTTATCTACTTGCACTTTGACGTGCTTTCGAACTGCTAGGTTGGCAGGAGCAGGGACCGAGCAACGGGAGCTCACCCCATCGCAGGGATTCGAACCGCCGACCTTCTGATTGGCACGCCCTAGGCTCTGTGGTTTAACCCACAGCGCCACCCGCGTCCCTTAGCAGACTTAGAGATGACACCAAATGCTGAAATGCCATTGTGTTTGTTCCCTCTCTTCATCCTGTAGTGTTTAGCCAATGAATGGCTTGATGGGCCATTCTATTACCATGTGTTTCTCTGCCCTCACTGTAAAGTCACACCTCCATTATCTTTAAAACAACCCCATGGGGATTGACTAGGCAAAATGTTCATGACTGGGTCCATAGTCACCTAGCTAGCTTTGTGGCTAAGTGGAGATTCGAACCTTTATCTCCCTGATTTAAGTCTGATGCTTAAAACACTACACCACACTGTCCTCTCAGAATGTGAGACTTTAGACAGACAAGCCATCATGTAGGTTTCTACTGGGAAGGGCCACCAAAGCACACAGTAGATGATACCATGCCTTTCAGGATCTCAATGTTTCAGGGACAAGAGGGGGAAGCTGGAGAAAGGGTTGTCATTTTTGGCAACAAACCTGTGGTCTAATGGTGACACATCTAGTCCTATCCTAAACAATCATTTTTTCACAAAAGCTAAAATTCAATTCTGTGGATTTTGCTGCCATCCTGTGGTCACCAAACTTTTCTGAACTCTGATTGAGAAGCAGCTCGTCTCATAGCTAGCCCACAAGATATTTCAGGTGGCTAATCCTTTGTCTTTGTCCTCTTGGTATTCGGACTGCACTTTATGTGACGTGTTGTCAACAGGCCGTAGGGCTAAGGAACTGCAGCCAGAGACCAGGGAAGGGTTTGGATACATGGACTAAGAACTCCAAGCAGTAAGTTGTCTGAGAAACAGTAGCTCAGTCAAAGGAGATGTGCCAACAAGCTCAGCAGGTTTTCTAAATCAACAGCTCGATGAAAGTGATACTCCACATTTTTCCCAAAGAGACCCACTGCTAGAGCTAGTTCCTATCCCTGACTGCAGAAATCACACAACACATAGCCCTATTAGCTTAAAATACGCACATGGCTGGGGGCAGTAGGAAGAAATGTGCTGGCTCTACTCCCCTTTTATCACCCTTCAACTTGTGGAAGAGGAGAGTCTGAAGCAAGGAGTCTCCTGTCCTTGTGGTTGGAGACTCCCTGCATTGTTTGGAACCCTAATTTCCCAGGGTTTTAGAATGCACAGGGGCTGGAACCTCCAGAAGCACAGAAGGCTCTCTTGCATTAGACCTTTGACTTCCGCTACTTGTAATGCAATTGAAACAGCAACGAAGGAAGAAAAAGTGTTGGTGTTGACCTTCAAAGCCCTAAATGTCCTCGGCCCAGTGTACCTGAAGGAGCATCTCCACCCTCATCGTTCTGCCCGGACACTGAGGTCCAGCTCTGAGGGCCTTCTGGTAGTTCCCTTACCGAAGGCCTTCTTGGTAGTGGTACCCACCCTGTGGAACACCCTCCCATCAGATGTCAAGGAAATAAACAACTATCAGACTTTTAGAAGACATCTGAAGGCAGCCCTGTTTACGGAAGTTTTTAATGTTTGATGTTTTATCATGTTTTTAATATTCTGTTGGGAGCCACCCAGAGTGGCTGGGGAGGCCCAGCCAAATGGGCAAGGTATTAATTAATTAATCAATTAATTATTAGTCTCCACTGCCCCATTCCCGTGTTTTTTTAACCCCTACAGCACCTGAAGAGAGCTTTATTGTGCAAACACCCACGTGAACACAGTAACTCCCAATACCTTGGTATCTGCTGAACTGTGGGGAAGCAATTTTTTGATATTTGCCTGTTAATAGTCAAGACCCACCCAGACCCAAGTTAGAAGAAAGGAGATTCCGGCTAAACACCAGGAAGGCCTTTCTGAGTGTAAGAGCTGTTAAGACAGTGGGACGTACTCCTTGGGGAGGTTGTGGACTCTTCTTTGCTGGAGGTTTTGAGCAGAAGTTGGAGGGCCATCTCCCATGGATGTTTCAGCTGAGATCCCTGCATTACAGGGGGTTTGAGTACATGACCCTCAAGGTCCCTTCCAACTCTACAGTTCTATGATTCTAACTTACCTTGGGGGACACGGGGGACGTTGTGGGTTAAACCACAGAGCCTAGGATTTGCCGATCAGAAGGTCAGCAGTTCGAATCCCCGCGACGGGGTGAGCTCCCGTTGCTCGGTTCCCACTCCTGCCAACCTAGCAGTTCAAAAGCACGTCAAAGTGCAAGTAGATAAATAGGTACCGCTCCGGCGGGAAGGTAAACGGTGTTTCCGTGCACTGCTCTGATTCGCCAGAAGCGGCTTAGTCATGCTGGCCACATGACCCGGAAGCTGTACGCCGGCTCCCTCGGCCAGTAAAGCGAGATGAGCGCCGCAACCCCAGAGTCGGCCACGACTGGACCTAATGGTCAGGGGTCCCTTTACCTTTACCTTAACTTACCTTGGACTTGTGTTGAAACAATTTGTAAATTGCATTTTATGCCTGGTGTTAATATATCCTTTCACCCCATTTTTACCTTCCAGCCTGGGTTCATCGTCAGCAAGCTTAGTCCCAGAGTTCAACAATGAAAGAAGTATCAACTCTACATCTATTTCCTGGTCACCAGCACAACCACACTTCTTAGATTCAACATTCTGCTTTGGGATTCTCTGCCATTTGCACCCTGATCTTTGTTTCTATGCCTAACCTGTTGTAAAGGTCTGGCAGCTCTTCTCTTAGTTCCTTGTTGAGCTCTTCAAACACAGCTTGGGCTTTGTAGAACTCTTCTTCGGCCTGCAGGACCCAAAAGTTTATTAGAGGTACAGGAAATTGAGAGCATTAACAGTGTAGACATGCCAGTGGACTGCAGACTCACATCCCGCTTACACCCCCCATGTGAAATGTTAGCCACATGTAAACCAGACTGCCAAGGACTCTGAAGACAAGGAGAGAGAAAAGGGAGGGATTGTGGAGCCTCTTTCCCCACCTGTCATTCATCTGTGCTCATCTGCCATTGAGCAACTAATTGTCCCAGCATCAGCACCACCCATCACACATGGGAAAACAGCCTCTAAAGAAGAGATAAGACAATCATAGATGGACAATGGTTGGAGAAAATTAGCCAGCAGTTCCACAGTCCCCTCCACTTCTTTTCTGCTTGTCCCCAAGAACAGCATTCTAGTTTTCTCATAGGCAGATCATAGCTTACATGTGGCTACTTTTCACAGACATCACAGTGGCTGGGAGGAAGAAATAAAGTGTGATAGGTATGTAGGAAGCAGAGGAACAGGGTTTAGGATCTTTGATCCCTATATATCATGTACTTCTGGTAAGTGATGTACTCCTCTTCTAACTACTGAGCAACGTGTGGGAAATTGAAGAAAGTAGGAAAAACCACTGGGCCAGTAAGATACAATCTAAATCAAATCCCTTATGAATACACAGTGGAAGTGAGGAACAGGTTTAAGGATTAGATTTGGTGGACAGAGTGCCTGAAGAACTATGGATGGAGGCTTGTAACATTATACAGGAGGCAGCAACGAAAACCACCCCAATGAAAAGGAAATACAAGAAAGCAAAGTGGCTGTCCAACAAGGCCTTACAAATAGCGGGGGAGAGAAGGCAAGCAAAATGCGAGGGAGATAGCGAAAGATACAGGAAATTGAATGCAGATTTCCGAAAAATAGCAAGGAGAGAGAAGAGGGTCTTCTTAAACGAGCAAAGCAAAGAAATAGAGGAAAACAATAGAATGGGAAAAACCAGAGATCTGTTCAAGAAAATTGGAGTTATGAAAGGAACATTTCGTACAGAGATTACCATAATAAAGGACAAAAGTGGTAAGGACCTAACAAAAGCAGAAGACATCAAGAAGAGGTGGCAAGAATACACAGAGGAACTATACCAGAAAGATATGGATGTCTCGTATACCCCAGGTAGTGTGGTTGCTGACCTTGAGCCAGACATCCTGGAGAGTGAAGTCAAATGGGCCTTAGAAAGCACTGCTAATAACAAGGCCAGTGGAAGTGATGATATTCCAGCTGAACTATTTAAAATTATAAAAGATAATACTGTTAAGGTGCTACACTCAATATGCCAGCAAGTTTGGAAAACTCAGCAGTGGCCAGAGGATTGGAGAAGATCAGTCTACATCCCAATCCCAAAGAAGGGCAGTGCCAAAGAATGCTCCAACTACCACACAATTGCACTCATTTCACATGCTAGCAAGGTTATGCTTAAAATCCTACAAGGCAGGCTTAAGCAGTATGGGGACCAAGAACTCCTAGAAGTGCAAGTTGGATTTCGAAGGGGCAGAGGAACCAGAGACCAAATTGCAAACACGCGCTGGATTATGGAGAAAGCTAGAGAGTTCCAGAAAGACATCTACTTCTGCTTCATTGACTATGCAAAAGCCTTTGACTGTGTCGACCACAGCAAACTATGGCAAGTTCTTAAAGAAATGGGAGTGCCTGATCGCCTCATCTGTCTCCTGAGAAATCTTTATGTGGGACAAGAAGCTACAGTTAGAACTGGATATAGAACAACTGATAGGTTAAAAATTGGGAAAGGAGTATGACAAGGCTGTATATTATCTCCCTATTTATTTAACTTATATGCAGAATTCATCATGCAAAAGGCTGGGCTGGATGAATCCCTAGCCGGAATTAAGATAGCCGGAAGAAATATCAACAACCTCAGATATGCAGGTGACACAACCTTGATGGCAGAAAGTGAGGAGGAATTAAAGAACCTTTTAATGAGGGTGAAAAAGGAGAGTGCAAAATATGGTCTGAAGCTCAACGTCAAAAAAACTAAGATCATGGCCACTGGTCCCATCACCTCCTGGCAAATAGAAGGGGGGAAATGGAGGCAGTGAGAGATTTTACTTTCTTGGGCTCCATGATCACTGCAGGTGGTGACTGCAGCCATGAAATTAAAAGACGCCTGCTTCTTGGGAGAAAAGCGATGACAAACCTAGACAGCATCTTAAAAAGCAGAGACATCACCTTGCCGACAAAGGTCCGTATAGTTAAAGCTATGGTTTTCCCAGTAGTGATGTATGGAAGTGAGAGCTGGACCATAAAGAAGGCTGATCGCTGAAGAATTGATGCTTTTGATTTATGGTGCTGGAGGAGACTCTTGAGAGTCCCATGGACTGCAAGAAGATCAAACCTATCCATTCTGAAGGAAATCAGAGGCTCCAATACTTTGGCCACCTCATGAGAAGAGAAGACTCCCAGGAAAAGACCCTGATGTTGGGAATGATTGAGGGCACAAGGAGAAGGGGACGACAGAGGACGAGATGGTTGGACAGTGTTCTCGGGGTCACGAAGATTTGGACATGACTAAATGACTAAACAACTACAGCAATAACTAGCAAGCATGAAGTTAATACATGAAGGGGTTAAGAACACAGAATTGTATTCCTAGACTCAGCTAGGTAACACCCCTCACCTGGTAGGAAAGTTAAGTTTTCTTCCAGCATGTGAAGCCGATTCGGCAGCACATCTGGGCTTGATCACTTCAAGCCCAGACTGCATACTCAGAAGTGTTTTTCTGTATTTTGTTACCCAACAATTTTCTACCTGTGTTCTTCTTGCTGCTGCATGGAACAACGCATGGATACAATCTTTGGAGTTGGTAAGCAAAGCATTTAAACTTACTAAACGGTGTGGTCTGTTCACTGTGAGAGGGGTAGAAAGACGAGAGTGCTATAAGCAGACTGAATGGGATATGAACAGGATCCAACAGCCTATATTGTAGAGCAAAGCATGATTTGCCAAAAAGGAAGAATTCAAGAATCAGAGACACAATAGGAATGACATTCCTGGTTGTAAGAAACTCCTTCTTGGTCAGTGTTTGGATGGGCTCTCAAGACAGCCTTATACCTTTGCAATTTTAGCTTCATCTTTCTTCTTGGCATTCTGCAGGGCTTCCAAGTGATGTCTGCTGCTGTCATAATCCACTAGTTTTCTTCCCCGCTTAGCAATTCGCTCCTTTGAAATGAAAAATAATTTTTTAGAGTCAATGCTCACTTTCTTTTTCTATTGCCATAACAAGAACGTTTCAACCAAATCTGCCTCTCTGATCTGGAGGCCGATAAACCATCAAGGACACTATTCGGAATTCAGTAGGGGAGCGAGGTGAGGACCCATTTGCACAGCTTAAGATAGCTTCCTTGCATAGCTTCCAGCTGAAGATCAGATGAACAGTCCTTGCTGAAGATTCCTTCTACTTGTGAGGTAAAGAATGAAGCAGGGCCTTTTTGGTTCTGGCCTCTGTGTTATGGAATACACTTCCAACAGAAGGCTGCAAAATTTCCTGCCTACAGAGTGGGCAACAGTTTTGAGCTTATTAATCTTCACACTGTGTTTTTACTCTCAGGAATGCTAGTAATTATAATTTATAGCCTGTATTTTTTGCAAAGTATTTAACACTGCAAATCTGCAGGCAGGGACCAACGTAGGTTCAGTTGTGCAGAGTTCCTAGCCTATTTTAGGCATTTTTATTAAATAAAATTACTGATGACAAGGGCAGTTAGAGTTTTGGACCACAGAGATAAAGATTCAAATCTCCCTGGAAGACCTCCTTCGGACCGCACACCCCAAATACTCATCATATACTGTGACATCTTCCACAAATACTATGGCTTAGTGCAGGCATCCCCAACCTGCGGCCCTCCAGATTTTTTGACCTACAACTCCCATGATCCCTAGCTAACAGGACCAGTGATCAGGGATGATGGGAATTGTAGTCCAAAACATCTGGAGGGCCAAAGGTTGGGGGTGCCTGGCGTTTCCTATCATTCTTTTAAGCCAGGCTCCCTCAAACTTGGCCCGCCAGATGTTTTGGGACTACAATTCTCATCATCCCTGACCACTGGTCCTGTTAACTAGGGATCATGGGAGTTGTAGGTCAAAAAATCTGGAGGGCCGCAGGTTGGGGATGCCTGGGAAAGGCCAACACACACACACACACACACACACACACACACACACACGAGTAAAGAGATTGACTTGTGAACATATTTTATATGATGATCAGGAGGAAGAAAATTTCCTCCCAGTAGCATTATGTTTCCTTGAGGACTAGTAAAGGTAAAGGGACCCCTGACCATTAGGTCCAGTTGTGGCTGACTCTGGGGTTGTGGCGCTCATCTCACTTTATTGGCTGAGGGAGCCAGCGTACAGCTTCTGGCTCATGTGGCCAGCATGACTAAGCCGCTTCTGGCGAACCAGAGCAGCGCACGGAAACACCGTTTACCTTCCTGCTGGAGCGGTACCTATTTATCTACTTGCACTTTGATGTGCTTTTGAACTGCTAGGTTGGCAGGAGCAGGGACCGAGCAACGGGAGCTCACCCCGTCGCGGGGATTCGAACCGCCGACCTTCTGATTGGCAAGCCCTAGGCTCTGTGGTTTAACCCACAGCGCCACCTGCGTCCCTTTCCTTGCGGACTAGAAACATGTAAAAATGGAAAGTTGAACTTTCAGTTCTAGGTACTGGATACTGCAAAATCAGCCCTGAAATACACACCTTAATTTCACTGAACTGCGTCAAGTAATTCTCCATAGTCCTGACTGCCTGATCGGCCAGTTTCTTCTCATAATCTTCCCACAAAAGGTCATTGCTCTGCAGGTAAAAGGACAAACAGACATTAAAAAAATGGTGCTGGGTGGAATGTTCTGTGCAACCCCTGCCTCTCTGAAGCAACTTCTTTCTCAAGTTTTAAGGGCTTATTCTCAAGGTGTGCCATCCCTTCTTTAGAGGCTGGAGATAAACAACTGCTGGTGGATTTCTCTGTATTGCTCTTCTTGTTTCTTCAGATGCAGCTTATGCTGTCTGTTATTGGATAAGTAGGTTTGACGTAAACTTGCCTTACTGGTGTGAGCAGGAATTATGGGAAATTCTAAATAAAAGGTGACTATATGGATTAGGTGAATCTGTTTGCTGGTCCGCTGTTGCCTTTCTTTTACTTATTTCAGGAGAGGGAAACCAAAGCTTTGTCTCTACATATATATGCTTCGTTACTCAGTGACTGTGTAATCAAAGGGTGAGTTGCATGTGTGAAACAGATAAATTCAGAAGAAGGCATATTAACAGTCAGAGGTGCCAGGCATCATGTGGGAGATCTGTGTCAAAATTGTTCCTTTAAAGTAGGACTGCCAGAAGTTTGAAGAGGTCGATTAACTGTATGTTAGTCAATTAGTGATTAAGTCTGCAGATATGAGATAAAATGAGATAAAAAAATGAGATAAAAACACTCTCTTTTTTAAAAGAGCATACTCTCTGCTGTTATATCCTGTGACAACAGGCTCTGCCTCTCTCACACAAGAGCAAATAACCTCTTTTTAAGATCTCGCTTGCCAACTGCTGCTATCCTAAGCAATTGTGTCATGTACAGACCCAAGACTAGTCCAGCAGATATTTCTAAAGTTTCTCCTGGATGCACAAAAAAGAAGCTGAGATCTGTCCAGCCCAGGGGTCAGCAAACTTTTTCAGCAGGGGTCCACTGTCCCTCAGAACTTGTGGGGGGCTAGACTATCTATCTATCTATCTATCTATCTATCTATCTATCTATTGGAGGGGAAATGAACGAATTCCTATGCCCCACAAATAACCCAGAGATACATTTTAAATAAGTTTTACATTCTACTCATCTAAAAAACACACTGATTCCTAGACCGTCTGTGGGCCAGATTTAGAAGGCGAATGGGCCGGATCTGGCCCCCGGGTCTTAGTTTGCCTACCCATGGTCTAGCCCTAGTGAAAAGGAAACAGCACTGATTCTCACCTCTACTTCCTGCCTAGGCAAAGCAACAATTGTGGGATTATCACATCTGTTTTGGCCCTTATATTGGGCTAAACCACTCTTAGCTAGTCTCCCACAAAGAATCTCAGGAACTATAGTCAGATATTCCTCTCTAACTCTGCTTTACGGAGCTGTGGTTCCTAGGGAAGAGAGAATGATTGATAGACTAGTTTAGATCTGAAGATATACCTGCAATCTTTGCCATTTGTAATAAGAGTGGACAGCTTAAGAAAATCAGGCTCGAGTCTGGTGTCTTGTAGGAGCAAAGGCTGTGAGCTGGAGAAAGCCCTGGCTCAAACTATGATATGAGCTATGAGCTCACTAGGTGGCCTTGGAGGAGTTGCTGTTGTCTCAGCAATCATCTGGACATGGAAGGTAGAGCATGAGCCTCTTAATCTCAGGGTCATGGGTTTGAGTTCCACGTGGGGCAAAAGATTCTTCATTGCAGGGGGTTGGACTAGATGACCCTTGTCCCTTCCAACTCTGCAATTGTATGATAATACTGTTCTGTCTTCCAGGAAGGTTGTAAGAGTAATTCCAACACTTATGTAACATTGTAGGAACGCTCATTTTTATTATGAAGTAAAATATGTCCTCGATAACTGGGACTAACAAATGTGCCGCACTCACCTGCACGATGGCTTGCAGTTTTTCATACCCATCCCACTCCTCGCTGTAAATTTCCTGCAGAGTTTCAGACACTTTCTTAGAGCTTTCGTGCATCACTGCAAAGGGCAAACAGCAAGATTGATGACTACCTCTCAGTCGTCATTATCAACCCCTGGCCAAGTCAACATCCCCACTGCTGACGGGAATTACTTAAAATATTCAGTCTTCAAGCATGACAGCTCTTCAACGGCACACATTGTTTGTGTGCTCAGTTCTTCCAGGTCCCCATGTGGTTGTTTTAAAATCAGGTTACTGGACCCACCTACCCCCTCTCTCCTTTGGGGCAGCTTTGTACAGTGAAAATAATATCCGCTAGCTGTGATAAAGAGAGGGAATGACAAGGGCTTCACAAAGGCATGGTGGTGTTTCTCAACCTCATAGGTTAAAACCTCACAGCTTAAAAAAAAATAATCTGGCAAAGATGAGCATAAATTGTGGGAGAGGAACTCTATCAGGAGATGACCAGGTACTTCCGGTTCACTGCGGAGGTTAATGATGGTGAGCTCCGTGTCGTCCAGGCAATAGAGTCTTGGGGGTGATTGCAAGGGCTCGGCGCACCCCCCAAAACCCCCATTTTGTTATGTTGAAATTGTTAATAAAAAAACTTTTTTAAAAAGGAGATGACCAGATCTGTAGTAGAATGGTCATAGGAAGTTGTCTTATCATGAGTCAGAGCATTGATGTATCTAGTTTAATACTGTAGAGGTTTCAACCTTTTTGAGTCTATGGCTCCCTCCTACATTCTTTCTGTGGCACCCCTGGGGGGTTCAGGAGCCCAGTTAGGTCCCCCCTTGCCTGCAGAGCTGGCAGCCTCTCACCCTTTTTTGAACACACTCCCTTGTGGAGTGTTCCCTCAGCCTCCTCTCCCCTCTTCTTGGGAGTCCTCTGGGCAGCCGCTGCTGCCGCCCCTGGTCTCGGAGCTGCCCCCCCACCCCAAAGAGAGGTGCCTCCTCACACTGCCCCACAGGCACCTGGGACTTGTCTGTCCATTCCCAACAGCAAGGGCTGGTGGACTGGCTGGCTGGGCTCCCTCACTCACTTGTTTGCTTATTCCGAGACCACCTCCGCTCCTGGAAACCAGCACCCTCTAGCCAGCCCCAGAAGCACCATTCGCCTGGGGAGCTTGTAGCCAGGGCTGCTGCAACAAACAGCTGTGCAAGCCTTTGGGAGGCTTTGGGAGACACAAGAGGGCATCAGAGAAGGGAGGGAAGGGGAAAGGGGCAGAGGCCAGTGTTGCCAGTGGCATCCCTGGCCATCATTCAAGGCACCCCAGGGTGCCACAGCACACTGGCTAGAATCCACTGTTGTAGACACTGACTAACATCTCTTCAGGGTTTTAGGCATTACCAGTCATAACCTCCCAGTCTAATCTACTTCTCAGGGCTGTTGTGCAAGGATAAAGGGGCAAGAGATGTTGCCAGGAGCCACTTGATGGAAGGGTGGGATAATTTTCCAGTTTTGGAAAAATGGATGGGTTTGGAGAGGAGCCAACCGTAAGCGGAGCATCTGCTTGAAAAAAAGTATCTTGTCAGACAATCTCGCTCTCTCAAGATGGCAAAGCTGATAACCTTTCATCAGAGAGGCAACATCCTGTGATGCAGTTGCACCACGAAGGAACTGCCTTAAGGGGTGGCTGCCGAGGGCTGAAAACGTTACAGGTATTAAGACTTGGCTTTCTGTACCTTGCACAGCACTGAGGAAAACCTTAAGGTCCTTGTAGAGTTTGTGACCTTCAGCCTGGGGGCAAAAAAATAAAGTGAAAAGGGAAGAAGTCATTGCGTCAGATGTGTCATCTGTACATTTCTGCATGATGCTCCTATTAGTTCATTGAAGAGTCGGACACGACTAAACGGTTAAACAACAAAACACAAGGAGGGAGAGAACAAAAATACCATATTTTTGGCTCTATAAGACGCACCAGACCACAAGACACACCTAGTTTTTGGAGGAGGAAAACAAGAAAAAAATATTCTGAATCTCAGAAGCCAGAACAGCAAGAGGGATCGCTGCATAGTGAAAGCAGGAATCTCTCTTGCTGTTCTGGCTTCTGTGATAGCTGCGCAGCCTGCATTCGCTCCATAAGACGCACACACATTTCACCTTACTTTTTAGGAGGGAAAAAGTGAGTCTTATAGAGCAAAAAATACGGTAACTAAAGGCAGAAGCCTGTGGATTTATGGGAGTGGTACCATAAAGGCAGGACTTCAGGGCCTGAGTCCAGAGCCCCCATTCAGCAAAATGGACAGAAGGGTCTCCAAAGGCAGCAGGGTTACTTTATCACATTTTTAAGTAAGCGAAGGAACACCATCGAAAGACAGCCGACCACCACCACCATAACAGCTTTACGCCAAGGGTCTAAAAACCACCCAATTGCACCAGTAGTAACATATATTGCCATCTAAACAGTGGAATCCTGTAACCCTAGTAAGTCCACTGTCCAAAATTACCAAAGTGCTCCATTACCTTCATAAACATCACACCTACTGTTGGAGCAAGATTGTCTGTGGGTCTGTGTATGTGTGTGTCTCCTCACAATGGTTCTTTTTCAATATAACGCTTAATTCCCCTTCTTCAGTATCTTTTAAGAAACCCAAAACTTCATAACTAGCTTTATGCTCCATCTATAGACACCAGTCTTCAGGAGACTGTGCCCTATATATTTCAGTACAGTGGTACCTTGGTTCTCAAACTTTATCTGTTTTGGAAGTCCGTTCCAAAACCCGCATTCTGAAACCAAGGCACACTTTCCCATAGAAAGTAATGCAAAATGAATTAATCTTTTCCAGACTTTTAAAAACACCCCCTAAAACAGCCATTTATCATGAATTTTACTATCTAACGAGACCATTGATGCATAAAATGAAAGCAATAAACAATGTACTGCAGTCACACAATCAATCAGTCAGTCAGTAGCTGAACTGGGTTCTACACAGTCACAAAAACAAAACAAAAAAGAGCCACAAAAACAAAAATGCAAAATAAATAGCGAAAACAGACAGACCTCAGCATAACAATCAAATCGGAAGTGTAACACTCAAAATGGAGCACGTTCGGCTTCTGAAAAAGTTCACAAACTGGAACACTTACTTCCGGGTTTGCAGTGTTTGGGTTCCAAGTTGTTTGAGAACCAAGGCATTTGAGAACCAAGGTACTACTGTAATCCATTCTTTTTCCTTATTCTCTGTTTCCACCCAGGAACCCACGGGAATGCGGAGTAGTGGCCACCCAGGAACCCACGGGAATGCGGAGAAGTTGCTTTATTAGAGCAAATTTAGGGCCAAACAAGTCTGTAGACTGAGGCTTGCCAGAATCTTTCATGGTTTGCCTAACCAGAGGGCCTATAAAACCTGGGTCGGATCAACTCCAGATTCAGGTACACTAGAGATGCTAGGAGAATATGGAACAATCCTAAAAATATTACATCCCCCACTACCCTCAAAGTTTCCAGAAAGCAGGGAACAGCTCACACCCTCATGTGCAATACAACCTGTTGCTGTTGGAAATTGTACGCGCCCTGTTCAAACTGTTCATCTTTCGTTTCCACCGTTTTCCCCAGTTTCTGCAAAACCTACAGTGACAGGGAAATAAAGAAAGATTGTACAGCATTACAGAGCAAAGCATGTAACTTTACTTGAGCAGTTAAGGCGCAAGACTGATTTTTAAATAAATGCTCCATGGACGTTCTGTTTCCCACAGTGGTGATCTTCAGTCAGTCATCTGTCCAAATGGTTATGATCTCATGAAGCAAAATAAATGGCAAGATTTAAAAAATATGCTTAATAAAATAACTAGCCTGTGGGTTATATCAAGGAGTGTTGCTCAGTAAGGCTTCTGTCTGGGTAAAATGAAAAGAAACTACAGCGGTACCTCGGGTTAAGTACTTAATTCGTTCCAGAGGTCTGTTCTTAACCTGAAACTGTTCTTAACCTGAAGCACCACTTTAGCTAATGGGGCCTCCTGCTGCTGCTGCGCCGCTGCTGCACGATTTCTGTTCTCATCCTGAAGCAAAGTTCTTAACCTGAGGTAATATTTCTGGGTTTGCGGAGTCTGTAAACTGAAGCGTATGTAACCCGAGGTACCACTTTATTTTCAGCGAGGGTGGGCGAGCTGTGCTAATATTTGCTTGTTCCAAATGGTAGGCCGTCAACTGCTGGGACCATCCGTGTTGGTGACATCATGCAAAACAAAGACACCTGTGCAAAACTTTTCTAGGGGGGGCACATGCTTTCTACACAGACGGTCCCAGATTCAAACACTGGCAGTTTCAGGTAGAGGAAGACCACCCCCCCTTCCTGAAACCTTGCAGAGCTGCTGCTTGTTGGTTCTCAGCACTACTGAATTAGAAGGATCAGTCACCTGAGGCTGCTTTATGCATGTTCTTCCTGCTTCAGGGGGTGCCAACATGGTACCTGTGAGCTCACCTGTATCCCCAGAGGCTGTCCCCAGCACCTGGAGGGTCAGTCCCTCCCACTGCTGGAATTAAATCTGAAAAAAACACCACTGTAACCAATAGAATAGGCCGCAGGTCATGTGTATGGTGGCCATGATTATTTTGCAAATGTGCCCATCAGCAACCCATTTTCCTGCATACCACTTTCTTGAGGGACCTTATGAAGCACCAAGAGCCAGTGTGGTGTAGTGGTTAAGAGTGGTAGACTTGTAATCTGGGGAACCGGGTTCGCTTCCCCGCTCCTCCACATGCAGCTGCTGGGTGACCTTGGGCCAGTCACACTTCTCTGAAGTCTCTCAGCCCCACTCACCTCACAGAGTGTTTGTTGTGGGGGAGGAAGGGAAAGGAGAATGTTAGCTGCTTTGAGACTCCTTAGGGTAGTGATAAAGCGGGATATCAAATCCAAACTCCTCCTCCTCCCCCTCTTCTTCTTCTTCAAGCACTGCAGGACAAATGTTCTTTGGCGGAGCTGTTGCCTGGAAGCAGACCTTCACCTTCTCAGCAACTTTTAATACCTTCGACCATACACTAGTGGCCAAAATTGTGGAAACCTTTTGGAAAAAGTGTATTTCTGAGGTTTGATGGCTCATAACACCACCTTGGGACGCGGGTGGCACAGTGGGTAAAAGCCTCAGTGCCTAGAACTTGCCGATCGAAAGGTCGGCAGTTCGAATCCCCGCGGCGGGGTGCGCTCCCGTCTTTCAGTCCCAGTGCCTGCCAACCTAGCAGTTCGAAAGCACCCCCGGGTGCAAGTAGATAAATAGGGACCGCTTACTGGTGGGAAGGTAAACGGCGTTTCCGTGCGCTGCGCTGGCTCGCCAGATGCAGCTTTGTCACGCTGGCCACGTGACCCGGAAGTGTCTCCGGACAGCGCTGGTCCCCGGCCTCTTAAGTGAGATGGGCGCACAATCCTAGAGTTGGACACGACTGGCCCGTACGGGCAGGGGTACCTTTACCTTTACCTTTACCTTTACCACCACCTTTATTTGGAGTAATACCAGAAAATACACCTATCTATGAAAGATAAGTTAATGGAGAATGTAATGCAACAAAGTTTGTTCAATTATCTGTATTCTGTCAAAAGTTATAGCCAAATAACCAGAAAAAGGAAGCGCAACTTGCTTAGGTTGATATGCCGAGCTTGCCTTCATTTGAATGTAACCAATGAGCATGAGTGTTTAGAGAGCCAATCAGGTGTTATGAGCCATCAAACCTCAGAAATACACTTTTTCCAAAAGGTTTCCACAATTTTGGCCACTAGTGTAGTATCCTCCTGGGCGTCCTTGCTATGATGGGGGTTGTTTTGCAATGGCTCAAGTTTTCAAGTTGCAGTGAGGCCTCAGAAGATGGCGCTTGTGCTCATCCCTTTGGTCTATGGCAGGGGTCCTCAAACTTTTTCAGCAGGGGGCCGGTCCACTGTCCCTCAGATCTTGTGGGGGGGCTGGACTATATTTTGAAGAAAAAACTGAACGAGGGACGATGAGCAGCGTGTGAAAGGGCTCCAGAGAGGGGCTGGCAGCAAACAAAGCCCAGCCCCCTTCCTCCTCTAGGCAGGGCAGGGAGAAGCCAGGAGGAGGGAGGGAGGAGGCACCGGCGCTGCCATGTGAGGGAGAGAATGTGCACGCTGGTGATCCACATGGTGGAGATCCATTCAGCGATTCCCAGACCGTCCGCGAACCGGATTGAGAAGGCAATAGGGCCGGATCCGGCCCGCGGGCCTTAGTTTGCTGACCCGTGGTCTATGGCATGGGTAGGCAAACTAAGGCCCAGGGGCCGGATCCGGCCCAATTGCCTTCTAAATCCGGCCCGCAGATGGTCCAGGAATCAGGATGTTTTTACATGAGTAGAATGTGTCCTTTTATTTTAATTGCACCTCTGGGTTATTTGTGGGGCATAGGAATTCATTCATATTTTTTTTCAAAATATAGTCTGCCCCCCCCCCCAAGGTTTGAGGGACAGTGGACTGGCCCCCTGCTGAAAAAGTTTGCTGACCCCTGGTCTATGGGGACCTGCAGGGTTCAATTGTGTCTCCTATGCCTGCAGGAAACCTCTGAGAGAGATCGCCTGGGAGAGTGCGTGGATTTTCATAAGGCTGTCAGTGGTTACTAGCCAGGGTTACGCTACGGTTACAGTCAGACGCAGTGTGCTTCTGAAGACAGACGTATGGGCAGTGCTATTGTGCTCGGGTTGTGCTTGTGGGTTTCTCAAAGGCATCTGGTCAGTCACAGTGAGAACAGGATGCCGGACTGGCTTGCTCCATCAGGCTCGTCTTCTGCTCTTGGGTCTGCAGTTGGTGTAATACAAAAGATTGTATAGCTGTGCATTTCCAGAGACAAGCTGTGTTCGGAGACCAGGCAACAAGCAGAATGTCCCCATTCCTGCAGCTAACTGGGGACTTGTGAAGTGTATGTGTGTGAGGAAAGGAAGCTAATTTTTGCACACCCAGTTCTGCTCCCCTGACTGTACTGAGATGATGTTCCTACGAATCTCCCAACTTAAAATAATTGTGCAAGCTGTAACAACCCCACAATGATCTTGTTGGCTTAGCTAGCACTTCCTTTTTGCAGGAGTGAATGTTGCTGGGGGTGGGGTGGGCCTGACTCTGTCATCAGTTAAAGTTACTATATCAAAGAAGGAACGTGCTTTCTCCCACCATGTCAACAACAGCCTCTCCAGGCACCCAGGGCTAGAATGTGACACTCGCTGCCTTCAGAAACATCCCCTTTTTTGTGGTTTCCTTCTCCTCCCTGCTTCCATCTGGTATTTTCACTTCTGATTACACAGAAACCAAACAAAAACACACACATGCACACATCTTCCTAGGAGGATTTCCTTCAGCATTTATCAGGACCAACAGACTGGTTACTGGGAGGGTTGAAGGAAACAAACCAGTTTAGCCCCACCCACACAAAATGTATTTATTATTATTATTATTATTAGCCTTCTTTTTGGCATGGCAACTCAAAATGACTTACTAAAAATGGGGGGGGGGGCACATTAAAACTCCCCACCCACTCTAAAAGGCCATAATTAAAAGCCAAATGCCTGGTTAAAAAGGAATGTTTTTGCCTGGCTCCTGAAGATATGTAATAATGGCACCAGGCAAGCCTCCATGGAGAGAACATTCCACTAATGGGGAGACACCACTGAAATGGCCCATTCTCATGTTGCCACCTTCCGGTTCTCTGGTGGAGAGGGTGCGTGAGGAAGGGTCTCAGATAATGATCACAGGGTCTAGGTCAGTTCACTATGGTCCTCTTTGGACTTGGCAGGTATATAGATATAGCAGGTTAGCCACAAAAGAACACAGGAACTGACTTTCTGGAGCTGAAAAAGGTCCCATTAGGTATGTCGGGAAAGATTGAGGGCACAAGGAGAAGGGGATGACAGAGGACGAGATGGTTGGACAGTGTTCTTGAAGCTACAAACATGAGTCTAACCAAACTGCGGGAGGCAGTGGAAGACAAGAGGGCCTGGCGTGCTCTGGTCCAGGGGGTTAGGCTGGTGCGACTAAACGACTAAACAACAACACAACAGGTATAGAATTCTGTTTCCAGCAGTGGCCGGACATGTGTTTCTGCATGCTCACAAGTCATGAGGTTTCCTGTTGTGTTTGTGGCCACAGCAGGCCCCAACAGAGGCCCGGTGGCAGAAGTGCAGGCCTTGGTGGCACAGCAGCATGGGAACATACACACCCCTTGCTGTGTCGTCATGATGGTGTGGCACGGAGTGCGCATGCAGGGCACCCACAGTCTGCGGTCCAAGTTGGCTCCTCCATCCTGCCTCTTTCCCACCAGCCTTCCCAAGTGGAGTTCCAGGTATGTCTCATAGCAGCAGAAGTAAGGCATGCTCAGAAGTACCAGGGATAGAATTCAGAAGCTGCTGCATATGCTTTAGCGGAAATTGCAATGACAGCGTGGGTCTCTGGGTTGCAACCTGACAAGCCTAATCTGCAAATGCTCGGTAGGGCACAGAATACTTTTTAGCACGCTAACAGAACTGTCACCTGGTTTTGTGGCTGAGAACAAAACAAGTAGCTTATCTGCTGTTTCCCACAACTCTGTAGGTGTAGAACAGTGCTAGAATCACACCGGCTGAGAAAGCAACAAATCCCACAGGCAGCCAATAAAATGTCTGCCAACGGTTATGAGATCCACGGTTATTTGTTTCCCAGTCCAAGTAGCAAACTTTGTTGCACTTGCAGGCTACGCCGTTTGGGCACTTGACTCTTTGTGGCTTCCTGCAAAGGATTCTACAGTAGCTTTGGTGAGGCTTTAACTTAATAATAATAATAATTTTTATTTATACCCTGCCTTCCCCAGCCAAGGCGGGCGGCTAACAAGCAATAATAAAAACAAGTTGAATGAATACAACTTAAAAACAAGATTAAAATACAACATTAAGATATAGAAACATTAAAATATTAGAATGCAGCCTCATCACAGGAGGAGAAAGAAAAAAGAAAGAGGGGGAGGGAATCAAACTGGCTCCAAGCAAAAGGCCAGGCGGAACAACTCTGTCTTACAGGCCCTGCGGAAAGAAATCAGATCCTGCAGGGCCCTGGTCTCATGAGGCAGAGCGTTCCACCAGGCCGGAGCCAGTGTTGAAAAGGCCCTGGCTCTGGTTGAAGCTAATCTAATTTCCTTAGGACCCGGGACCTCTAGGGTGTTGCTATTTATGGACCTTGAGGCTCTCCGTGGGGCATACCAGGAGAGGCGGTCCCGTAGGTACGAGGGAGAGAAACTTCAGGAGAAACCTCCTAATGATATGAGCCATTATACAGTGGAACAGATTGCCACTGGAGGTGGCGGGCCCTCCACTCTTTGCTGGAGATGATTATGCTAAGGTTGGGTGGCCATCTGTTAGGGATGTGGCACAGTAGTTGCATATTGCATTGCATATCCTGCACTGAGCAGGGGGCTGAATGACCTCTTAGATCTCTTCTGACTGTAATTTTGTTCTTAGCTCCCCTCGTGGAGCTTCCCAGGGTGACCCAGGAAGAGGGAAAGGCCAGTTCCCCCATAATTTAGCCATAACTTGTCTTCTCTCAGGATGGCAGCGCATTAAGATCAAATGCCAAATGGCCAAATCATCTTGTTCATTTTTGAAAGGAACCCCCCTTTTTAAAATAGTGCAATGACAGGGATGATGGGGAGGCAAGGCCATCACCCCGGTTCTATTTCTGGTTGAACCCTAGCACAGCATTTCCTCTTGGATCCATTAAGTGGCAGTAGGTAAACAGACGAGAGGACAGGGCTCTAGGGAACTCCACTGGTCTGGCACATGACTAATACATGGAGAAAAACACGAATGTTCAACGCTGCACTTCTAAAAATAATATTTAAAAGGCAGTCAGTCAGTGTGAAGCCTCCCAGGGGGAGGGCGAGGTGCAGCTAAGCCAGCTATGATGTGCATGCCTGTCACTTAAATTTCCAAGTCTGGAGCATAGCTTGAGAATTAATTGTGAACCCTGTTCCATATTACACCAGTTCACCCGTAGTGCATCCTGCAAGGGAGACCTGCAATAAAATGCTGCAGTGCAGAGAGTACTCCTGTCTTGAGCTTGGGCTCCCAGGTAACTCCCTTCCAAGCCTGCCCAGTTTTGATTGCTCCTTCTCAACAGTCAGCCAGCATTCTGTGCTTACTGAACATACTCAGTTTTCATTGGGCTGTTTTGAGGGTTTGCCCTTCCCCTTGAGGGTTTTTCCAGAACATTTGTACTTCTGCAAACCTGAGCCTCCTGCCGCCTCCTGTGCAGAGATGGTGCCGCCTTGCCTACATTATGACCCGGGGTGGGAAAATCTGTGTATTTTGGTTCCTCTCCGTTTTTCTTGTTCCAGTCTCAAATTGAATTCTCTGCATTTCTGCATTAGTTTGTGCAGTTAGTGAAATCCCCCCCATATGTGCATTTTAGCATGATAGACACATTTTTGAAAGCAACGTCCCCTAATATAATGCATTCTATATGCACACATTTTGGTAATATGCATTATTTGGTTGGAGAACAGCATCACAAAAGCTGGAGAACTGCGAACTTTGAAGAGCGGCTGTGTTTCAGTCTGCAAATTGTTCTGGAAAGTGAGAATTAGGTACACTCGCACTAAAATCCAAACCAAACCGATTTTTCTACCCCATTCCTAATAAGGATCCACACTTGGGGGATGAGTTTTTAGGTTCAGTTTGGTATTTGAGATTCAGGATCTAAATTTAATCTTTCGGGTAATCTCATGTCTCTTGCATTCAGGTTAAACCTTAGTAATGACATGACCGGGTCATTTAAACCGAATAATGGCTGTTCTGACTACTCAGCCACCGTCTCCTAGACACCACCGGCAGAAGGCAAGTTAGGTGAGGAAGCAGACAAAGGAGAGAGCTATGTAGAAAATGTCCTACGTAAGAAATGTCCTTCTGAGTAGAACACTTTACTGTGCTTGATGAAATTTGGCATGGCTGGCAGGTGTCAGATAAAATTGAACCAGGGGTGTATAGGAGGGGAGCCCCAACATTATGTGTCACATGTTTTGAGGCCTTTGAAAAGTTAGAGAGCCATGCTTAGCACAAAACAAAGGTTCTTTCTTTGAAAATATGACTTTCTGTAAGTGACTCAACACCCCTCCCCTAAGATTTCTCCCTGTCCAGTGTTTGTGCCAATGAGCAAACACTTGACCTGCCTCATACCTTGGGCACACGACTAGGGTTGCCATATTTCAAAAAGTAAAATCCCCCCAAATAGTTGAACTTTTTATTTATTTAGGAAATGCAAAATGCAGCTGTTTCCCCTGCTTTTTCCATTGCATTGCCACGCATCTGGGACATTCAGCAAAATTCCCCCATGACACCATTTTTACACCCGAAAATATTAGGAATTATCCTGACTTACGGCGAGCCAACACACGACAGAATTCTGTCCCTTCTCACAGAATTGAGGCAACAACTGCTCAGCTATAACTATACAAAAGAGTCTAATGTTTGTAACGGTGACTATATAACATAGGCATGGTGGTTCAAGCAAAATGACAAACCATTACATTGGACTCACCATTTCATACAGTTATTCGTACAATGAATGACTGGAGGAAAAACCCATCTTTATCAGATATTTATATCCAGTGCTTTTTTTCTGGGGGGACGCAGGGGGTACGCATACCCCTAAACACTTTGTGAATCTAAATTGAAGGGCAGTATTTCAATATGAGTAGGGAAATGAGAGTATCCCAAAACACTATTTTTTAATAAAAAAGCACTGTTTATATCCTTTCGACAGAGGGGACAAAAGACTGGTTAAAGCAGCGGTTGGCAACCTAAGACAACATTGGCCCATGGGGTTGTTTAACCGGCCCCCGAGCCACCCCTGAACCGAGCCGCCTGCTCAGTGAGTCCCTGCGTGCTGCGCTAAAGTGGCGCAGCGCAGCATGGGGACTCGCTTCCACGGCGCTGGAAATCGTGTCTGTGCAGGCGCCGGAAATTGCGGCCCACGGAGGGATCTCCACTGGAGTGAACTGGCTCAGGCGAGGTAAACCTTGCCGACCTCGGGGTTAAAGTATGTGTGTGTGTGGGAAGACACAAGAATTACCCACCCGAGAAGAATGGCAGACGAAAGTGATGGACTATATGGAATTGGCTGAGATGACTGGCAGAATCCGAGACCAGGGAAAAGGGTCGGTGGAAGAAGATTGGAAAAAATTTAAAATATATCTTCAAAAATATTGTAATATTAAAGACTGTTAGAAAGATGTTGGAAAAAGAAAATTAGGCAGTTTTGGTAGATATGATATAAAGGATTAAGCAAAAATGAGCTGATGAAATTGATGAAACAGAGGATGTTTAATTATAATATTTTAAATTAAAACACGTGAATGAAAATAAGGTTGGAAGGATTTGCTGAAAAAACGATCTGAACTAGAATACAAAATTGGGAGGTGAGAGGAGGTCAAGGAAATAAGTAAAGGGAAAAGTTATGTAAAGGTTTAATCTGTTTTTGTTCTATTTTAATTCAATGCATTTTTATATCTTTTGTTTTGCTTTTTTTATTCTATTTTATTGTTCTCTTTTTTCTTGTTACTTTTTGCTCTGTTATGGTTAAATTTTTCTTTGTATTTTGTACTGTTTTTTTTTTCTTTTTGCAATTTTAAACTTGGAATAAATATCATTTAAAAAAAATAAAAATAAAGTATGTGTGTGTGTGAAGGGACACCTAGTTTACATTAAAACAGTTTTGCGTACCTTATTGCAACACAGACAAACATATAAGGCAGGAGTGGAGAACATTGTAGGGAGCCCAACAATATCTGAAACACAACTCGCAGCCAGCTTGGCCAGTGATCTGGAATGATGGGAGTTGGAGTCTGGCAACAGCTGAATGGCCACACAGGTACCCCACCCTGATGTATGACATTCAAAACTGTACTGGAACAATCCGGGCAAGAGGCAGGGAACCCCCCTTCCCCTCCTCCCAATTTTGTCTAATCTCTGCTTTCTGAGATACATTTTTGGAGAAGTGAAAGAACAGGCCATCTATGCAGGCCATCCCATAGCATTACTAAAGTAAAAGAAACCTCTCTGTCACGGTACCTTCTCTTGGGCTCGGCTGAATTGCTTTTGGACCCGCTTCGCAAACAACCCAGCGCCTCCGGTCTTGCCCTCTGCCATGGCTGCGTCTAGTTGTGCAGTTTCTTTTTTCAGCATCTAGTTGTGGTTTAATTCTTTCTTCTTCTTTTTTTTTAACTTTCGTGGAAGGAAGTTTAAGAAAGGGGTGTCAGCTGTCACCAGGCTTGGCATCCGTTTAACCATCAGTTTTGGGGTGTGTGTGTCTCCTCAGCTGAACGCTGGGTAAGCGAGGCTTTCTTCACAGGAACAGAACAGCAGCAACTTGTTAAAATCGGCATTTCATCCGTTTCAAAGTTATTTTGCAACTCTGAGACCGTGAGGTACACTCACATCCTCTTCTTCTGCAAAGCAAGTGTTCTAATGGCTGTTTTACTCTCGGAAATGTGAAGTATTTTGAAATGGATGAAGTGCGGATTGAAACACGTTTTATTATTGTGCGATATGTTGCAATCTGCCTTGTGGCCTTGCAGTGAAGACCTAGGTACAAATGCTGGAAAATAAGGTGGAAGAAAAATGAATTGCTAGATTAGGCCAGAAAGGTCAAATTCTGGATAGGGCTTTGTGTCTAGAAATGTCTCTCAGTGCTTGCTTGCTTGCTTTATTTATTTCCAAAAAATGTTTCAAAGGTGGTATAGGACAGATATCTCTCTCTCTCTCATAATTTTTTCTTTATGTTCATAGTAGAAAGAATGTATACACAACTATCTAAAAAGTAATAATGTTCTAAACAACATCAAATTACAGTATACCAAGGGTGCCTTTCTGTCAGCATTCTGTGGAAGAGATCAAAGTGCATTCTGGGAAATTTAGGTTTGCACAATTAAAGTGGATTAATGGGACGCGGGTGGCTCTGTGGGTTAAACCTAGGGCTTGTCGATCAGAAGGTCGGCGGTTTGAATCCCCGCGACAGGATGAGCTCCCGTTGCTCAGGCCCAGCTCCTGCCAACCTAGCAATTCGAAAGCATGTCAAAGTGCAAGTAGATAAATAGGTACCACTCTGGCGGGAAGGTAAACGGCGTTTCCGTGTGTTGCTCTGGTTCGCCAGAAGTGGCTTAGTCATGCTGGCCACATGACCCAGAAGCTGTATGCTGGCTCCCTTGGCCAATAAAGCGAGATGAGCGCCGCAACCCCAGAGTCGGCTACGACTGGACCTAATGATCAGGGGTCCCTTTACCTTTACCTTTAATGGGCTCAGAGCACTGGAAAGTGTGGAATGAACAAACGGCTAACTGGAAGATGTATAAAACACCAAGCAAGCAGATCTGGAGGAATATAGGATGAAGGCTCCTTTTCATGTAACAGGTCAGAACAAAAGTTTAGTAAAGGGCATCTATAACCTAATGTGTGTATAAGAGTTGTCCACCAAATCAGGATGAATGCTCAATAAATAGGTTATCTGAAGGAACCTAAATTCCATGTAGTGCACAGTAGAAAATGGGCAGCTCACCCTTCAGGGGAAAAGCTCTCTTAAAAAACAAAGTTTTTAGTAGCAATTGTGCTGATGTCGACAGAAATCAGATATTGTTTGTGTGCTTGTTTACGTTCAACCTGGATGTTTGGAGTCAAATATTAGGAGCAGCAGAAACAGGAATTATTTCACCTTTCTGGTGTTAGAATTTTGGAGGTTCTTGGCACAAAGCAGCAGAGTGAGCCTTTATTTCAGCTGTTAATAGCCAAAAGAATCTTAATTGCTCAATTTTGGGAAGACACTGGCCATATAGTTATTCTAATAAACTCATTTCTAAAATGTAGGGAGAAGAGAATTAGAATGTTGAGGGTTTGGGGAATTGTCCACCAAAAGTAATGGAAATAGCGGTTTGACTTGCTGAATATTTGAACAATAGAACCAGGGTAAATAAGTGGTTAGAATGCGTTGGATTAGGAATGGTGAGACTCGTGTTCAAATTCCCACTCAGCCAGGAAGCTCATTGTGTAACCTGGGGTCAGTCACAACCTCACAGCCTATATCAGGGCTCAGCAAACATTTTCAGCAGGGGGCCAGTCCACTGTCCCTCAGACCATGTGGTGGGCCGGACTATATTTTGAAGAAAAAAAATGAACGAATTCCTATGCCCCACAAATAACCCAGAGATGCATTTTTAAATAAAAGGACACATTCTACTCATGTAAAAACATGCTGATTCCTGGACCGTCCACGGGCCAGATTTAGAAGGCGATTGGGCCGGATTCGGTCCCTGGGCCTTAGTTTGCCTACCCATGGCCTAAACCTTTCTCACAGGGTTGTTCTGAGGATAAATTAGGGGAGCCCTTTGAAGGAGGAATGGAATAAAGATGTTAAAAACCCCCCACAAAAATTGTTCTTGGAATTTTATAGTACTTTTAATAATCAGTCAAAATTCATAAAGGCGTCAAAATTATATTAATGCATATAATACACACATATGCATCAATATAATTTTGGTGCCTTTATGAATTTGGGTTGGGAAATAGCTTTGCATATTTTGTGTGCTTTTTGCTTTGTGTGTATTGTAATGAAAGAGATTACTGATAATAAGGTTGCTCAGAAACTTCCAGTATGTAGGGAGGGGGAATTGCAAGACAAACCATATTGGGTAGAACCCAACATTTCACAGGCAGACTTCTGCTCATGCAATGGGACTTCACCTTTTCCCCCTCCCCCCTGCCTTGCCCCCCAAATGTACTCTAGAGGACGGTCCCTCCTAACTCTTTGGAAAAGATTTTGCTGGTATGGGGGTGCTGCAGGGAAAGGAAAGGAAGGTGAAGTCCCACTGTGCAAGCAGAAGTCTGTTCCACTCATGCATAGACAGCTCTAGGTACCACCCCAAAAACAGAAAGCTTGTGATGACTTGTTCAGATATGGTCATTTTGCAATTTCCCTATATTACTGATATATTGATTTTAGAGTCTATGTACAATCAACTGCTGTATAGAATCAACTACAGTGGTACCTCAGGCTACAGATGCTTCAGGTTACAGACTCCGCTAACCCAGAAATAGTACCTCGGGTTAAGAACTTTGCTTCAGGATGAGAACAGAAATCGCATGGTGGAGGCACGGCGGCAGCGGGAGGCCCCATTAGCTAAAGTGGTGCTTCAGGTTAAGAACAGTTTCAGGTTAAGAACAGACCTCCAGAACGAATTAAGTTCTTAACCCGAGGTACCACTGTTCTACAAAATAAAGAAGGAACAAAGTAGTCCAATATACAGTCTTATTTTTCTGTGAGGTTGCAGTTTTCCACCATCGGAACTTGCTGGGAAATGGCATTAACCTCCGGTACAAATTTAGTTTGGTTTGAGGAAGTTACCTGAAAGAAGAACTTACAGGGGAAAAAAATTCTTATGAAGTCAAACACTATTAAAGAAGAAGAAGAAGAAGAAGAAGAAGAAGAAGAAGAAGAAGCAGCCGCCAAAAACCAACAACTCATCAACACCCAGGGTTGGGGTAAAAGGAACTGTAGTTGTGGGAGCAGACAAAGGCTTGAGGTTGTACAGCAGCAAACAAGTTGAGCATCTCTGCAGATGAAAGTTGTGTTTTATGGTAGTCCACACCTTGACCTATGGGTTGTATTCAGGGGCTCAAGATCCTTACCTCCTCCTCACATAAGTTGATAGATTGCCAGTAGAATATCTGCATTTTGTGAAGAATGCTGGGCACCTTTTTTTTTTTAAAAAAAAAGACAAATCATGATAATGATGATGGACTAAGCTAAAATGGTGAAAATGACCGGGAAGACCAGAAACTAAGAAGATAGAAACTTTAACAAGGAATGGGGAAAATTATAAGTTATCTAAGAGAACACTGAAAACAACTAAAAACTTTGGCAGGATCATAGCAACACTTGTAATCTATGAAAAACTAAGGTAAAAAAGGGTTTTTAAGAAAAATGGAGCAATTATAAAATGCAGTAGAAACATTTGACAATGCAAACCATGGAGGGGGGGAATCCTATATGTTAATGATTATTGTTTAAATTCTAATGTATATTGTAAAACTGAATATATATTTTTTTAAATAAAAAAGACAAGTCATAACAGTTACTTGGGGGTGGTAAACCATGGCAGTTAAACTTAGCAAAGTTTGTAGTGCAGAGGCTCTTCGTGACAAAGCAAAATGAAACAGCAAGCTTCTGATGTGATCCTGGAGCCCCCCCCCGCCCAGTTTCTCCCAGCCAGTGGACAGGGGCTCCTGGGTGGGGGGCAGCAGCTTTGGGAAGGAGGCAGTTGGGCTCTAGGAGTCCTCACATCTCTTGCCCCCAGCCTTACAAGTCCTTCCTCTTGTTGCTTTCTTCAGGCAAGCTTTTGGGTAGGTTAGAATCCACCAGTTTCAGCCCGCCTTCATTCATAGCCAGTTGTTGTGACTTTGGATTTATTGTACAACAGCAACCACCTTAGCTGGGGCATTAGGGGGACTAGTGAGCACATTCTAAAGTTTGAGCTAAGATTGGCCAGAGGCGCAGTCTCGAAACCAGGCCCTAGTATGTTGTAGGAGCTATAGTAGAAGCACCTCTAACTCTGGGTCCTCCCCCTGCCAGAGATGTAACAGGGATTATTGTTGGGCAGGATCTGACCAGATGGAGGTAAAGCACCAAGCTGCATGTAGCCTGTTGAGACTTGGGACTCAGCTACATTAGTAAAAAAAACGACAGCGCTTTGAATGCATTATAAACATGCGACACCAGATGGCACTGGAGAGCAAAAAAAAATATTTGCTATTTTACATAGCGCTTTTTTTCTTTTGGTATAACAATTTAATTTCTGGCTTATTATAGTGTTTCCTGCCCCCCTGTGTGTAGATCTGCCCTTGCACTTTGAGAGAGATGAAGCAGTGCCAATGTCACAGCTGCCAAGGGGCGGTGACACCAGGTGGAGAAGTGAGAAAAGAAGGGACAACAGAGCTTTCTTCCAAGACAGTTCAGAAAAGAGGAACAACCCATTTATTTTTAACTATACTTCATGCTTCTTCAGAGGAAACAGAGGTGAGTAACCATAATTCCTAACGTGATCAAAAGCCATACCCATGTAACCAGAAGCTAAGTAAAGAAAAGCAATTTTTTTACTGTTACCTGCAAGAGATGTGCACAGGTTTCCCCCCCCCCCAAGGTTCTCTTGGACTTCATAACCCTCTGTATATATTTTTACAAAGCCACTAGCAGCCTCGTAGCTGGTGTAGCTTGGGAATTGGAGGGGAGGGAGAAATCAGTGCAGTTTTGAAAGGCTCAATCTGCCATCTTGATTCAAAATGGCACCTAATTGTATGTAAACGTAGACAAAAACCTGCTCCTTTATCTCAGGAACCACCATGAAAAGAATTGGTCACGATACCTTGAGAGGTGTCCAAATGGACAACCTACTGTCCAAAACACGTATCAGATTGGAGCAAAGACCACACTAAAAACTAGTACAGTCGTACCTTGGTTTTTGAACAGCTCAGTTCTCGAACATTTTGGCTCCCGAATGCTGCAAACCCGGACATGGTTGTTCCGGTTTGTGAACTATTTTTGGAAGCCAAACGTCTGATGGGGCGTCCAATTGCAGGAAGCTCCTGCAGCTAATCAGAAGCTGCGCTTTGGTTTCCGAACATTTTGGAAGTCAAATGGACTTCTGGATTCCGTTTGACTTCCAAGGTACAACTGTATTGAGATGTTGTGGACTGCTCATGACTGTCCCATGTCTCTTTCCTCATGCGTCATCTGCTAGTGCCCACTGCGGTCATTCCCCAATCTGAGGTCCCCCCAGATGAAAAATTCATGGGGAGAGCTATCAATGGCTACTAGTCAGAGGCAGTAATGCCTCTTAATGCCAGCTGGAAACTGCAGATAGATTCTGCTTAGGCATCTGGTTGGTCACTGTGAAAACAGGATGCTGGACTGAATGGGCCCCTGGCCTGATCTAGAAGGTTCTTCTAATGTTCTACATGGGGCTGTTGTCTGAGCAATATGTCTACCTTGTTGTTGTTGTTTAGTCGTTTAGTCGTGTCCGACTCTTCATGACCCCATGGACCAGAGCACGCCAGGCACTCCTGTCTTCCACTGCCTCCCGCAGTTTGCTCAAACTCATGCTGGTAGCTTTGAGAACACTGTCCAACCATCTCGTCCTCTGTCGTTCCCTTCTCCTTGTGATCTCCATCTTTCCCAACATCAGGGTCTTTTCCAGGGACTCTTCTCTTCTCATGAGGTGGCCAAAGTATTGGAGCCTCAGCTTCAGGATCTGTCCTTCCAGTGAGCACTCAGGGCTGATTTCCTTCAGAATGGATAGGTTTGATCTTCTTGCAGTCCATGGGACTCTCAAGAGTCTCCTCCAGCACCATAATTCAAAAGCATCAATTCTTTGGCGATCAGCCTTCTTTATGGTCCAGCTCTCACTTCCATACATCACTACTGGGAAAACCATAGCTTTTACTATACGGACCTTTGTTGGCAAGGTGATGTCTCTGCTTTTTAAGATGCTGCCTAGGTTTGTCACTGCTTTTCTCCCAAGAAGCAGGCGTCTTTTAATTTCATGGCTGCTGTCACCATCTGCAGTGATCATGGAGCCCAACAAAGTAACATCTCTCACTGCCTCCATTTCTTCCCCTTCTATTTGCCAGGAGGTGATGGGACCAGTGGCCACGATCTTCGTTTTTTTGATGTTGAGCTTCAAACCATATTTTGCACTCTCCTCTTTCACCCTCAGTAAAAGGTTCTTTAATTTCTCCTCACTTTCTGCCATCAATGTTGTGTCATCTGCATATCTGAGGCTCTTGATATTTCTTCCGTCAATCTTAATTCCGGCTAGGGATTCATCCAGCCCAGCCTTTCGCATGATGAATTTTGCATATAAGTTAAATAAGCAGGGAGACAATATACAGCCTTGTCTACCTAGACCTATGCAAACTGATCCTACTTGCTACCAACCACCCCATGGGCAGTTCAAAAAGACACACCATATGGCTAATTGGTTTTGGAAATGAAGAACCTTCAGAAAGCAGATCTTTCAGAAGCATTGCAGCTTGCTGTTCCAATAAATAAAAAAACAAATTTGAAAACCCCAGGGCCTGCCCAAACTCTTGGGTGTGGCTAAACCAGCTTTTTGGATCCCAGACATTATGTGAACTCTCTTGCTTAGTGGTGCAAAATTATGTGACTGGGCAATATTTCCAGAACAACACTTCATTGCTGCTGTTCTTATTTGGATGTATGAAAATACGTCCCACACATATATTGTCCTGTGCCCTTTTGCTGATAAATGTTGTGGTCACTGGCAACCGCATGAAAATTAATGGTTCTGGAGATAAAAGGGCAGGAAAATGGTTGCCAGTTTGGAATCTCCACAGACCCCAATGGCTTATGTATAAATATCCTCCAATGTTTGACTCAAGATATGAAATACTCAGAAGCAATTAAAAAGTTCGTTGTGTGGCAGTAAGGGAGCAACACCCAACTTCCATGGGGTCTGATATACCCAGCCAAAATAAAATTCTTTTTTAAAAATTTTTTTGGAGTCCAACATATTTATACAGAATACACTTAAAACATGAGGACTGATCAAAGGGAAGACTTGAAGCTAATATTTTTCTCAAAAGCAGCTTCCAACATTAGTCTGCTATTTAACACTCTCTCTCTCTCTCTCTCTCACACACACACACTGTTCAAGAGCGCACACACACACACACACACACACACACACACACACTGTTCAAGAGCAATTTGAAAGGAAGCAAAGTCACACAAGATTCTCTTGTAAAATAGAATTTTAAGTTTTATTATTTCCAGTTGTAATTTACCAAGGCAGGTCTTTGCCTTTCAGCTAAAGCCTTCCTGGAAATGAACACAATGGGAAAACCAATGTCACCTCTGCATTCAAAATCTAGGGAAACAGTCAGCACCTTTGGTCTTTCTTCAAAAAACCCCACAAACAAACGGCTTTTAAAGTGTAGTGTGCTCAAAAACACCCAATTCTTAGGATGTTCTAGAGGTACATTTTCCTTCAAATTCATCTCTACACTTTGCATTAAATGGACAGTGCAATAGCTAATCAAGCTATGGGTAAGAAGAGGCTCATTGTGAAGTCACGACGAAGCTGCTGCTTTGTGGCTGAACAGCATCTTGGGCTTGCATTTGGGGAAAAAAATAAAAAACCCCACCTCCAGTGACACCCCAAAAACAAATAAGCTATTTTTCTTAACAGCATACAAAACAAATGAGGAAGACAGGGTTTTGCTCCATCAGGCAACTGCAACTAGCAGTATATCATGTACTAATTTACTTCAGCAGGTGTTTTTGTAAAGACAGGCACGCACACACTCATTCCCTGTTGGGTAGTCTCAACAATCCCATCCATGAAGGTGATTCTGCAGGTTTCTGCAGCATCTGTTCCCTCAAAGCAAGCAGCTTCTCCATCTGGTCTTAAAAAATATAGGCACATTAGCAGCTTTCCTCGCTCTAAGGCATCGCAGTGTACAATCAAGGTAATGAGAGGATCAGGAAGTTGTCAAACCGTGCAGACTACACAAACAGGTGGGGAGGGGGTCAAGTTCATGTCAAAGGCCTCTGGAGGTCTGGACTGCAGTGATCAGAAAGGCACACCAGGTCCCTGGGAGTCGTAAGGAAGGGCCTAGCAAAAATGCTACCCTTCCATCATTCCTTTGCTTGAGGTCCAGGGAGTACATCTCCCCTCTTTGGTAAAGGGATTAAGCTGCCTTGAGGATGCTTTAAAAAAGAGAGAAAGGGACTTATTTGCAGCACGATGGTGAGAGGCCTGACGAGGTAAGGCACTGGCAAGGGGCTGTGCAAAGAGGTGAAGATTTCAGCCACAAAACAATACCACACTCCAGTGTTCCACTATTGTAAAATGCAGTCCTAACCTACTGAAACTTGGGGGGGCGGGGCAACAGTTTCTGCACTGCCCACCGGCATCAGTGTGCAAGATCCTTGGGGGGGGGGAGAAACACAGCTGAGAAACTCTTAGAAATGTCCCCCCAAAGTCTTTACAATGCAGTTTCTCCTTCCACAGTCTCCGTGTGGTCAGAAGATGCTTTTCCTATGTAACAGAGTTTAAAGTCATTCTTATCTTTGGCATCAGTTATTTTCTAAACTATCCCACAGGTAAACTATTTCTTAGGGCAGGCTCTGCAGCTCCGCAAGCTGCTACTTTCTATGCTGCTCACAGCATACAAAAGTTAAGAGGAAAAAAATATTTTACATCCTATCAATGCCCCCCCCCTTTAAATCTACTGCAAAATAAAACCACCGTTGTTGTCCGTCTCACAATATGGAGCTTTGATTAACAATACTTATGGTACTCTAAAGGGCAAACTCACCAGCTTGGAATTTTACTTAATTAAAAAGAACTAAAGATACACCAACGGTTTGCTGTGTCCTCTTTGACCATCCCATCCCACAAAGGCACAAAAGTGTTTTGTAAGTCAAGTGTGATTACGCAGCATATTTGACTGGGTTCCCTTCTTTCTCTGAACTTGTCCTCTGTCTTCTTGGTAGTGGAGTTAAGAGAACAGAAACTTTCACAAGAGGACGTTGGCAACAGGCTACGTGGTCTTGGCCAGGATCGCTTAGCTGAAGTACCAAAGCTGGTGGGGGTCTGCAGAGTTGCAGGAAGCCATGGAAGGGTGCTCTCCCCTTGCAGACAGACATTTGTTAGATGCCACATTTTTAAGGAGGTGATCCTAAAAAAAGAAGAAATTGAAGAGCATTGCCTTAGATCACTCCAAAGTCCATCCAAGCCCAGTATTCTATCCCTAAGAGAAGTAGGAGAGATTCCTATGAGCAATTAGAAAAGGAGAACACAAAGCTGATAGATTTTCCCTGTATCCTCACAGAGTGTGATTTATGGATATTATACCACTGTACCTATAGCTCAGCGGGACGCGGGTGGCGCTGTGGGTAAAACCTCAGCGCCTAGGGCTTGCCGATCGCATGGTCAGCGGTTTGAATCCCCGCGGCAGGGTGAGCTCCCGTCCTTCGGTCCCAGCTCCTGCCCACCTAGCAGTTCGAAAGCACCCCTAAGTGCAAGTAGATAAATAGGTACCGCTTTATAGCGGGAAGGTGAACGGCGTTTCCGTGTGCTGCGCTGGTGCCGGCTCGCCAGAGCAGCTTTGTCACGCTGGCCACGTGACCCGGAAGTGTCTCCGGACAGCGCTGGCCCTCGGCCTCTTAAGTGAGATGGGCGCACAACCCTAGAGTCGGACACGACTGGCCCGTACGGGCAGTGGTACCTTTACCTTTACCTATAGCTCAAGGTCGTGGGTGGCACTGTGGGTTAAACCACAGAGTCTAGGGCTTGCCGATCAGAAGGTTGGCGGTTCGAATCTCCGCGACGGGGTGAGCTCCCGTTGCTCGGTCCCAGCTCCTGCCCACCTAGCAGTTCGAAAGCACGCAGTGCAAGTAGATAAATAGGTACCACTCTGGAGGGAAGGTAAACAGCGTTTCCGTGCGCTGCTCTGGTTTGCCAGAAGCGGCTTAGTCATGCTGGCCACATGACCCGGAAGCTGTACGCTGGCTCCCTCGGCCAGTAAAGCGAGATGAGCGCCACAACCCCAGAGGTCTGCGACTGGAACTAATGGTTAGGGGTCCCTTTACTTTTTTACCTATAGCTCACAAGGCTTCCAAGGAAGTCCAGCACTCTAGGAATATGCAATTCTTTGGGGCAGGACCAAATGCCCCTCTTGAAATTTGCCTGGTATTTGCTGGGGTCAAAGTTAATTGGTTTTGGGGGTGGAGGAGGGGAAATATTTGCAGTGTTTCTGAAGTAAGGGGGGTGCACTTACCATAGCAAAAGCATCCTCTCCCCTCCTGACTGTGGGGAAAATATCTGCTACTCAAGTCAGGTTTTTGTTGTTGTTTGTGGCAAATGACCATTAACAAGGAAAATGTTAACTCCTGTTGCTGCTACCATGGACAGCAGCCGCCAGGGGACAAGACAGGAGTTCTTCTGGGTGGTCAGAGAGTGGCTACAGCTTCCTGCACTCCCCTGAAGGCCAGAATATCCCATAAGCATGTTTGTGGTGAAGAATTGTGGCTCATTTGACATTTCCCCCAATTCTGGAAGTTTATTGTTTATTTTTTGAAAAGGGTCTCCTTATCCTTAGCACCATGGTCAGCATACCTCACCGCTGCCAAAACACTGTGAATATGGCCACCCCACAAACAAAATCACCCCGTTGGAGTTCTGCAGACTCACTTGCCCCCTCCAAAAAACAAGAGCCAGAAACATCTTAATTCCAGTGTTTTTCATCACAGCCCTATTGTTTAAAGAGAGATTAAAACCCTGTCTTTGGCATCAACCATTTTCAGACAGGTTATTAAGCATACGTGTTTATTTAGCTAAGCTCATTTGGCTCTCATGGGGAGGAAGGACAGGATATAAATGGAATAAATTAATAAATACTAGTTAGTCAATGAGAGACTTGCCCCTTCATGAATTTTTAGAATGACTTTTTTTTTGAGACCATCACCAGACCAGGTGCTAGAGCAGGCATAGGCAAACTCGGCCCTCCAGATGTTTTGGGACTCCCATCATCCCTAGCTAACAGGACCAGTGGTCAGGGATGATGGGAATTGTAGTCCCAAAACATCTGGAGGGCCAAGTTTGCCTATGCCTGTGCTAGAGAAACATGGAACAACCCAGCAAACAAACAGCATTGTGAAAATGGAGTTCTCTCTCTTCCCCACTTCCCCTTCAAAGCCAAGAGGGATCGTCAGATCCTCCTTTGTGGTGGCTGCTGCAACTTCTCATTACAGCACACCCCAAGCCCACACTCAGTGGCTGCTCTCAGAAGGAACTCCTTGCTCTCCAGAAAAAATGGCAGAATAGAACTGCCCATTATGTACTTTGGCCAGGCCAGGCCACGCTGTAGCCATAGCAGCAAGGGGTGTCTGTCTGGCAAGAAGTGGATGACCGATGGGGGGGCAAAAACAGGGGTTCCGAGAGCAAGAGAGAAGCACGCTGCTCTGAAATCTACCTATGTCTATAACTTAAAGCACTCACATTAGTCAGTTCCCATTCTTCATTTTCCGGCACCCGGGAGTGCTTCCCTGTATAGTGGCAGTCTCCCAGTTCCACGGGTCCCATCTTGGAACGGAGGCAGAGCTGCTTGCCGATGTTGTGCCGCAGGTCTCGCTGGGATGTGTATTCAAAGTACTGAGAACGACACACAAAAGAACAGCCACCGGGGAGTTGCTAAGAGGCCTTCCTCATCAGAAAACAACTGAGAGGAGAAGCTAAGGGGTTTTTAGTAGCAATGTTACAAGGAGTATGTAAAAATGGACTGCTAACAGATGAGAATATACAGTTATTACATATTAAGACAAAGGACTAAGATAAAAACAAAGAGGGAAAGGATTTGCTGAATTAACTTACTGAACTGGAATACAAAAAGGGGAGGTGTGAGGAGGTCAGGGAAACAAGTGAATGAAAGACAAGATATGGAAAGATTGATTTGTTTTTAATTGTTTTTACTTTTTTGTATTTTGTATTCTCTTTTTTCTTTTTTTATTCTTTTTTTCTTTTTTATTATTATTATTGTAACTTTTTTTTTTTTTACTTTTGAAACTTTAATAAATATCTTATAAAAAAAGAAAAGAAAACAACTGAGAGGAGTCAGGCTTTTGCTTTGTTCTGGAGTAGAGCGGTTTATTTTTACACGTCAAGAAAACGTGGATGCAAAACAAAGTGGTAGGCAATCCCTTTCCAGTTTTGTAAAACTGTTCTCAACTGTTTTGGGGAACAAGTCTATACAGTTGTACCTTGGTTGTCGAACTTTATCTGTTCGACTCCCGGAACCGTTTGAAAACCAAGGTGCGGCTTCCAATTGGCTGCAGGAACTTCCTGAAATCAATCAAAAGCCGCGGAAGCCGCGTCAGAAATTTGGCTTCCGAAAAAGGTTTGCAAACCAGAACACCTGCTTCTGGGTTCGCAGTGTTCAGGAGGCGATTTGTTCAGCTACTAAGCCGTTCGAGATCCAAGATATGACTGTAGAAGGTGTATTTTGATTAATGCAGTGTTCTTTTTTCTGTTTTAAAATGGAAACCTAGGGGGAAAATGTGGGTAAGCTCTTACACTAGGAAGGTAAAGGTAAAGGGACCCCTGACCGTTAGGTTCAGTCGTGAACGACTCTGGGGTTGCGGCACTCATCTTGCTTTACTGGCTGAGGGAGCCGGCATACAGTTTCCAGGTCATGTGCCAGCATGACTAAGCCGCTTCTGGCGAACCAGAGCAGCGCACGGAAACGCCATTTACCTTCCCGCCGGAGTGGTACCTATTTATCCACTTGCACTTTGACGTGCTTTCGAACTGCTAGGTTGGCAGGAGCAGGGACCGAGCAATGGGAGCTCACCCTGTCGTGGGGATTTGAACCGCCGACCTTCTGATCGGCAAGCCCTAGGCTCTGTGGTTTAGACCACAGCGCCACCTGCATCCCTTTATACTAGGGAAGTAATTCAGACAGTGCAGAACTATCTCTACAGAAGCACCTGTTTGCCTGAAATCACAGAGCAGCACAAAACTGCCAGACTGCAGTCCCTGAAAACATAGCCCTGTGGTGTGTGTTCAGACATGAGAAGAGACATGGGGTGGTGTCCAACGAAGCAGTTCCATTTGCACAAGGACTTTTGGCTGCGTAGTAGAACATCCCCTCCATCTCCATCTTTCCCTGTGTACCCACTAAATCTGTTCTGAGGTTTTTTCCAGTTCCCCAGAAGGGTTGGGAAAGCACATGAGAGGAGAAGGAAGGGAAGTTTCATTGCACAAATGGGAGTGTTTTGCTGGATTCCACCCTAAGACCGGACTTTTCTCATGAATTCCATACCTGATTGCCTCCCATCCCATGGCAGGGGTACATGATGAGCGGCTTCCCTCCATGGTTGTTCTCTCCAACATCCAGGCAGCGTTTGGCACCCTCATTTCTAATCTGAAAACAATACAACACTGTCAGGGGTCCATCTACAGCCGGAAGCAGTACCTAGGTGCGAATTTGCCTAAATACTCAGAGACACAGCCTTGTTGACTCTGCACTCTTTCTGTAAGCAGTGTGCAGTCCCGAATTCCCCCTCTTCAGCCCAGCTAACCTCCCACCTCTCTCAAAGCAACCATATCTAACTTATCTTCCATTTCTAGCTACTAGCATACCTAGTTCCTGCTCAAGAAACAAAAACTGTACCACTCCCTTGCAATATATACACCTTTTTTCTAAAACCTTCCCACTTAGGTTTCAAATCAGAATATTCTAAGTTCTGGAGACAGTGAAGGCCATTAGACTGGTTCCTTAGTAGAACTGACAGAGGGAGGGAGGGAGAGAAGCAGGGGCTTAGGAAGGGAGGTGGTGGGGGTGGACCGCCCTGGGTGCCCTCACTGAGGGGGTTGACATTCGGTGCGCCACCTGCCCGTGACTCCCAAGCTTACCCTGAGCCATCGAGGTAAGAGGGGGAGCTGTGCCGCTTTGCCGACGCTGTTCCCCCCTTCCCCCTTCATTTTGACAGCTTGGGGTAGGCTTGGGAGTTGCGGGCAGGTGGCGCGCTGAATGTTCGCCATGGGCGGCTCGCTCCATCCCCAGCTGCAGGGACCCTGAGCGGCTATTCCATGCCTGGGAGGACACACTCTGCACCACACACCCCTTGGGAGCGTGCCCGCTCTGGGCAGCGCAGGCATATGCTCCGCTACTGGAGGGAAGGAAGGAGTCAAGAGTTCATAAGCTGAGAAGTAAAGGTAAAGGTAAAGGGACCCCTGACCATTAGGTCCAGTCGTGACTGACTCTGGGTTTGCGGCGCTCATCTCGCTTTATTGGCCGAGGGAGCCGGCGAACAGCTTCCAGTCATGTGGCCAGCATGACTAAGCCGCTTCTGGCGAACCAGAGCAGCGCACGGAAACGCCGTTTACCTTCCCGCCGGAGCGGTACCTATTTATCTACTTGCACTTGGATTTGCTTTCGAACTGCTAGGTGGGCAGGAGCAGGGACCGGGCCACGGGAGCTCACCCCGTCGTGGGGATTTGAACCGCCGAGCTTCTGATCGGCAAGTCCTAGGCTCTGTGGTTTAACCCATAGTGCCACCTGCGTCCCTTAAGCTGAGAAGTACAGATTGACAAAGCAAAAATTAAAGCTTTTGAAGGCTGGTTAATGCAGGGTTTGCGTTCTGTAGCAAAGCCAAAGGGCAGCGAATAAAAGACGCATCCAGAGTTCCTTTTCTGCTGCATAGGTCCCTTCTTTAAAGCTCTGTGTCCGAGTGCTCCCCCCTCCTGCCTTGGCACTTCCCCCCAAACCTGCTGAATCATAGCAAATGGCAATCTGGGGGAAACCTGAAGTGCCCTTTGTTGTGCTTCAGCTTTAAAGCATGGCGTTGTGCTTGGAAAGCACAGGACAAAAGATATGAGTCGATGTGTGAAGACATGCATCATTTTCACTTGGTGGAGAATCAAACCTATTCCCGGAGTTTCACTCTTAGTCACATTGGAGTGGGATGGAAGATTGGAAATACACAAGCAATTTTAAATGTTTATACATGTAGGTTTTACAGGCCTACCATCTGGATTTGGAACATAGGGGGAAGCGGGGCACATTGATGCACCAACAATATTTCAATATCGAGAAATGTTATTTGTGTTGCGACATCACTAAAACGTGTCTATACATGTGTGAGTACAACAGTTGCGACTGCGCCGCCCGCCAGTTAGCCGTTGGCGTTTGACAAGAGTAGGTATGTTTTTAGCACGGCCAACTAAAAAATTACGTGAAATGTAAAAGTGTTCCAACGCTGTTTTATGTCGTTTAGTTACGATTTAAAAATACCCAAAGGTAAGTTATTGCACTCAGTAGTCAGGATTACACGTGATTTTTAAATAAGTTCAGTGGTTTTATTAATAATTGTTAGGTGTGGTTTTTCAAAAAAATATGTCCACTGGGGCACTTTGATACACTAAGACACGGGGCACATTGATACATATAAAAGTGCCCCACTAGTGTACAATAGTGCCCCAATATACAAGTTTGCATGAAATCTCTAAACTCATTAAATTTGAAAAGAAAAAAACTGTTGTTTACTACGTGGCCAAAGTCATTTCTAAATATAATATGACCGATTATCAAGTGTCATATCTCAGGAAAAAACCAGGACCTTGTATGTTTGTCAAACATCATCTCTTTGTACTTTTTCTATTGACTTAAGTGGATATAATGTGAAATAGAAGCTAAACTTTAAGTAGTTATATTATTTTTTATAAGCATTTTGTTTAAATTACTATTTTTTGAACTACCTAATGTGAGTTCTTATACTTTTTAAGTTTTTTTTTAATGGATAGGTGTTTGAGGAGAGATTAATGTAAGTTTTGATGTTTTGTTAAGAAAACCTGCCATAAAGTCTATGATATGTGTGAAACACTTTTAGTTTTGACACGTAATTTAAATTTTAAGTAGCTAATTGTAAGGCTGATTATGATCTCTCACAATAAAAAATGTTTTTTCATTAAATTTTTGCAAATAATTACTATTCTCATACAATTTATGCTTTGTATCAAAGTGCCCCATCGGTGGGGCAGAATGATACAAACCCCATTTTTTTTTACTGAAGTCATTATATTCTCATTATCTTCTAACTTTAATGGTTCTTTTGATTGCTATTATAACATTGATTAGTTATGCCATGCATCAAGCAAAAATAAAAAATAAAAAATCATTTGACTCATTTTTGTTACATAAAATATGAGATTGAATTTTTCTGTATCAATCTGCCCCACTTCCCCCTACATATATTCTCAATCCGAATCTGGACCAGATACTGGCATTCTGAGCCAGTCCTCACTGCAGAATATATTATGAACCAAGGAAGGGCCAAGTGGAAAATTTGGGGTGTTTCTTCCTGAGGCATCTGGCGGAACGTGGTTGGATATAGAAGGCAAGGCTAGATGCTCCTTTGCTGTGGCCCAGAAAGAACTCTCTCATGCAGTGAACACGCCAAACCCACACTTACAGCTCCGTAAAACGCCGGCGTAAGGTCTGGGATGAAGATCTCGGGATAAATGGTTTGTAGGTACCAGGTGAAGTTCTTGCAATGTAACCGCTCCTTCAGCTCAAGCCTCTCAGCGAGGTCTCCATACGTTTTCTGACAAGGCACAGCATGGTTTGTTTGTTTTTGAAGTATCAGTTCATAAAAAGGAGACACTATCACTGCCCACCCTCTTTCCTGTATAAGGTAAAGGGACCCCTGACCATTAGGTCCAGTTGTGACCGACTCTGGGGTTGCAGCGCTCATCTCGCTTTATTGGCCAAGGGAGCCGGCATACAGCTTCCGGGTCATGTGGCCAGCATGACTAAACCACTTCTGGCGAACCAGAGCAGCGCACAGAAATGCCGTTTACCTTCCCGCTGAAGCAGTACCTATTTATCTGCTTGCACTTTGACGTGCTTTCGAACTGCTAGGTTGGCAGGAGCAGGGACCGAGCAATGGGAGCTCACCCCGTTGCGGGGATTCAAACCGCCGACCTTCTGATCAGCAAGTCCTCGGCTCTGTGGTTTAACCCACAGCAGAACCCACCAAATCTCTAAATGAATTCTGAAAACAAACAATTCCTTACTTTATTTTTTTATTTGCTTAAGACAGCGGTCAGCAAACTTTTTCAGCAGGGGGCCGGTCCACTGTCCTTCGGACCTTGTGGGGGGCCGGACTATATTTTTTTGGGGGGAAATGAACGATTTCCTATACCCCACAAATAGCCCAGAGATGCATTTTAAATACGTAAAAGCACACATTCTACTCATGTAAAAACACCAGGCAGGCCCCACAAATAACCCAGAGATACATTTTAAATAAAAGGACACATTCTACTCATGTAAATACACGCTGATTTCTGGACCATCCGCGGGACAGCTTTAGAAGGTGATTGGGCCACATCCAGCCCCTGGGCCTTAGCTTACCTACCCATGGCTTAAGATGCGAGAACGGCTGTCTTAAGCATATGCGGCGCTGGGGTGGTAAGATCCGCACGGTGCGCCCCCCCCAGTTGCCCAGTCCCAGGCACGCAGGAGGACGGAGCTGGCTGGCCGCTTCAGCATCTCGCTGGTTCGGTCGCCCCCAAACTCACAGCGCAGAGCCGGTTGCAGCAGAAGAGCCCGCTGTGGCGCTCTGACCAATGGGCAGGCTCTTCCCTGGACTCAACTCTCGGCCCCTGGACTCTCGGCCTGGCGCCCCTGAGAGCCCGACGCCCAGGTGCCCTGCACCCCTAGCGCCTATGGGTAAGATGGCCCTGGATGCGAGCTTAAATCCAAGGTAGGCCTCAGCCCTGGGCGTTGCATGAGGAGTCTGCAGAGGCTTAGAGGGGCTCCACATTGCTCTCCTTTCTAGACTTCTGGAGGTTCTTGAGGGTAAGTTGCCCCCAACTGCCACCACCTGGCAAGGCCCCAGCAGATCTCTCCCTGCTCCCCAGCCTATGCTTGGGCACTTCAGGGGTCAGAGAGGGGCAACTCTCAGTCATCCAACCACTGAAACAGTGGAACGGTCTTCCTTGAGAGGTTGGACTCTCCTTCCTTGGAGGTTTTTTAAGCAAAGGTTGGATCGCCATCTGTCATGGATGCTTTAGTTGAGGTTCCTGTATTGCAGGGGGTTGGACTAGATGGCCCTTGGGGTCCCTTCCACCTCTACAATTCTATGCTTCTATGAAATGCCCATACAGTCATACCTCAGGTTACAGATGCTTTAGGTTGCACGATTTCGGGTTGCGCACCATGCCAAACCCGAAAGTACTGAAACAGGTTACTTCCGGGTTTCAGTGCTTGCACATGTGCTAAATCGCACTTTGCGCATGTGCAGAAGTGCTGAATCGCAACCCGCGCGTGTGCATGTGCGGTGCTGCGGGTTGCGAATGTGCTTCTTGCACGGATCACGTTCGCAACCCGAGTGTCCACTGTACAGGGCTTTTTCTTGCCTTGGTGAGGCTCCCTGCAACTATGTTTGAGAACCCTCTTCACTACAGCTGAATCAGCTCTACATAGAGAAATGAGAAGACGCTATGCAACAACTCTGAATCAGACCTCCCCAAAATGTTGTCCTCGAGATGTTTGGACTGCAACTCCCGTCAACCCTGATCATAGACTCTGCCAGTTGGGGCTGATGGAACTTGTAGTCCAAAAACTGAGGAAGGCTGCTCTAAATACATGCTTGAAAACAAGGGACGGGCACTCCTGATCCTTCAGAGCAACTTCCAGGGCAAGTTGGCTTACATACCTCTCTAGCCATCTGGGAGGCCTGCTGGTTCCTTCTGTAGAAGATTTCCTTGTAGTCGTCCATCCAGACTTCCGCCAGACGCACCTGGTTCCTGGAGATGACTTGAGTTCCTTTGGGGAAGGTGTGGGGACTCTTGGAACGGAACACGTGGCCAACCACGGAGCAGGGGATGATCTCCAGCTGGCCCCCACACTGCCAAACCTGCAGAAAAGATATGCCCCCCATGCCAACAGAAAGCCTTAATTTGAGCCTGCCTGGGCCAAGGTGTGAAATGTGTGGCTCTTTTATGCCTTTCTCTTCTTTAAGGGAGAGAATCAGCATCACAATCATTAGGAAGCTGCCTTATATGGCACTGGTCCATCTACTTTAGTACTGTCTACCCTGACTGGCAGCTGCTCCCCAGGCTTTCAGATTAGAAATGTCCCCAGTACCTGGAGATCCCATTGATTGAACTGGGACTTTGTGCATGCAAGGCAAATGCTCTACCACTGAGCTACAGTTCTTCCCAAAGAATGCTTTCCCCCTTACCAAAGATCACCCCTCCCCAACTCACACACAGGAGTTTGGATTTGATATCCCGCTTTATCACTACCCGAAGGAGTCTCAAAGCGGCTAACAATCTCCTTTCCCTTCCTCCCCCACAACAAACACTGTGAGGTGAGTGAGGCTGACAGACTTCAAAGAAGTGTGACCAGCCCAAGGTCACCCAGCAGCTGTATGTGGAGGAGCAGGGAATCGAACCCGGTTCACCAGATTACGAGTCCACCACTCTTAACCACTACACCACACTGGTTCTCACACAGGAGAGAAGCTGACATGGGCACCAGTTCTTCTTTCCTGGGTGCATGTGGGAAAATAGCAGCTTTGGAACGGTGGCATGGAGAAAATGTTTGACACTGCCTCTCTCACTCTGCACCATGCTTGAAAGTCTAGTCACCAAAGCTGCTGTTGTAATGGGGAACCAGTAGCCTTCTGGACACTGGTCAACTCCCGCTAGTCATCAAATCATTGAATTGTGGAATTGGAAGGGACCCTGGGGGTCATCTAGTCTGACCCCCTGCATTGAAGGAATCTCAACTTGACATATGACCATCCAACCTCTGCTTAAAATCCTCTAAGGAAGGGGAGTCCACCAACTCTTGTGTGGGTCCCAAATGGTCAGGAATGATGGGAATCAGAGTTAAATATCTGGAGGTCCACAGGTTCCTCACCACAACTTTAAAAAGCAAGCTATCAGTTGTTCTATCATATGTGGTGGACTTGTAAAAGGGTAAAAGAGTATTGGGAAATAATTTGTAATGAATTGAAAAAAAATGTTTAAAAGTACTCCGCCCCCCCAAAAAAACCCAGAAATCCTTTTTGTTGGGGATATTTCAGATGGAAATTCCCAGGTGTCAAAAAAGGCTATTTATGTGTGCCACTACTGTGGCCCGTGTTTTGTTGGCCCTAAATTGGAAAACGAGTGAGGTTCTAACTAAAGAAGAATGGCAACTTAAACTGATGGAATACACGCAGCTGGCAGACTTAACTTACAAAATAAGAGCACAAGAAGAATATACATTTAAAGAAGATTGGAAAATGTTTACTGAATATATGAGTGAAAGTTGTGTATATTTGAAAATGCTGGCAGCATTAAGATATATTCAACAGTGTAAATAAGTTTTGATGGATGTAATAATGGGATACTGAATGGTTTAGTTTATGTAAAATATGCAGGGCTCTATGGCATGCAAACTGAACAATGGAAGGAGAAGAAGGGAAGTCATTGACATTTTAAGGTTGTTCAAATGAATATTCTAAAATGCAAAATAGAAAAAATAAAAATTATACAAAAAACAAATTAGCAAACTGAAACACAAATTATGCGTTTCACATGTCATCTACCCTTGTGTCACGACCATGAATGCTGCGATTCAGGTACAGAATGGTTCTGCCAGCAAGATTCAGAGAGCTCCAACAGCACCAGAGTCTGAGGAGCAGAAATCCCGAGATCATCCTCTTCCCCATCAGCCCCTTCAAAGGAGTCTAGGCCCCACACCCAGAGCTGGTGACCCCAGTGAGGCGCTAAAGGGCCTCTTCACCAACCCAAGGATTCCTTATGCCCCAAAGCACACATTCCACTCTGGTACGGATGAAACTAGGCCCTACCTTGGGGTCCCACTTAGAAGTAATCTGGACTTTGCCACTTTGAGATTTGTCTAGCTAGCAACCAGGGGTGGGTGAACATCACTAGGGTGATACAAGCAGCTGCAACCATGCTTAATGTCGCTGCAACAGAATATGTTGCAGCTACTTGCTCCCTTCTGCTAGTTGGCTTTGGGCACATTATAGACCTGAGTATACCACTGAAGGCACGACCAGGCATTTTTGTGGGTGTGTATTGGCAGTCTTGGATAGGAGATCCCTGGCTCTCTAAGAAACTTCTATACCCACTTCTGATTTTCCTTGCAGCCACAGGGTGGCACTCCAAACAGCTTTTAGCCTTCGAAAGCTGCTTTTCAGACGGGGCCCTTTTGAAAATTAACATTTATGTTCGTAAAACCACCATAAAGAGCTCCCATGTGATCCACTCAAGCTTTTCATTGCAATAATGAAAGAAAAATACTTCCCCTCCTTAAAAAGGATTTCAGTTATTTCCTTTACTTTATATACCCATATCTAATCTGTAAATTTTACCAAGTTTGCAATATCCCAGATTTTCTTACACTTTCCTAGTAATTCTAAGGGAGCATAACTCTTTCAATAATGTGTAGTTGTCACACTTGCTGTGAGCAAATTCAGAACCACATTGCTGCTTGCACACATCCTTTATCAATAGAAATTGAAGGTATATACATGGAACTGCTATTTATGCAGGATGCATGTTTTATCGCAACAGGAACGACCCTCTCTTCCCCACCCCTTTTTCTCCATGGAGGAAGAGTCTGGAAGATTTTGCTTCCAGTTTTGGTTAACTACACCTTCCCTGTGCAATCCAAATCCAACAAACTATGATTAATCTTAACTATGGTTTATTTTAAACAAGCCAGCTTTGAAACTGTGGTTTATGAAGCTGGCTTATTTCAACAAATCACAGGTATCATCAACCACAGGTTTAGGGTTTGGGTGCAATGTTAAATTATGGTTAATTGAAACCTGAAAAAAGACATCTCAGGGGAGGGAAGTGAGCCCAGGGAGAGACTAGGCTTGCTCACGTCACAATCCTTTAGTTTTGATTTTTTTCCCCTTTAAAGCAGCAAGACAACCCAACCCTAATGGCAACACATTACAAAGCAAACGATGGAATGTTGTTTCTCATCCTCTCCCCGGGATTGCCTTGTTGGAGAGCTGGTGATTGATTGATTGATTGATTGATTAATGAATGAATGAATGAATGCTTCCCTGTGCTGCAAATATGGTATAGTTGGAAAATACGCCGGGCCAGCCATAGCTGTACTGCAATTAGGATATTGTACCTTTCCTTCTTACCCGAAAGGACATCTCCACGTTTTCCCCACCCCAGATTTCCATCTGATCATCGTAAGAGCCGATGTGCTCAAAATAGGACTTGGAAATGGCAAAGAGTCCGCCAGCAAATGTGGGAGTCCTGCAAAAAGGGAGAATTGTGAGTATGTTATTCAAATTCCAGCAAGAGAGATACTTAGCGAAAGGGAAACTGCAGCATCAATCAGTGCTCAAGATCCTCTCTGAAATTCCTAGTTTGATATTTAGGGTATATAGACCTACGACTTGTTCCTTACACTGACTGGGAGCTGCATGTATCAATTTCAGTCAAGCAGGTTCTGCCCACCCCAGAATACCATCATTACAGGAGATCGGATCTGTGGCGAGGAGCCAAGGCTTTTCTTGCAATACCCCTGAGGCTCTGAGAGAAGATTCAGGCAGCTCTGCAAGGGACCTCCATTTAGGCTAGCTTTCTGAGGAGTTACCTGTTGGTGCTTCTTTTTGCTGTTCTGTTGAATTACAGTGGTAGAAGAAGAAGAAGAAGAGTTTGGATTTGATATCCCCCTTTATCACTACCCGAAGGAGTCTCAAGGCGGCCAACACTCTCCTTTTCCTTCCTCCCCCACAACAAACACTCTGTGAGGTGAGTGGGGCTGAGACACGTCAAAGAAGTGTGACTGGCCCAAGGTCACCCAGCAGCTGCATGTGGAGGAGCAGGGAAGTGAACCCAGTTCACCAGATTACAAGTCCACCACTCTTAACCACTACACCACACTGGCTCCCTCGGGTTAAGTACTTAATATACTTAATATTACCTTGGGTTAAGTACTTAATTCGTTCCAGAGGTCCGTTCTTAACCTGAAGCACCACTTTAGCTAATGGGGCCTCCTGCTGCCGCCGCACGATTTCTGTTCTTATCCTGAAGCAAAGTTCTTAACCCGAGGTAATATTTCTGGGTTAGTGGAGTCTGTAACCTGAAGCGTACGTAACCTGAAGCGTATGTAACCTAAGGTACCACTGTAGTTTTTTTAAAAAGAAATTTATGCATATGAATTTTGTATGTGTTTGAGAGGTGCATTTGCTTATGATTGCTTATATCAAGGTCCCAGTAGTCTGCCGTCCCAAAATCTAACTACTCCCACAACTGATGCTCTTACAGACCGCTGATCTGATCCTTGAAACTGTATTTCGAAAGTATTAAAACCAGGTTCTAAGATATGCAACAGGAAGAATAAACATGCATTAAATAAAACAGAACAAGAAGAACGTGCAAGAACAAGGGTCAATAGGACTAAGAGAACATCAAAGGCCCAGAGGAAGGGACAGTTGACACCATTGCCCATCCATTGCTTCCATCACAGCTGCTGCTGCAAATCTCAAGGAAGTGCAATCTATCTAGATGCCCAAGATGTTCTTCAGGAATTACTGGGTATCATGGCTGGAGAGCATGCAAAGTGTGAAGGGTTATTTTCCAACATGGTCCTTGCAGAATCATTTAAAAAACCCTGCACTTTCTGTGCAACTTTTCCAGTCACCACTACCTTCCAAACTTTTTAAAATAATATATTTTTGTTGTATGCTATTTTGTTGTATGCTATTTAACTTGGAGTCCTGCTGTCAAATAGATGTGAAGAATGGACAAGTTGATTGAATATTGTAAGAACCAGTATAAACAGATACATAGCTTAGTAGGTCTCGAGTAAATCTAGCAGATTTGAAATAGATAGGGTATTTAATAGAGAACAAATTGGATGATTAAAAAGACGTGGATTACATAGAGTACTGGAAAAGCAAAGGAACCAGGAAAACTGTGGAAGGGAAGTCATATGGCATATGTATATATGCTGAAACAAAAAAATAAGTAAAAAATAAATAAATAAAATTCCTTCCAGTAGCACCTTAGAGACCAACTATGTTAGTTATTGATATGAGCTTTTGTGTGTATGCACACTGTATTTGGTATGAAGCTGTAAGTGGGACAGGGGGAAGGGGGAGGGGGTTAAATATGCTCTCTGTTCCCATTTTTGAAAATGCAAATAATTAAAAAATAAGATGTGAGGATTTAAATGTTTTAAACAGCAGAAGCTGACCGGTGTGCCGCACATATGCACACACACACACACACCCTAGAAATTCCAAACTCTTCATTCAAACTGAAACTATGAACAGCATAAACTTTCATACGATTATTTTGCTTCCAAAAGTGCATAGAGCCCAAGACATGGCGTTGTATCCAATTTCAGCCATGCTCAGAGCAGACCCACTGCAATTAATGGACATGGCTGGCTTAGGTCCCTTCATTTCAGTAAGTCTACTCTTGAGAAATGGACGCGGGTGGCGCTGTGGGTTAAACCACAGATCCTAGGACTTGCCGATCAGAAGGCCGGCGGTTCGAATCCCCGCGACGGGGTGAGCTCCCGTTGCTCGGTCCCAGCTCCTGCCAACCTAGCAGTTCGAAAGCACATCAAAGTGCAAGTAGATAAATAGGTACCACTCCGGCGGGAAGGTAAGCGGCGTTTCCGTGCGCTGCTCTGGTTCGCCAGAAGCAGCTTAGTCATGCTGGCCACATGACCCGGAAGCTGTACGCCAGCTCCCTTGGCCAATAAAGCAAGATGAGCACCGCAATCCCAGAGTCAGTCACAACTGGACCTTATGGTCAGGGGTCCCTTTACCTTTTCAGTCTTGAGAAAACCAGCAGCAAGCAAGCCCAGATGTGTTGAAGGAGAGGGAGAGCTAAGGAGGAGAACGTGAGGCAGGCCTTGGCTGATCACATCAGAAGCAGCAGGAACAGCCCCAGTGCTTAGGATGGCGCTCAGTCACTAGGAACTTTAAGGCAGAGCCTTTTGGAGGCAGACAAGCCCTTCATTCAGCCTCAGGTATCATTACGATAAATGCATATTGCCAAGCCAAATTTGAGAGCACTTGGGGACGAAGCTTTTCAGTCTGCCCTGCTCCTTTCGCAAGAGGCATTTCTTTCTTTCTTTTTAAAAAAGAGAGAAATGGAGATCGGAGTCGAAAACTTGCTTCAACAAGGTCCCCTCAGCTCCTGAAACACAGCTCTGTTCTTACCAAGGCGAGCAGCGCAGATTAAGAGCCGCTGACAAGCCAAGCTGCCAGCCTCTCTCCCTCTCAGAATATGCAGCAGCAACAAAAAGGAGTCCCTGAGCCCCTTTCACTGGGGGCAGAACAGCCTCCCGTCTGACCTCTGCACAAAGAGGAGCTGTACTTGAGGCCAAAAGGAACAGGGGTTTTGTCTCGCTGGTGCAATGGCGAGGGCCGGAGGGCCGGTATTAAATGTCTTCCACTTGATGAATTCAAGGTCATTTTGAGCTTTAAGAGGTTGGGATACTGGTTACCTTAATGACTCTGCAGCTGCCCACTGCCAAAACAGACAAGAGGCTGGCAGGCTTTGAAAAGAGAAAGGAATAAACCTTGGCTCTTTCATGTCACGGCCTTCATTATCCTGGCTTTTGTACAGCAAAAAGGGGGGAAGGGGAGGGGGAGTCCTGGCATTGTGTCTCATAAAGAACTTCCGAGTATACCAAGTGGTTTATAATCCTTATATCCCAAGGAAGCGCCAGGAGGTAGATCACATTAATTTATATTTTTCTAACGGGGGTGGTGGTACGCTAAGTGGGGATCTACAACACAAAGTTATATTGTTGGACTTCAGTTCCCAGCAGCTCCAGCTGGCTTGGCCAATAGTCAGGGATGATGGGAGATGAAGTCCAAGGGTTCCTCATCCCAGCCACTCAAGCCTGGCACCCGCATGCAAAGTCATCTCTAGATGACTGCAGTACCAAAGGATGACTTGTGTGTATGAATGGGCCCACTGCACAGAAAGAACTGATTTCATCATTATACCCTCAAACGCATTGCTTTTCAGTGTCGTCTGTTCCCACACTAAACTGCAGGCATCCAAGCCGGACAAAGGTTTCACCATAAGGTGCTTGGAAAAATTAAGAGTGATGTGCAAACACGACTGACCCAGATCTCAGGGGTCATTTACACCAAAGGTTGCCTCAGCCACTAGAAGAATTACTGGGTACAAACCTGCGTATCTGTGCAAGAGGTTTCCCCCACATTTCCTTCAGCCAGCCTTTCACTTACACACCCATTTATCATGTTCCGAATTGTTCTCAAAGCCACTCCACCTCTGCATACCAGAATTCCTTTGCTATTTTGTTTGCAAGGTCACTTATAGGTTGGAATACATGGAGGGACAGGAAGGACTGAGAAGCTCCTGATTCCAGTGGCGTAGCGTGGGTTGTCAGCACCCGGTGCAAGGCAAGTAATTTGCGCCCCCTAACCCGGGGCAAGGCAAGTAATTTGCGCCCCCTAACCCCTAACCTGCCGCCGCTGCCAGCTGCTTCTTGCTGCTGCCTGGGCTGGTCTGGTGTGGTTCTCTCCCGCGCTCAGCGCTGTGCTGGGCGGCCGCTGCACTGTCCCTCCCCCAGATAGTCCCTCGCTCTCTCTCCGCACCGCACGCCTGGCACCCACCCCCTCCACAGTGGGCGGTGACCCAGCGGCTCGGATCAGATTCGCACAGCCAGCACTGCAGTGAGAGAGAGTGAGTGAGCCAGGTAGGGGCAGAGAGCTGCGAGTGCGAGCGTGCCCACCCCAGATGTTGCGCCCGGTGCGGCCAGCCCCCCCTGCACCCCCCACGCTACGCCACTGCCTGATTCTGCCTGTGATTGCTGGTTTTCTTTTGGCTCAATTTCACCGCCGATTGCCCTAGACTTTTTTATCCCACGGTAGCTGGCTTATTGAAAAACCAACTGAAAAAAGTGGCTTTTCCAAATCACCATCAAACCATTGTTTGAAAAATAAAACGCCTGCGAATAAAACTAGTTCCGAAGGAAAGAAAAAACACAAGTTTTGAATTATTACATTCAGGCCCCTTATTTGTCTACCTTAACTATTCCAAAACTCAGACGGGCCTTTACGTTGGCCAGACTAAATGTGTTACCCTCAGCTGTTCTTGAAGGTAGATATCAAAAAATTTCATTCAAGAACCGGCTCTGCCCCTGTGGAGCTGGCTACGTAGAGACTGTGTCACACGTTCTCCTGTCTTGTTCCCTATATAAAGATCTCAGGGACGAGACCATCACACCGCTCCTATCTGCCATCCCGGGCCGCTCTTGTGAAGCCAAATTGTTCTCACTCCTAGCCGACCAGAACAGCTCGACAACAGAGAAGGTTGCTAAATTTATCGAGAGAGCAATGAGACTGAGAGCTGCCATCTGAATGACATCAGTGTCGTCACCCGGATTCCTCGCCTAGGATCTTATCATTATTATCATTATGTTTTATTATTACCATTTTATTATCTCTGCCAAGTTTTAAGTACTGAGATTATTAACTTATCTGCATCTGGTTACTATTATCTTTCTCCCTGTCCTGACCATCCCCCGAGGTTATATTTATATTCATAATCTTTCAATTTGGCTGGTCTATTTACTTAACCGACCTGGAATATCCTACCAGAGAAAAGGCCGCCGCCCATGGGACAGAGGGACATTGATGAATGATAATCCAGCTTTTACCTAGGGTTTTAATAGGCCATAAGATTATACGGTAACTATATTTGTAATGTATTTTTGTCGGTGTTTGTCCTTTGATGCTATGGCCTGTTGGCTACGCAAATAAAGTCCTTGTTGTTGTTGACATTCGGTTATTACCTCAAACCTCACAGTGCTACAGTGTTGTATGATTTAGCTGTTATTTTGTAGTTGGGGTTTTGTGGGAGAATAGGTCCAACCAACCCACTACAACTGGTGCAGTTCTCAGGCCATGTTCTCCCTATCTCCTACAGGACAGCCAAGAGGTCAGGTGGAAAGAGAAAGAAAGAAAGAGAGAGAGAGAGAGAGAGAGAGAGAGAGAGAGAGATATGGTGGGATTACAGCACCAAACTGGAGGTGCCTGGAAAACTCTGTTGCTAGCTCTCACACAACTAAAATGAAGCAAGAAGGATGCTGCTACCTTATTCAACCCATCATCACAAACAGCGCAAAGGGACCGTTTTAGGAGAGGCTTTCCTCTCCCTTTCCACTTCATGACTCTTCTAAGATGACACCTCCCATCTGCAGTTTTTGTGAGTGCCTTAAACCACCACAACATCAGTTGCATTCCTGTCTGATTGAGGCATTTGGATAAATTAAAAAACCCCTTTTAATTGATCCAACAAATGAAGCCAAACAAACATTACTAAATTTTATCAGGTCTATGCGGTTAGTGTGTAGGTTTTGGTGCAGATTACACTGTGATCCGCAGAGGTTTACTTCACAGTGAGTGGCATCAAAAGGTCTATCAAAAAGGAGCTTTCATCATGGACCTACTTGATGGGATACGTCTCATCTTTCCTCCTCTGCTTCTCATGCTGAGGGATGGACTCCCATCCAAAAGTCAGGCTCCAGTCAAAGTTCCCTCGGCTGTGCTGCTTCCCATACTGAATTGGCTTGGAAAACTCAAAAGTGTTCAAGTCAATGGTGGTGATATCTGGACTGACCACAGCGGTGGGTTCCTCAGCAATGCGTGATAAGAGAGGCTCCAACCAGCCATGGAAACATTCACCTAAGAAGAGAGAAGGAGAAATGGATGGCATCATCTGGTGTTGTCTCTACGCAAGCTTTGATCTTCCCGGGTCATTTCAGCCTTGCAAATCCTTTCGCAATTCCTTTCCCTGAACCTCATCTTCTTGACATTGTAACAGCCACTTCTTCTCTCTTCCACCTGCTCCTTGTCCCGCAAGGAGAAAATGGCAGCTCCTGATCACCTTATCATGCAGATGTACACAGAAGCAATTTTTATTAAAATGTCTGCTGCCTAACAGTCTACCACACTATTATAGATGCCCAGAACTGGAAAACTCCAAATAACTGGATGCTAATATCAGGGCTCTCCCTGACTTCTCATACTTCTAATTTCATAGCTTGGAACTGATTTACGTTCTGGAAAACCATTTCCGAGCCTGCGGAGGAGGTGGGGTTGCGGGCCTCCAGCCCCCGCGAGACTGAGGGAATCCCGGCCGCGTCGTCAACCCAGCCAGCCAATCGGGTGGCTGGGGGGCGTGGCCTGCCCTATTTAGGGCCAGCGCGGCCGGGCTCACCCTCTTTTCGCTGCGCCAGCCTGCATGTTTTTTCCCACCCTCCCTCCCTTTAGGTAGGCTTCTGACTTTGCTATGGGCTTTGGTTGGTCGCCGCAAGGGGCCTGGTAGGAATTTTTCCCAATTGGCAATTTCAGCCAATTGGTTTTTCACCTACCTCGTAGCAACTCATCACAACTCCTTGGTATTGGCGGTTAGGCATTGGTAAGAAGGGGTTAAGAGGATGTGTGTGTGGGGAGGAAACGCCATCACCTCCCCCCAAAAGCTAAGGGTAGTCCGATAAAGGATTCCGGGGGGGGGGGCGTGGCCCTGTCTGAAGCCTATGGAGGTGAGGGCCTAAGGCACGCCCCCGAGTGGTGACCCGGGGGAGCTCCTAGTTGACGTGCCTCAGCAACACCCCTTATGGTGTTAACCCATGCTGGTCTTCATGCAATCGGGCTGGAGCTGGCTAGTTGATAGGACCAGTGCCTAAGCCAATACCTCTCATTCCTGAAATCAATAAAGTTGTGGCCTAATTCGCCCATTTAACCTTAATACTCCAGTGTCTTTATTTCTCCCTGGTGGGGGGCGGGAACTCGCCACGCAATAACCATTTCAGGGTCCAAAAATATTGTGCAAAGCCACTGTGAAAATGCACATTGACCTCTGGTGGTAACATTGAGAAAACATCCCAATGCAATACACTAAAGCACTAGTTTTCTACTAGCGGGTTGGGACCCGCTGGTGAGTTGCAGCCTGATCCAAGGTGGGTCTCAACAGGAGCATTATCACCATTAAATCTATAATAAAAGAAAGAAAGAAAAAGAAATGGGTCCCCAAATACATGTTTGGGTGAAACATGTGACCCTCCAGAGGTTGTTCAGCTCCAACTCCCATCAGCCCCAGCCAACGCAGACAATGGCTAGGGATGATGGGAGTTGTAGTCCATTGTGAGACCATAACGCCATGAGGCCATCCTGCTGTATCTGCGTGGAGGCCTCCTTGAGTTCCTTCAACAAAATTCAGCCCAGCCAGAAAGGGTCTGGAACTACGACAGGCCCCACATAGCTCTGTTGCTATGCACTGTGGGGAGGATAAATCTCCTTCCTTTTGGCTTTTACTTTTTAGCCTCCTTCAAAAATACACTATTCTGCTATTGATGCAATAGCCAGGGCAGGGACAAATAAATTGCGTCCCAAAGAAAGCCACACTTTGTGCGAATAGAAAGAAAGAGACTTTCTAAGACTTTCTCTAAGACTTTTAACTCAAGCCCTTAACTCAAGCTTTTGTGAATATAATAGCTGCCAAATGATAGAGATAAAATACTGCGGCTGATAAAAGCTAATAAAAGACTGATAAAAATAATAAAAACCGCATCAGCTGATGCGGAGCTCAAGTCAATGCTACCACTAACGGCGCCATCTTGGAAGTCAATCCTTCTGCAGTGTTGGATGGCAGGTTGAGAGGAGTTCCCTACCAGGACAGACTTTGCTCGTGTGCTCAAGACATTGATTCCATAAAACATATTTTGCTGCATTGTGCAAAATATGAGCAAGCCAGGGCTGAACTGATACTACCCTTTCTGGTACCTTTCCTGGGAAAATCAGAGGCTCACTATGTCAGGTTCCTCCTGGAAGACCGGACAAATGCTAGAACATTAGCAGTGGCAAAGTTTTTATTGGTGGTTGCAAGAACAAATGATCCCTATATTCTAAACAAAATGCTTGTTTAACCTGGAGGTAGGCTGTATGAATTGTGTATTGCTTTGTAATGATTTGTTGGGTCTCTGGACCGTAATAAAGATTGATGATGATGAGAAAGAGAGAACGAAAACATGCATGCCATTTTCATAATGCACAGCACGGGGCTGTATCCTATTGTGCCTTCCATGAGCAGAACATTACCAAATCAGGGTTCCTCACTCTCACCCCCAATAAAAGAGTACATGCACACATGCATGTAAGTCTCTTGATTTCTCTACCTTTGGATCAGCCAGTTGATGCCATGTACGTGTGTGTGAGTCCTTTGAGCCTCACATCATCTCCTAACGCACGGTCCTGCTGAGCCGAGTCTGCCCACACTTTCAGCTGCCAACCACATTGATGCACACGTACAGAGAAACCACGTTGTTCTTCTGCAGTTGATCACCAACAACTGATCTTGTGTAGCAGCTCAGGTTGAGAAGCACAGCACCCGAGGCAGTGGCCAGACTCATATCTGTGATGTTTGATCTGCCGCAACTCATGATTGGATGCTGCTGTTAGCAGAAGTTTGCAAACTAGCCTCAGCGGTACAGCAATCCAACCACGTGCACAGCACTGTGTGTGTGCTGGCTTTGCGAAGCAAGACAGAGTTGCCAGCCTTGGCAATATTTTGCCTCTAGAAGCCCCACATCGAGGACTGAGCTCGCCAGTGGAGAGAGTTGCGACTTACAGTGAGCATCTAGGAAAGTGAGCACGTCTCCCGTGGCAACGCTGGCACCCAGCAACCGGGCAGTGATCAAGCCCTTCCTTTCCAGCTGCCGGACGACCTTCACTATCTGCAGTTGCTTCACATAGCTGTCCAACTCGTCTTTCAAGTAGTCTGGAACAGAGGGTATCAAGTGTTAGAGGGGCACAGCGCTCAGAAGCCTGGCAACTGCGTGGAAAAGGAATGATGCAAAAGGTGAGATTCGTTCCGAGCACAATTTTAAAACCTTTTTGTAAAAAAGCTGCTTAACATATCCTCTTTTGCCCCTTCATAACATATTAAAAACTAATAAGTGGTCATGGATTCGGACTGGAATAAGCAGGGCAAGGAGAAGAGAAGAGAAGGAGGGGATGGGGACAGGAGCGGGGAGGGCAGGAGTGGAGAAGCTTTTGCAGTTGGGGGGGACGCATTTCCTTCTGGGGGCAGGGCACCAAGGGCAAAAGCATCTGGAACAATGGAGCAATTCTAATAGGAGTTTGGATTTGATATCCCGCTTTATCACTACCCGAAGGAGTCTCAAAGCGGCTCACAACCTCCTTTCCCTTCCTCCCCACAACAAACACTCTGTGAGGTGAGTGGGGCTGAGAGACTTCAGAGAAGTGTGACAAGCCCAAGGTCACCCAGCAGCTGCATCTGGAGGAGCGGGGAAGTGAACCCGGTTCACCAGATTACGAGTCCACCGCTCTTAACCACTACACCACACTGGCTCTAAAATAAATAAATGATATTTATACCCTGTCCTCCCTGGACAAAGCCAGGCTCAGGGTGGCTAACACCAATAAAATCACAGTAAAAACATAACAGGGGGAAAAGAGAGGGGGGAACCCCAATTTAAAATACAGGTTAAAATGCAATTTAAAATGCAGCCTCATTTTAAAGTAGCTGATAAATCAAGACCATAAGAGGAGGGAAACATAAGGGTCAGACCAAGTCCAAACCAAAGGCCAGGCGGAACAGCCCTGTCTTGCAGGCCCTTTGTACAGGGAAGTATGGAGTGTTAGGGGAGGGTTTTAAGTCTTGTTTTCAACGTATTTGCAGTTTTTTGTGTTTGTAACTATCCCCGGTGTAAACCTTGAGAGGGTTGTTTAGAAGGCATCCCTTAGAATCCAGGCCTAGTCCTTCTCTGGGCACTCAGCTCACTGCCAGGTGTGGCGCATGGCAGGAAGCGGTTCAAGTCACTGTGGTGAGACACGGCCTGCTTTTGCTCTTCTGCCGCATCGGGTTTTGAGACAAACTTGAAAAGCAGCTGCACGGAAGAGACCGCTTGAAACAGCATCCGCAGGAACAGGCAGCGCAGTACCAAGAAAAACAACGGCTGTGAAATGGAGGCAACCGCCATATACCGTATTTTTCGCCCTATAGGACGCACTTTTTCCCCTCCAAAAATGAAAGGGAAATGTGTGTGCGTCCTATGGGGCGAATGCAGGCTTTCGCTGAAGCCTGGAGAGCGAGAGGCGTCGGTGCGCACCGACCCCTCTCGCTCTCCAGGCTTCGCACAGCTCTCCGCAAGCAGCGGGAGCCGACGCTGGGCTCCCGCCGCTTGCGGAGAGTTGCCTGCATGCTGAAGCCTGCGCGCGCTGAGCTCAGTGCGCCCAGGCTTCGCGGACCTCTCTGCAAGCAGCGGGAGCCGGCGCTGGGCTCCCACGGCTTGCAGAGAGCTGCCTGTTCTGGGGGCTGGGGTCGGAGGAAGCTTGGGCTTCCTCCACCCCAGCCCCGCGCCTGGGGGGGAAATAATTTTTTCCCTTTTATTCCCCCCCAAAAAAACCTAGGTGCGCCTTATGGGACGGTGCATCCTATAGGGTGAAAAATACGGTAAATGGTAGCTGTGCTAGCCTGTTGCAGTAACACTCTCTCTCTCTCTCTCTCTCTCTCTCTCACACACACACACACACACACACACACACACTTCCCCTCCCTCCAAACAGGTGCTTCCAGATGACCTATTTATTGAACATTCATTCTGCTTTGTTTGCAGGGAGGCTAGATGACATTAAATCAAATTAAGTGTCCCAACCTGTTTCCTACTGCATTTCCCCATCACTTTTCTAGCACAGAAAGGCTGATCTTTTGAGGAACGGGTTTGTTGCGCAAGACCTACCAGTCAATTATAGTTGCACAACCTGAATTGGCCAGTTATGCGGTTGAGTCTCACCCGAAAATAGCGACAGTCTGGAAGTGCACCGAGCACTTGGTGATACTTAATAAACAACTTCCATCAGCCTCAGCCAGCATAGTCTGTGGTCAGGGAAGATGGAAGTTGTAGTCCACAATATCTGGAGGGGACAATTTTGGTTACCCCTGGACTAGATGTAGCATCCAAATGTTTTGGATGGAAGAACCGGCAAAAACCCAAAACAGAACAGAACAGAACAAAACCCACAAGGAAGTGGGCTTCTATTTGATGTGTGCAAGTGTTAAGCATACAGTTCTGATACTCTGGGTCACCTAATTTATTGCAGCACAAGATTCAGAAGGCAACAGAAGTCTTGCACCAACAACAGTATGACAAGCTGAACAGGCATTTAATTTTTCTTCCCACTGACCACAGAGATTTAGGGCCAAACACCTATCATTTCCGTGCCCAGGCATACCATGCTAGCCAATACTTGCATGCATTCTTAACCTTCCCAGAAGCCATGCTCAGATGGAAATTAAGCAACACTCCCAGCAGAGCATTTGCTTTGGAGATGGTGAACACACTGTATACCTGCTCAAAGGCCCAAACAGAAGTGATGGCATTTTCTAAAAGAAGGAAGGAAGGAAGGAAGGAAGGAAGGAAGGAAGGAAGGAAGAGCTAAGCAGGTATTAGGGGAGTAGAATTCCAAGCATAAGAGATGGACAGAGATTAAAGATTTGCTGCCTTCAGTCTGTCATTATTTTGCAGGAGGGACTCAAGCACAAACTAGTACTTTAGATTTGAGCAGCTAAAGTGGATTAAAGGGCTCTGTCATTTCCCCAGTGCAACAAATCCAGTACAAAAGGGGACTTTTGCAGTTAGGAAAGCAATGGGGAATGCGCGGAGAAGTGTGGGATGAATAGATGAATGGTAAAACATATCAAACATCCCACAAGCAAATCAGTGTGAACACAAAACAAATATTACTTGACGTATGACTGCTCTGCAAACAAATCAGAACAAATGTTCAATAAAGTTTGGAAAGAATCTAACCCCCGTGTAAGCTTTGTGCAAGCAAATCAGGGATTAAATAACTATCTACATTAGACTAGCTGATATGTTAAAAAGAACTCACAAACCCTCCTTGATGAGTTCAACAGCCTTCTGAGAACCTGAGTAGCTGAGATTCAGGAGAACAGATCCTCTTCATCTCCCTGCTCCACCCCTGGGAAGTCCTGAGGTTGAACTGTGTCATTATCCTAACCTCGGGCACAACCAATTTAGATTACTAAATGCCAGCTTGTGGTTACTAAAGTTGCCCAAGGGAGCAATTTATTCCCAGAAGGGAGCTAAATATGGCCTGTCACATCTACAGATCATGGGAAAATGTGTCTCCAGTCAAATGGCAGAAATAGTCAAATACAGTCGTACCTTGGAAGTCGAATGGAATCCGTTCCAGAAGTCCATTTGACTTCCAAAATGTTCAGAAACCAAAGCATGGCTTCTGATTGGCTGCAGAAAACTCCAGCAGCCAACTGGAAGCCCCGGACGCCATTCTGTTTCCGAAAATTGTTCTAAACCGGAACACTCACTTCCGGGTTTCGATCGTTCAGGAGCCTATTAGTTCGGGAGCCAAGGTATTCAAGATCCAAGGTACGACTGTAGCAGGATTAAAACACCCCCCCCCCAATATAAACAGAACAAAAGCAAAACCATCAACAACCTGCCACAATGTGAATCAAGTTGAAGGGTGCATTCTAACAGCAATGCCTCAGGAAAGGAAAACTGCAAAAGGCAGAGCCTAAAGGTTATTCACTTCCTGGGTAAACCCAACTACACCAGTATCTGACCACTACCAGATTTACTTGTATATTTCCTCTCTGGCAAGTTCTCTTTCAGGACTACTAGTTAGGTTGAGCTCTGAATCTCACCTCTGCTGGCAAAAAACTGGCAGGGGTTTTCCTTAAAGAAGAATGAAAGCAGCTGCAGAAACAGCACCAATAATCACAATGGATAAATATTTCAAAATAAAGAACAATTGGGTAAATATTCAGCTCTCCACATTTCCACAGCAATTTGCGATTTTTTTAAAACCCAAAAAGTCCTCATGAAAATTTGTCAGCATTTTATTTGGAATTTCTCCTCATACTTTTTTGCAAAGCAATTTCCCCATACTGCACGTTTGCATGTTATTTTCATTAATATATGCATTTATATATGCATAAAGGTAAAGGTAAAGGGACCCCTGACCATTAGGTCCAGTCATGGACGACTCTGGGGTTGCGGCGCTCATTTCTCTTTACTGGCTGAGGAAGCCGGCGTACAGCTTCCGGGTCATGTGGCCAGCAGGACTAAGCCACTTCTGGCGAACCAGAGCAGTGCACAGAAATGCCATTTACCTTCCCGCCGGAGCGGTACCTATTTATCTACCTGCACTTTGACGTGCTTTCGAATTGCTAGGTTGGCAGGAGCAGGGACCGAGCAACGGGAGCTCACCCTGTCGCAGGAATTCGAACAGCCGACCTTCTGATCAGCAAGTCCTAGGCTCTGTGGTTTAACCCACAGCGCCACCCACGTCCCTATATATGCATACTTTGCCCTAATATAATGGATTTTTGTGGGTGTTACTTGGTGGAATGACTGCATTGCAAAATTCAGGGAAGCGTGAATTTCGGAGGAGGGCTGTGTTTCAGTTTGCATATTGTTCCAGAAAGTGTGACTTAGGTAGGTTCACCTTCAAATCAAATCAAATGTCTCCCTCATCCCTAGAGCCCTTCTGCAAAAGCAAGAGGTTTGTTCTGCCTTTCAGGGTGAAGCCCACGTGCCTCCAGCTCCCAAGAGACTGTACTTACCATCTGTACTGGCATCATCCACAAGAATGATTTCCTTTAGCAATATAGCTGGGGAGGAGTACAGGACGCTGAACACAGTGCGAAGCAAGGTTGACCAGGCCTCATTATGGAAGACGATGACAACGGAGGTGGTCGGGAGGGGCGGGCAGCGTTTGAACTTTTGGTCGATGCACCTACAAAAGGAACATCAAATCCGTGGGGTGCATGAGATGAAAGAAGGGTTGTTCTGTTCCCCCTCTAGTTACTAGAGCAGAGATGGGGCTACATGTGACCCTCCAGTTATGGTTGGACTACAACTCCCATCAGCCTCAGCCAGTAGGTCCAACAGTCAAGAATGATTGTTTGGGAATCACCCAAAGAGCTACATCTTCCCCATTCCTGTAGAGAATCTTAAAAGCTTCTCTTTAAACCAGATAGAGATTGGTTTCTATGCTGCTAAAAACCAGGGTCGGCTCTATCATGAGGCAGAGCGGTGAAACGGGTCTTTTCCGCTACGGCGAAGCGGGGACCCTGTTAAAAATCACAGGCGGATGAAGCCTGTGACCATGGGACTCAGCGGGCACCCTTAGCGCCCCCCCAACCCGCAAAGGAACCCACTAACGGGCTCCGAAGCGAAGAGGGGGAAGTGGCGCGGTGCTGTGAGTCAACTGCTATTTCCGTGGAGCGAAGCTGCATAGCCGTTGCCGGAGAGCGCTGCCTTTTTCCTGGGACAATTTGGCTTCTAAAATAAGCACCCGTGAGTACTTAAACTTTGAACAATCGGACTTTAAATAAGGACTTGCGAGCAGAAAGGAATTGGACTTAAAAATTTACTTCAATTTGGTACTGAAACGGGAAGGTCTAAACAGGAAGTCAGCCTTCCGTTTCTTTGTAGACAGAATAAAGCAAAGACAACGTAAACTAGAGCTCAGAAAATCGCTTCTAAAGGATTGGCTTTCATCATTTAAAATTGTTGAACCCCCCTTCGGCAGCAGGAGAGGAAGGGGGATCTTTTTTGGACTGTTTAAACTTGCAGAAGTGAGTTTAAAGTAAAGTAACTTTCCACCGTCCTGATCCTGGAGCGGGGTGTCAGGACTGACGTTTGAAGCTCATTGACCAGAGACAAACGTTTTTGACAGATAGTTAAAAGAAGAGAAACATAGTGATTCCACTGTTTCCTTTCGCATTTTAAAGGAACAAATATTGACAAAGTATCTCAAAAAGGATACTCTGTTGAAAGAACAAATAGAAGTTCTCCCCCTAGAGGGAGACTGTGAAACTGTAACTAATTCCAGGGAGCTTGCAGCTGTCACAGATTACAATCGTGGGAATGGACTTGTGACCTTGTAGGACAATGTATTCAGAGGCTCTGTTGTGTGCTCTCTGTAAAACAAGTGCCCTATTGGAACAGTTAAATGAGAAGACGGATTTGATGACTAATGCGGTCAGAATTTTTGAACAGGCAGTGGGAAACTATGTGGAGCCCACCCAGGAATTAGATCAGGAGTGTGTCCTGACAGAGCAGATGAGAGAAGAGGATGTTGCTGAATCTTGGGCGCCAGAGATGGAGGGAGCTGCGGCCTTGCAGGAACATGAGCTTTTGGATTTGACAAATGAACTTGGAAAAAGCCAGATTTGGAAAGATAAAGTTTGGATTGGTTTGGAAATGGGGGGTTGGATAGACCCCCCTATGCAGGGATGTTTGGACTTTCTGAGTCTGGCAATGGGCCGTGAGATGTTTGGAGCTGTGGGGGCTCTCAATTTTGGAGGGATTCTGAAACATGTTTTTAAATACCACATGGAGTTGAGTCTGGACTATGGAAAAGGGGCTGATTTGTTGAAAAGGGTCAAAAACATCACCAAGCTGGAGTTCCCACGAGTGAAAGGAGAATATGAAGAAGAGCTGCGGAAGGGACATGGAAGAGACTTAAGGGCCTCGGATATAAGGTTACCAGGTTAATGCGCTAGATCGATGGGATAAAAAGGACTGACAAAACCCAGGACCAGGAGGAAGGGATGCTGGATGAAGATTGGATTGTTTTTATTTCTTTTTTTTTATTACCAGGATTGTTTTATAAAATTGATGAATGTTAGAAAAATGTTGGAACGAAATTACTTGGCTCTAGCAAAAATGTTTAAAGAATTAGGTAAGAATATTATGGTTGTGAGAAGTCGGTAAAAATAAGATTTAAGTTTTAAGTTTTAAGGTTTTCTATAAGATAAGATGAAAATAGATTAAGGTAATGTAATGACAGAATATTATGAAATATGGAAAGGATTTGCTGCGATAATTATTAACTAGGATACAAAAAAAGGGAGGAGGAGGAGGTCAAAGAAAGAAGGTAATGAGAGTTGAGGATTTGAGAATGATGGATTTATTTTTGTCTGTTTGTGGTGTATTTTTGTTTTTTTAATTTGTATTGTTTGATGTGGTTTGTTTTTTCTTTTTTCCTTTTCTGCTTTGTTTTTTCTCTGTAACTCAAATTTTTTTCCAATAAATATCATTAAAAAAATAATAATCATGAGGCAGAGTGAAGCAATGGCCTCGGGTAGCAGATATTGGGAGGGGGGCATCAGCAACCAACCATTTGGCTACCCCGCTCCCACAGAATAGACCAGAGTAGTGTGTACTGCCACTGAGTATCACCGTCCCCAAATGCTAGAGGGATCACCATGAGCTCTGCTTATACCTCGGGTTACATACGCTTCAGGTTACAGACTCCGCTAACCCAGAAATAGTACCTCGGGTTAAGAACTTTGCTTCAGGATGAGAACAGAAATTGCGCAGTGGCGGTGCTTCAGGTTAAGAACAGTTTCAGGTTAAGAAATTGCGCAGGAAGTGGTGCTTCAGGTTAAGAACAGTTTCAGGTTAAGAACAGACCTCCAGAACACATTAAGTTCTTAACCCGAGGTACCACTGTATGTGTGAATGCTGCTACCTCACTGCCAGTCTTGAAGGAGGATTCAATTGGCAGTCTTCTCAGCTTTTACACATGAGATGATGGTGTTGGGGAGACACATCTTGTCTGTTGCCTCAGGCAGCAAAATGTCTTGGGCCAACCCTGCCAAGACCATAACTATTTATGGGAGTTTTAAGCAGGTAGAACTTATGACCACAGAATCATAAAAACCTCCAAGGAAGGAGAGCCCACAACCTCCTGAGGGAGACCATTCTAGGTAAAGGTAAAGGGGACCCCTGACCATTAGATCCAGTCGTGACCGACTCTGGGGTTGTGACGCTTATCTCACTTTATTGGCTGAGGGAGCCAGCATACAGCTTCTGGGTCATGTGGCCAGCATGACTAAGCCGCTTCTGGCAAACCAGAGCAGCGCACAGAAACGCAGTTTACCTTCCCGCTGGAGCGGTACCTATTTATCTACTTGCACTGGTGTGCTTTCAAACTGCTAGGTTGGCAGGAGCAGGGACCGAGGAACGGGAGCTCACCCCATTGCGGGGATTCCAACCGCCAACCTTCTGATCGGCAAGTCCTAGGCCCTGTGGTTTAACCCACAGCGCCACCCGCGTCCCTATGTCTATCAACTCTTACTGTCAGAAAGTTTTTCCTGATGTTTCGTCGGAATCTTCTTCCTTGTAACTTGAAGCCATTGGTTAGGGTCCTGGCCTCCGGACCAGGAGGAGAAAAGCTTGTCTCCGCTTCCATGTGACAGCCCTTGAGATATTTGAAGAGAGACAGTAGAACAGTCTCCCAAGGGAGGTTGAGGACTCTCCTTCCTTGGAGGTTTTTAAGCCGAGGTTGGATGGCCATAAATCATGGATGGTTTAGTTGACATTCCTGCATTGCAGTGGGTTGGACGAGATGACCTTTGGAGTACCTTCCAATTCTACGATTCTCTGATTCTATATGTAACATTTCCAGGACATGCAACACGAAGCATTTCTTGGTGAAAACACGAGGTGAGAAAAAAAAGAAAGTCCAAGGCTTTAAATAATTTCTACAACTTGCTCCCCTTCCCATCAATCTCTTTTGATTTCAATGCCCATACCCTTCTCTCTGAATTTTCCAGCAGGAAGGCAGACGAGTCCCTTACATGCCGCATACCTCTGGTCCACATCAAAAGGGGGACTATGTTCCACATGGTAGATCAGGTTTTTCTTCTGCCTCTCCCCCTGCCCCCCCCAAAGTGCTCAACAATAAAAGTTTCATTCATGGGCTCCCTCCATCTGAGCCAATTTCCCCAGCTCTCCCGATTTATGGTTTTTGGTTCTGGGAGGGCTTTGCACTTTAATTTAAATTGGTTTATGCCTCTTTGGTTGACTGAATAACATTCTTGCAACTCCCTGCCTAGAACAGCGCATTCTTCCATTGTGACATCTACACCTGCTAGGCAGAAATAATCGGTCGCTGGGAGGGCGGGAGGTAAGGAGAGGAGAGAGACTGTCTGCAATCGCTCCCCCTTCAGCCTAGTTTTTTTTTGGAGCCATTATTCGGGTTGCCTTTGTTGGCTCACTTCTTCCCACCCACCGCAAGGCCTTGACTGACTTATCTCCCCTCTATGAGAAGCCGCAGTGGCCTCAGACCACAGGGGAGGCGGGGGAATACGGGTCACGTTTGACTCCTTCTTTGCCCCCCTGCTGTACTGTAAGCCGTGTCTGTTCCACTTGGCAAGCAAAGTGAAGAAGGAGAAATGGAAAGGGGCGCCGAAACTGTTAGAAGTGGGAAGGAACGGAACAAAACCAAGGGCGGGCAACGGAGGGAATAAAAAAGTTTTTGAACTTGGGTTGGTGGGGGGGGGGAAGAGAGGGTTGCAATTGTAAACGCTTGCTGCTTGATAAATGGGACGCTAGTGGGGCGTAGAAGGTAGGGGAAAGCAGGAGGAGAAGGGGTAGCCGTGGATAATTAAAAAGGGAGAAACGCACCTCAAGCCTTTTTCTTCACCACGGATGAGAACCAGCAAGATTTCAGCTCTTAGCAGAGGGGATTTTGGGAGAAGGAAATGCACCTCCTGCCCCTAGCTGCCTGCCAATTGCCACTTCTTCAGTAGACAGTGCCCAGGAATCTGTGCAGGCAGCTGGATATGGGGAGACCTTCTTGATAGCAACCCCCCCATCACAGACCTCAAATGGTCCAAAGTAGTAGCTACAGAGTTATTTTCACCAGAACAGTTCAACCAGTATTGCCAGGTGGTCAACAGTTCACAAATTTTGAATGGTCTTTTAATTAGAGCCAAAATGAACATTTGCAAAATACTTAAAGCTCAGCACAAACAAACAAACAAACAAATGAAACCCAAACACTAACCAAACAACTTCTAAATGAGAATTTTGAACTCCACATTCACAATTTCAATGAGATGTTAAAAAATAGGTGGCTGTCACCAATGGAAGCGAAAGCTCTGAAAAAGCTCAATATGGAGGTCAAATGGCCGAAATATTGGGAAATTTTGGAACAAGATGGAGATAGACTGAAATTGCAGAGTTTTGAGAAATTAAAAACAAAGTGCGAGACTGGCTTCATTATTATCAGATAATGGAGGCATATAATTTGGACAAGAAAATTGGTTTCCAGGTGGAAAAATCAAAATTAGAAACAGAACTGTTAGAACCCAAAACTAAGATTTTGTCAAAGATGTATAACTTGCTGTTGAAATGGAATACTCAGGATGAAACGGTGAAATCTGCTATGATTAAATGGGCACAAGATGTTGGACATAACATAATGATGGCTGACTGGGAACAGTTATGGACCACAGGTATGAAGTTTACGGCATGCAATGCCTTAAGAGAGAATATTATGAAAATGATATACAGGTGGTACATGACCCCAGTCAAGCTTGCAAAAATTTATTATTTGCCCGATAATAAATGTTGGAAATGTAAAGAAACTGAAGGTACATTCTTTCACCTTTGGTGGACGTGCCCAAGGATTAAGGCTTTCTGGGAGATGATATATAATGAATTGAAAAAGGTATTTAAATATACCTTCTTGAAGAAACCAGAGGCCTTTCTCCTAGGCATAGTCAGCCAATTGGTGCCAAAGAAGGACAGAACGTTTTTTATGTATGCCACAACAGCACCAAGAATACTCATTGCAAAGTATTGGAAGACACAAGATCTACCCACTCTGGAAGAATGGCAGATGAAGGTGATGGACTATATGGAACTGGCGGAAATGACCGGCAGAATCCGAGACCAGGGAGAAGAGTCAGTGGAAGAAGATTGGAAGAAATTTAAAGACTATCTACAGAAATATTGTAAAATTAATGAACGTTAGAATGATGTTGGATAGAAATTAAGTGGTTTTCAGCTGTAATACTATAAGGGAATATGAAAAATGGATTATTAATAGGTAAAAATTTAACGTTACAATATTTTAAGATTAAAGACTAGGATAAACAAAGAGGGTAAGGATTTGCTGAACCAACAAACCGAACTGGAATACAAAAAAAGGGAGGCGTGAGGAGGTCCGGGAAACAAGCTAATGAAAAATAAGTAATGGAAAGATTGAGTTGTTTTTAACCATTTTTATTTTGTATTTTCTTCTTCTTTTATTTTTATTTTGTAACATTTTGAAAATCTCAATAAATATCTTATATAAAAAAAAGTGATGTTAAAAAATAATATCCTCACAATTGGAAAGCTTCAGACATGTTGGAATCTCTTAGTTGTTTTTATATGCTTCAAATACGAAACCATAATAATAATAATAATAATAATAATAATAATAATGCAAACAACTTGTATTCCTAGGAGCTGGAAGCAATGTTCTTAGTTGTAGCCCCTTCCACGCTAAGAAAGTGTGTGACTGGCTCAAGGTCACCCAGCGAACTTTATGGCTGAGTGGGAGTTTAAACCCACATCTACCACTGGTCCTAGTTCAATGTTCTAGCCATTCTACTGTACTGATGCTTTTATACTAATTAATTACATATTGATCCAAATTCCACAAAATGGTTGTGCTAGTGGGAGCCAGCGCGAGGACTCCATCTAGTGCAATGGGGTTTTCTACGCTCTCCTCCCTCCCTAATAGGCTTGAGGGGGTGTGTCAGGAGGAACCCCAGAACAACACACAGGGAGAGCAGAAGGGAGACCATCCTGTCAGGCAAGCAGAAATTATCATAATAGCGTGATGTTGAATTCTCCCCACTGTCTTCAAAATATGCTAATGAACGATCTTCAAGGCAACCTTTGCCAACCTGATGCGTACTTTAGACTTCAGCTCCCATCAGCCCCAGCCAGCATGGTCAAGGATGATGGGAGTTGTAGTCCACGACAGGCAGAGGGCACCTGGCTGTCAAAGGCTGTGCTAAGGAATCCTGAATCCTTGGAGTTTCTCAATGGAAAGATCATCAACAGGAGACAATCTTCCTGGAATATACTTTCCCTATCACAATGGATCTTTCTCTGCGACATATAGATAAAGGGCAACATTGGGTGTGTTACAGAGCACATTATTCATTCACAGTGGGTGGAGATGAAGCAAAACAACATGGTATGCATACACGGCAAATTTGCAAAGGTTGCATAGGGTGCATGTAAGAATTCTTTGCCAAAGAAGACAATGTGGAAAGTGCTCCCTGAAGTAAGCAAGCTACACATCCAGCTGGTTTTAATGGTATTAAGCTGGTCTAATGTCATCTTTCAGCTTATGGAAGTGAGAGCTGGACCATAAAGAAGGCTGATCGCCAAAGAATTGATGCTTTGAATTATGGTGCTGGAGGAGACTCTTGAGAGTCCCATGGACTGCAAGAAGATCAAACCTATCCATTCTGAAGGAAATCAGCCCTGAGTGCTCACTGGAAGGACAGATCGTGAAGCTGAGGCTTCAATACTTTGGCCACCTCATGAGAAGAGAAGACTCCCTGGAAAAGACCCCGATGTTGGGAAAGATGGAGGGCACAAGGAGAAGGGGACGACAGAGGACAAGATGGTTGGACAGTGTTCTCAAAGCTACCAGCATGAGTTTGACCAAACTGCGGGAGGCAGTGGAAGACAGGAGTGCCTGGCGTGCTCTGGTCCATGGGGTCACGAAGAGTCGGACACGACTAAACGACTAAACAACAAATGTAATCTTTGCTGCCATGGTCATCCTAGTGGCTATATATTTTAATGTTTTTAAAGATATCTTAATGTTACATGTTTATGGTGTTTGCCATTTTGATTCTTCCTACTGCATTTTATTGGCCTTGTTGGTGTCCTTGCCCTAAAAGATGGCCTATAAATACCTTATTTTTTTAAAAAAATTGTACCACTGCTTATCAATTATGCCATCACAATCACATGCTAGATGCCGCTGCATGCCAGCTCAGAAATGAAGTCTTGTAACAACTGTTATATCAAATATTGAAATGATTTCCTAACACTACTCACAATTGCCCCAAGACCAATTTAACACTCTTCAAGTTCGGCCAGGGTTAATTCTGCACCAGAGTGCACATATATGAGGATGAGACAACTTCTGTTAGATGACATGTATCAAGACTATGCCAAGTTGGATGGCCTGCAAGAGGCCAGAGGATAAATTTGGACACAGGGGACTAATATTTGAGTCCCCAATAATCTCGGGAAATTCCAGGCAACTTCAAGGCAACATCGTTCAGCCCAAGCAACTTCCAGAGATGCAAAGTCTGCTGGACTTTTAACTCTCCCCAGGCTACACCCCGCACTGGTCTCACTTTGCAAACTCAAGTGTTTTTGCCTGACTAGATTGCGAACACTAATAATTCCTCTTGCTTGCCGGGATGGAGAGTAGAGAGTTTGTGTAGGAACTAGCCTATTGCACACAGGTAAAATATTGCTCCTCCCACTTTTGCTCTTCCTTGGCATGTGGCCCTCGGAAGGTTGCGTAGAAGGGAAAGTGGCCCTCATGCTGACAAAGGCTCCCCACCCCCACTGAATACGGCTGGCTCTCCATGAGACTGTATGTTCATAATGCTCAGTTACTCACTTAGTTAAGGGTTGCCTGTATCCACTCAACCCTACCTGCCCAAAGACTGTCTCACCAGAGTGGTGCATGCCCTAGTTATCTTCTGCCTGGACTGCTGCAATGCGCTCTACGTGGGGCTACCTTTGAAGGTGACCCAGAAACTACAACTAATCCAGAATATGGCAGCTAGACTGGTGACTGGGAGTGGCCGCTGAGACCATATAACATTGGTTTTGAAAGACCTACGTTGGCTCCCAGTACTTTTCTGAGCACAATTCAAAGTGTTGGTGCTGACCTTTAAAGCCCTAAACAGCCTCGGACCAGTATACCTGAAGGAGCATCTCCACCCCCATTGTTCCGCCCAGACACTGAGGTCCAGCTCTGAGAGCCTTCTGGCGGTTCCCTCACTGTGAGAAGTGAGGTTACAGGGAATCAGGCAGAGGGCCTTCTTGGTAGAGGCGCCCGCCTTGTGGAACGCCCTTCCATCAGATGTCAAGGAAATAAACAACTATCTGACTTTTAGAAGACATCTGAAGGCAGCCCTGTTTAGGGAAATTTTAATATTTGATGTTTTATCGTGTTTTTAATATTCTGTTGGGAGCCGCCCAAAGTGCCTGGGGAAACCCAGCCAGACGGGTGGGGTATAAATAATAAATTATTACTATTATTATTCTATATCAGGCATAGGCAAACTCTAGCCCTCCAGGTGTTTTTGGAACTACAATTCCCATCATTCCTAGCTAACAGGACTAGTGGTTAGGGATGATGGGAATTGTAGTTTCAAAACATCTGGAGGGCCAGAGTTTGCCTATGCCAGTTCTATACTGAGTGGACAAAGATGAAGTTCTTACTCAGGAGGCCTAGTGTCTGGTCCCAGAGCCCTCTGGAGGGAAATCCGGTCACTGGCGTAGGCGTTGAAGCAGTGCTTCTCGTAGCCCCGCTCCTTCTCCTTCGTCTCTTCTTGCGTCCACTGGTCCTTCTTGAAAGCTTTGCCATCGGCCCCCGGGCTGTTGGGGTCTTGCGGAGGGCGCTCCATGAAGGGCTTCAGTTCTGCGGGCGTGTAGTAGCCGGGCAGGCAGGACTTGCTGTCTTGCTCCAGGGCCTCCTGCTGAACCGGAGCCCGGATCTGCAGCTTGGGCATGGAGTCCCGGATATTGTTGACCGCCCCCATCATGATGTCGATCATCTGATCCTTCCTGTCCACAATGTTCTTCAGCCAGGGCTCCTCCCTTTGATCCCCGCTGCTCACATCCCTCTGCATGATGAAGAGGAAGATGACAAAGACGACGCCCACCAAAGCCAGCTTCAGTGGGCCGTAGTGCCGCCGGAGCAGCCGCGTCAGGTGGGCCATGGCGCAGAGAGCGGTCTCTCCTCCGTCAAAGGCACAAGCTCTCCAAGGCTCTGGCTGACCTGTGGAGTCTCACCATCTTCTTGCAAACCTGAGAAACACACAAGGATGCCCATCAACCTCGGGCCAATGGCTTTGCATCCCACCCCCAGGCCCCACCTAAGCAAAGGGGAGAAAAAGAAGAGGAGATATTGCAGGGGGCACCACATGTGTTGGATTTGTGGACACATGTGCAAACCAGAGAATCTGTTGGGGGCACCAGATGTGCACTGCAACGTCCCACTACCCACCCTTGGTAATCACCCCCCTCATGGAATTAGGCTAGAAAAAAGTCTGCTAATGGTTAAGTAAGGCTTCTTTCAGCAGAGGAAGGAGAAGGGGGACCCTCTGGGCACAAGGGAAGGTCCTGGGGGCCGTATGTGTGCCCCATGTTGGCACCATGTTGGCAACCCATGAGAAGCTTCATTATATATTTTGCACAACATTGTTCCCTGGCGTCAGCCTCTTCACTGTGCCATGCACAGCCACTGACCCACGCAGTTCAAAATAGTAAATCAAATAAAAGAAAAAGGGAAGGGGAAAGGGGAAAGGCTGGAGGGCGGAAGGCCACTATCTGCCCAGCAGGCTCCTGGGGTCAAGATGAGCCAGACCCACAAACTCCTAATACTAGCAGAAGACATGCATTGCCAAAGACATAACCCGCAGCAGTGGAGAGGAGGCTGCAGATCAGGGGCGGGTCTACACACAGGAAAAAAACGCTATAAATAAGTCATACATTAAATGGTTATAACAAAAGGGGGGGAAACGCTATGTAAAATCACAAAGAATTTATTTTTTGCTCTCCAGAACCATCTAGTGTTGCATGTTTATAACGCGTTCAAAGTGCTGTTTTTTTATTAATGTGGCCGAGTCCCAAGAAGCTGGAAAGATCATCCAGAGCTTTGGGCCAAAGTCAGGGATGAACATGCATGGCAAACCATTCCTGTGCCTGGTACTTAAGTAGATGAAAGCACTAGCGTTCAGGAACAGTATCACCAGCCCCTGTGTGACAGTGCTCTATCTGTACACACAAGCACACTCTATTGCAGGTGAACCCTAGTGTTGCCCCAGAGTTGTAGAATATGTTGATATTGCTTGCAACCCAGGGACGTTTATGGGAGCTTAGCTCTAGTTTGGAACTCCTGTGGAAAGCTACCTAAACATCATAGCTTTTGCATTTATTGATCACCGACAAATTTACAATAATTTTTGATAGCATCCCTTTCCATTTTCCTCTAATAGAAACTTTTTTGATTACTGTATACAGTCATACCTGTGCTCCCGAATGCCTTGGGAGTCAAACGTTTTGGCTCTCGGACAATCGAAAACTGGGAGTGTGTGTTCTGGTTTTCAAACTTTTTTTTGGAAGCTGAACGTCCGGTGTGGCTTCTGCTATTGTTTCTGGCATGCCTGTGCAATCGGGAACCAATCGGAAGCCGTCCCTTGGTTTCCAAACTTTTCAGAAGTGGAACAGACTTCCGAAACAGATTCCGTTCGACTTCTGAGGTACGTCTGTACAGTGGTACCTCAGGTTACATACGCTTCAGGTTATATACGCTTCAGGTTACAGACTCCGCTAACCCAGAAATACAGTGGTGCCTCGCAAGACGAAATTAATCCGTTCCGCAAGAGTCTTCGTCTAGCGGTTTTTTCGTCTTGCGAAGCAAGCCCATTGACGGATTAGCGCTATTAGCGCTATCAGCTGTTTAGCGGCTATTAAAGGCTTAAAGGCTTAGGGGATTAGCTGCTAAAAGGCTATTAAAGGCTATTAAAGGCTTAGCAGATTAGATAAAGGGGGAAAAGCGAAAAAAATCTCAAGACTCGCAAGGTATTTTCGTCTTGCGAAGCAAGCCCATAGGGGAATTCGTCCTGCGAAGCAACTTCAAAACGGAAAACCCTTTCGTCTAGCGGTTTTTCCGTCTTGCGAGGCATTCGTCTTGCGGGGCACCACTGTAGTGCTTCAGGTTAAGAACTTTGCTTCAGGATAAGAACAGAAATCGTGCTCTGGCGGCACAGCAGCAGCAGGAGGCCCCATTAGCTAAAGCGGTGCTTCAGGTTAAGTACAGTTTCAGGTTAAGAACGGACCTCCAGAACGAATTAAGTACTTAACCCGAGGTACCACTGTACTGTGTTCATAAGCAGTGCCCACATTCGCAAGCAACTCTAAGCCACAATGTCTGGTTTAGTAAACTAAGGCACCCTTGCTTAAATTGAGGAGTAATTGAAGGGGGAGGCAGAGAGCTACAGCCCTATTAGTGATGTCTTCAGACAGTTAACCTGCAGACTGATATACCAATGTGCTTATTTGTCGCAAAGCCATGGAAACACTATGTTTGTGCATGTGACTTTTAAATGTCCCTGAAAGAATCTGGGATTTCTACGTAGCTGTATAGCAACAATGTGTTTCTATAGTTGTGACTTTTTGGCATCACAGCACTGTATATGACAGACTTCACCGCTCCTGGGGTTTCCTCTTACAACTTTCATTTCCTGAGACTGCAGTCCTGCACACACTTTATTGGGGGCAAAGTCCTGTTCAATCTAGCAGGCCTCCTCCTGCGTAAACACGGACACAGGATCAGGCTGCAGGAGGAGGATAGATCTGGGTGAAAAGAGGCAGAGGAGAGGCAAACCAGAACATGCGTCCCTCAAGTTCAGAATTCACCATTTTTCATTTACATGCAGATGATACAGGACTGATGGAGCAGCCTGCTGGAAATGCTGGTGTTTAATTTACAGGAGTTCAGCCTTTCATGTTCCACCATCTAGGATGCCCACCAGAGGATCAACATCATAGTTACCAGTAACCAAGGTTTACTAAAAAATGACTATCACATAGTGACACCAGGCCTGCACTTACTTTGCACCAAGCCAGTAGAGCTTGAATGATATCCCATTATTTCTTTCTAAATCTCAGAGCCACTTAAAACAGGGCATATGGCACCTGGAAACTTAACCAGCCTACACATGCCCACTTCCAAGTCTGCAGCTCAGTGATGGGGTACATGGTCTGCACAGCTCCAGGTTTGACCCCTGAACCTCTCATGGAAAAGAGCTTGGGTTGGAGGGCTGGGAAAAGCCACCACCAGCCAACAGGCCCTACAGACTAGCGGGCGACCTCTGTACAAAGCACATTACAGTGGTACCTCCGGATGCAAATGGGATCCGTTCTGGAGCCCCATTCGCATCCTGAAGCGAACGCAACCAGCGTCTGTGCATGCATGGGTCATGATTCACTGCTTCCGCGCATGCGGGTGACATCATTTTGAGCATCTGCGCATGCGCGAGCAGCGAAACCCGGAAGTAACGCATTCTGTTACTTCCGGGTTGCCGCGGAGCGCAACCCAAAAACGCTCAACCCGAAGCTACTTCAACCCGAGGTATGACTGTATTTAGTTTCAACAAGCATTGCTGTTGGATCTAAGATTTGGGGAGGGAGTACCCCACTGGGCAAGGCACTGAGACAGGACATGCAGAGTGAGAATTCTCAGTGATAGTGGCAGATATGTAGATGGTGGGCCAGTGGTGTAGCATGGGTTTCCAGTGCCCGGGGCTGTGTGGAGGGCAGGGTGGGAAGGAAACGGATGGGATACGTATGCACATTCAACTGGCTAATTATGTCCGCATCACTCAGGAGATTGCAGCCACAGAGGTAAGAAAAGAAGAGGCATTCTGTTGTCTGGAGAAGTCACTTCCTGGTTCACAGTACACAGCTTCCTGGTTCATTTAAGCACACAGCTGTATTGAGGGTGTTGAAATTTTGTGCCCCAGGCAACTGCCTCTGTGCCCCCCATGCTATGGCACTCCAGTGGGCCCTCTGGGGATACTGGGGCCCTTGTCACTCTCAGAAACTGCGTTTGAAGGCCATTCATACTGAATTCAGATGGGGAATGTGCAGTTTCCCCAAAAAATGCTCCTACCCATGGAAGTGCGAGTCGCTGGGGAAGTAATGCAGCCCCTTAGCCCAGGATCAACTGCTTAGTTTTTCAAGAGAGGTGGCGGGATTCAAGCTTGCCAAGAACCCAAGCATTCTCAATGCCCTCTCAACATGCTCAGAGGCACCAGCTTCACTGCTTAAGCCCAGGACAGCCGATGTGTGCCCTCCAACATAGCCAAACGTCAGGGGCGATGGGAGTTGCAGCCTGTTCTAGCACTGAGCCCTGCAAGTTCAGAACTAGGTCTTTGCTGACTCTTAAAATTAGCCCCTATCCACCAACGTGCAGATTATAGACAAGAAGAACAAACTCACAAAGCTACAGTAAATAAGGAAGTCTCATGATATTCTTTAAACATTCAGCAAACCATAGCAGTGCCAGATGGGTGGGTGGTGAATATATTTTTTTATATAAAAAAAGAAAGGCACAGTTCTAAGAAAAATGAGTTTCTAACCCCTGATTGTTATGCTAGAACTATGAATCCTTTCTGGAATCAAAGAGGCGAAACCCTCAAGCAAGAAAGCCAACAACAGGACTGGCATCATAGAGGTGAGACCTTTGAAACAGATTTGCATGATTCCCTAGGAAATGCTTGGATTTTGAGAATCTCCTCTTTCAGGAATTTAGAAAGACAAAAAAAGGAGAAAGTTTCCCACTCAGATGTGTACAGAGTCCCCCCCCCCAATTAATTACAAGTATTCTATTCATCTTCCAAACAACACAAGATACACAAAAGATGTGAAAAAAAGAGATCATGAATAAACCCATAGTCACTGAAAAAGTTTCAATACCATATGTCTTCAGGATCTTCCGTCTACCTCACTGCGGTTCTCCCTTTTTCCTTTTTCCTTTCTCTCTTTTTCCTTTTTCCTGTGTCCTTTATTGCCTTAACCATCATCTATACTATATTCAATACCTTAATTATCCATCAAGTACTTTGCGAAAATTAATCCAGGCATACTAAAGATTTTAGTTGGGAACAACTTTTTTTTTAATACCCTCTGTAACATTCCCACTCCTGTGTAAACTTTTGGCTTGTTTGGTTCCTGATTATCTGTACAGAGTTAAATTAGAAGAAAGGATGTAAAGGATCAGAAATGAAGAAGCTAGTACCAATTATCCTCTGTGCCAGGGGTGCCAACTTGAATAAAATATTAGGGGAGGCCAGGTAACCCCAGCCCCACATAATCAATCACATGACACAGTGCACGCACACCATTAGAATGGCAATGCCAACCAACTTTGGGGAGGCCCAGCCCCCTCAAATATTTTGCCGGGTGAGCCCCTGGGAGTTGCCTCCTATGCTAGGGTTGCCATATCTTGAAGAGGAAAAAAGAAGACAGCCCGAGCCGCTGCCAGCCCGAGCATGCAGAGCCACTGCCACCACGCTCATGCCCCTCTTTCCCCAACTCAGGCTGGCAGCGGCCATGGCATGCAGAGCAGCCCAAGCCCCCCAAAGCCCAGACATTTTCTTTGAAGTGTAAAAATCCACCCGGATGATTATGTTACCCCCCCAAAAGAGGACCTGTCAGGGTTTTCCTGGACGTATGGCAACCCTGCTCTGTGCCATGTTGGAGGGTATGCGATATGAGATCTGGAACATTCCCCTCCACCCGCCCCCCCCCATCCCTTTGTTGTGGAGGATGGAGCGTTAAGAGAAGCCCAGAAGAATTATAGGGAAATACTTCCCAGACCAGATAACATTGTTTGCTGTTGAATGAGCACAATGGAGGACTACTTCCCAGAATCTGCATGTTGCAGCAAGGTACAAAAAATGGGAAGAGGGGAGAGGACCCGGAATCCGTCTTCCTTTTCCCTTGGCACACAACTCACTTTATCTAAGCAACACCAAATCTCTCTTTATCCAAGCATTAACATTGGGTTAAGCTGGAATTACCTACCACACCTACTGCAAACAGGATGTCCTTTTCTCTTCTTGGATTGGGGGTATGGTGGGGGGGGGGTAGGAAATACACTGTAAAGAATGATCCTCGCACGGGTTTGTAAGTTGCATTTTAAAAATAAAAGCCCCTACTGTGGAGAGGGCTGCCGACTTTTCCCTTCCCGATTGAAACAGAATTACATCACTTACACATTTCAGACTCGGAGGCAGATTTTACAGCCTGGAATTGATTCGTGCCATTTCCTTGCTCAGCGCTTCCTAAACCCTTTGAATTAAATAGCGTTGTACCAGCATATCTGTGTTTGTGTGCAATATATAAATGTAACATCTGATACTGACGCATGTCGCCAGAGCATTCTTAAATCCAGAAGCCTGGGAAATTATTACAAAGGCATGATAGTTCAAGCAAGCATGTGTTCTTCTAAATTAAGAAAATTTACTTGGGTGACAAAGGGCTCTGTCTTCACCCTTCAAATGCCACCAGTACTTGAAACTATTGGCTAAGACTCTGGGAGGCAGCGATCACCGCCGTGTTCACCCTGCAAGTCTACTTGCAGAATCAGGAACACCACCAACAAAAAGCAAATACTGCTTCTACATTGTCGCCAGGAAGTCTCCCCCCCCCCTACAAACATATTTGCACAGTTGTGCAAAAATTACAGCACTTTGCATATTTTGGTAAAGTGACGACGTGTCCTGTTTTACAGAGGACAACCCCCTGGACCAGTTTCCTATAATTTAAAAAGCAGCATCACAAACTAATTTCCCCACTTACGAAGGCGTCCCACCACAAATAATTTTCTTTTTGTAGATCTCCCGAGGTCAAGTTCTTTTGTAGCAGAGAGAATCAGTTGAGACACTTTCTCTGATTTGCAAATGGGTCCAGGGGTCCTAAAAAGGTTGGCAACCCCTCAGGTGGAGCAAGGCAGCTGAGTTCTGGATGTTGTGAAAGCACAGTAAACCCTACAGTCTAAGTTTACTATTATAGCAATTAATTTACTATTATATTGAGGGGCACTTCCCTCTGTGTTTGAGAGGCCAAAATAACTTGGCCAACCTTGGATACTGTGCTTCTCAAATTCGGAAGGGACGACATTTGCCGTTCCCTTTCAGGCAGCGAAATATCTTGGGCCTGCCTGGGCTCTCTCCATTGTCCTGCGTAGGAAAGAGAGAGCAAAATATTTCCTGTTTGATGAAGGTAAAAGAGCACTCAGCCACAAGATGACTGGTTACTTAACCCCCGCAGTCTCAAGGTGTGTCTGGGACTCAAGTGATTTCTTTCTTTCTTTCTTTCTTTCTTTCTTTCTTTCTTTCTTTCTTTCTTTCTGCCAAGGACTTTCAAGGGATGTGGGCATATGCAGAATGCATGTTAAAGATGACCCAGGATTGTGGTCTTTGTGGACCTGGTTAGCCCAAGGCAGGTTCCAGCACATATTTAATCTTTTGGTACACCTTCAGGGCACAGCTGAGGAGGAGAATGGAATTCCCCCATAGGCCTGGTGGGCAAATGACCCTAATGCAGGCATCCCCAAACTCGGCCCTCCAGATCTTTTGGGACTACAACTCCCATCATCCCTGACCACCGGTCCTTTTAGCTAGGGATGATGGGAGTTGTAGTCCCAAAACATCTGGAGGGCTGAGTTGGGGGGTGCCTGCCCTAATGGGAGAGGGGAACAGAAAAACCTGTTGGCACGACAAGGGTTTTTCTGTGCTGTTCGTCCACATGTGTGAAGGCTGGAAAACGTTCCTGCAAATTCCCATGCACGCAGAATTGCAAGGACAAAGGCAAAAACCCACCAGAAAGAATGATGTTCCCATTCAATTTGGTGGGGCTTGTGCAGAAGAATGGCTATATTGTGCCCCAAGAAGTTTGGCCACCCTTATCAAAGCTGTTCAAGGTTAAGGAGCAAAGGCACCGTCCGTTTTCCTGCCCCTGGCTTTCTGTGTGCGGAGCTCAGTTCTCTCGCTGGGGCCAACCTAATTTGTTTTACCAGGCAACCCCTTGTCTGCAGGAACCTTTTGACATGGCACACCGCCTTTGAGCCTGCTCTCTTGTTGAGAGAAGTTGCAGGCACAATAATGAGACTCAGTCTGAGAAGCAGTTTGTTACACAGAGCAGCCCAGGTTAGGACAGTCTGACAGCGTTCACGGCTCTGATTTTTAGGAGCTTTCAAGACGAGGGATGAACACATCTGTCCATTTTGGTTTCTCCCTGTTTCTCCTTTTCCCCATCTTCAGTTCCATTCTCCACACCAGTTTGCATTTTCTTTAATTTTTTTTTAAAAAGTCCCCGTGAAAATTCACCAGCATTTTAACGCTCCTATGTTTGTATGTAGTTTTGCCTCATATTTACAACCTGCAATTCCATACACCAAGTTGATGACTAACACAAGTGTAATAAAAATAAATAAATAAATAAATAGTCCAGTAGCACCTTAGAGACCAACTAAATTTATTCTGGGTATAAGCTTTCATGTGCACGCACACTTCTTCAGATACCATCAATCAATCAAAATCAATCAATCAATATCTGTAATACATGATTAGAAACATCAATAAAACAGCAATAGATTACTAGTTGGTTAAAGAGAAGAGTAATCATGCTGTAAAAGACTATTTAAAAAGTGCATTTTTAAAGAGACATTTGAACAATGACAGGCTGGGGATTCCACAAATAAGGGGCTGCCGTACTAAAGGTTTCATCCGTAGGGAAGACCAACTGAACCTCTGGTGTGTGGGGAACCACCTAATGTCCTCTATCAGAGGATCTATGTGATCAAATATACAAGTATACACATTTTTACAGTGCAGTGTTCCCTAATAGAATGTACTTTGAATGTTCATTTCACTAACAAATGCACATTTATGCAAACTTTATCTCATTATTTGCATTTGTGTATACCTTACTTAGCTGAAGAGCCACACTGCAGAATTCAGAAAAGTGTGAATTTTGAAGGCTAGCCATGTGCGGGTTTTCTTCTTCTTTTTCTTTGGAGAGTTCTAATTTGGTAAGTTTGCCTTTAAATGCAAACTGAATTGAAATTCTCCCCCTCCTCTATTCCGCATGGCTTTCTTCATATGTGGCAGTGCTATGGTGAATAGACAGCAGGCTGATTCACACAGAGCAACATTCCATACCTGCAAACTACACATCTATGTGCTGAAAAACATTTCAACCCAACTTTCAGGTCACATTGCCCTTGCAAATATTTAAACGCACAAATCATAAAAACATCACATCCCTCAATTCACAAACTGCAACAGTTAAAACAGAGCTTTCCAAACTGTGTGTTGCGACAGGTTAGTGCGTCGGCTGCAGTGTGTAGGTGTGTCGTCTGAAAGCTCCCCACACTCTTCCTGGAGATGGAAAGGGGTTAGTTTAACCTCTGGTTTGCTAGAAAAACTGATTTACTGTGCTGCAAAATGATGCCCATCTAAAACGTGTGTCACCAACACACATGGTTTGAAGGGTTTTGTTTTTTTTAAAAAAGTCTTTGGGGTCCTCTCTCTCTCTCTCTCTCTCTCTATATATATAACAAAACAAAACAATAACAGTAATGACAGAGCCATACGTATTTATCCAGGGATGAAATTCCAAAGATGTGGGGCCACATCGAAAAGACCCTGTCTTTGGCATCCAGCAATCTAACAGGTCTTACCAGCAGACAAAAGAAGAGGGCTTCCAGTGCTGATCAAGCAATGGCGTATTTTTCCATTCCACTTGCTCCTGGACCACATGAATTGGCAGGAGCAGCACTGTGGCCAGGGCAGGCGAGTGTAATACAATAGCCCAAAAGCCTCACAAAAGGAAGTGCCGCCTTTTAAGTTGGTTTGGTCTGGAGACTGTCTTCCTGCTGCCATGGCTCCTAGCATGGAAATCGGACAAGTGCGAACACGCAAACCTGTAGTAGACAACCACACAGCTCCTTTGAGATAAGGAGGTGATCAGAGAAATCAGGAGGAAGCCAAGTCAGGGCTGTGCTGCTACGAGGCATCTGCTTAGCGGTTTCAAAGTTGTTTCAGCTTTTAAGCTGCTCGTCTCTTTTTATTTATGCCTTTGTTGTGGGCGATAGTTTTAAATGTCCATTATACTAAGCTAACTTGAGTGCCCAGTTAAGCATACAGGTAGGATATTCAGTGGCACAACCTCTAAAACACACACACACACACACACACACACACACACCCTTTCCTTGCCTTGATGCCCGGATGCACATGTCATATGGATGATTCCAGTGATGTCTTTATAGAAAAAGAGGTTTTGGAACTCACCATGAACATCTCCTTTGTTCTCTTAGAATGGCAGTGGCACCTACCTGAGAGGTGCCGGAACTGAGTTCCTGTGAGTTTCCCCTGAGAAAAAGCCCTCCCCTGAGAAAAAGATCCCAAGCAGTAAGAGGTCTTTCACACTGCCTAGTTCCCCCGAGATGCCAGGAACTAAGCCTGGGATGTTCTGCATGCAAAACAAGCCCTCCTCTTCCAAACCAGGTACCCTTCCCACAAATCAAGTGGGGGAGAGTTCCCTCTTCACTACTTTTAATTACTCTCAACCTGCTTGCATGTGAAGACCACATGTCCACTTAGAAAACAAGCCAAGCAGAGTCCCAAACTGTGCTTCTTAGGCACAGTCGTACCTTGGAAGTCGAACGGAATCCATTCCGGAAGTCTGTTCAACTTCCAAAACGTTCAGAAACCAAAGCACTTCTTCTGATTGGCTGCGGGAAGTTCCTGCAGCCAATCAGAAGCCGTGGAATCCTCGTCGGACGTTCAGGTTCCAAAAATAGCCATATTTCCAGTTATCAGGTCATATTTCCAGTAATAGGTCATATTTCCAATTATCAGACCATCCAAGGATTACACTTTAGAGAAGAAAGAATAGAGTATTGCCTTGAATCATCATTTCAAGCAAAGGCTGGCTAAGCTGGCCGCAGTGGAGCAGAGGAAGCAAGTCATATGAGGATAAGCAGAAAAGAACCACACCAGGTTTTCCGTGTGTGTTTGCTTTTATTTCATACAAAGGTGAACAAAGAGAAAAAGGAAAACACCTTGGCTCACATATACACACTGATAGCATCAAGGGCTGCACCTGTTTAGAGGGGTGTTGCATTTGTAACCAGGGGCGGAGAAGAGTTTTCAGCCCAAGGGCTATATTCCCTGGCAGGCAATGTTCTGGGTGCTGCGTGCTGGTGATGGGATGGCCGGAGGCAGAAATGTGCCCAGCAACAGATATGACTCTTACCATTGTGCAGTTGGCTACATTCCAGCCATGCAAAAATTAAAGGTTCCTACACCCCACTCCTCCTCCTCCCAGTCTCTCCATTCAGGGGCAAGCCAGGGGCAGCGTCACAGCTGAAGATCAACTGTGTGTACACACACCCTTCTTATCCCATAATATAAGCCACGAAGCTCAATTTCATGAGCTCCTAATGATGGGAGTCAGTAATAACTCTCCTTTAAACCTAACTTCGTTTTTATTGGCTGGTATGGATTATTACACATCATAAAAGACTGCCCAATTTGTCAAATAGGCTGAAGGCAATCCATGTTAATGTATGGTGTACAGATTTTGAGAGGGGATGTTTATAACTAGCCAGTTATGGCAGTGCCCTTTGTATGCACTGATTCTGATGCTCTGTCTCTGGTCTTGGCGATTTGTGCATCTCTTTCTCCCTCCCTCCTTCCCTCCCTCCCTCCCTCTCTCTGTATCAATGAGCAATGCATTTTGAAATATTTGAAACAGTATATTAATATTTCTGCTATATTGGTTTTTAGTATTTCTACTGTGGCACTGTGGTCTAAACCACTGAGCCTCTTGGGCTTCCTGATCAGAAGGTCGGCGGTTCGAATCCCCACGACGGGGTGAGCTCCCGTTCCTCGGTCCCTGCTCCTGCCAACCTAGCAGTTCGAAAGCACACCAGTGCAAGTAGATAAATAGGTACCACTCCGGCGGGAAGGTAAACGGCGTTTCCATGCGCTGCTCTGATTCGCCAGAAGCGGCTTAGTCATGCTGGCCACATGACCTGGAAGCTGTACGCCGGCTCCCTTGGCCGGTAAAGCGAGATGAGCGCTGCAACCCCAGAGTCATCTGCAACTCGACCTAACGGTCAGGGGTCCCTTTACCTTTACAGTGGTACCTCGGGTTAAGAACTTAATTCGTTCCGGAGGTCCATACTTAACCTGAAACTGTTCTTAACCGGAAGCACCACTTTAGCTAATGGGGCCTCCTGCTGCTGCCGCACCGCCGGAGCAAAATTTCTGTTCTCATCCTGAAGCAAAGTTCTTAACCTGAAGCACTATTTCTGGGTTAGCGGAGTCTGTAACCTAAAGTGTATGTAACCCGAGGTATCACTGTACTGTGTTTGTAAGTCGCTTTGAGTCATTTTTATGACTAAAGCGACAAATAAATAAATAATACAAAGCAAGGAGGCATAGTACTTGTAAAAAAGTACAGGTTGCTACAGCAAACAGATCATTTGCCACTGGAGCCTATAAATCATGGCAGCCGCTACCCGAGAAACAGAAAACTGTGCAATAGCAGCCACTTCCCTCACATTCAGCACCAGCCACCTCTGCAGGTGCCAAAAGGCTCTAGGAAACAGAAAGTGATTCACAGACTTGAGGAGTCTCAAGGCAACACCACCATGTGACCACTCATAATATACTACCGGCTGAAGTAGACGGTGGAAGCAGCAGTTGCTTAAACAAGTTGGGACCAAGCCACACAACAGATTAAACCCACTAAACTGCTTGCTTTTAACTGAAGCAGGAAGTTCAAATGTCACTCAGCCACAATCTGATATCAGGCAAGTTGCTTCTCTCTCAAGGTGCTTCCAGGAGGGGGCTTAATTTGCAGACAGGAAATCAGTAACAGGTTTTGTTAAAATATATATATATTTATCGGATTGTTACTGGAAAGGACTAATCCAGCGAGTTGGGGCGGGGGTCTGGCTGGCATTTTGATGCCAAACACGTTGTATGGAAAAAAACACCACCACCAAAGCAAATTTGCATGCAGAGAGAGCACCAGGCTTCAGATATCCCACCAGCAACGTGGAGATAACCCAGGTGTGGCGAACCTGTGGCCCTGCAGATGTTGCTGAACTAAACCTTGCACCATCCCTGGCCACTGGCGATGCTTGCTGAGGCTAATAGGAGTTGCGGTCCAGGTCCCCCACACCTGAGATAACCATAGGAATCTGGATTATGGGCCGGGATTACAATACAGTGGTACCTCGGGTTACGAACTTAATTCGTTCTGGAAGTCCGTTCTTAACCTGAAACTGCTCTTAACCTGAGGTACCACTTTAGCTAATGGGGCCTCCTGCTGCTGCTGCGCCACCACCGCACGATTTCTGTTCTCATCCTGAAGCAAAGTTCTTAACCCGAGGTACTTTTTCTGAGTTAGCGGAGTCTGTAACCTGAAGCGCCTGTAACCCGAGGTACCACTGTACCTAGAATCCGGCCTAGAAGCTGCCTCTATTTCCGCCCTAATCTTGCAATCATAGCCGCTGGCATCTCCTGGAGGAGCAATTGATAGGAAGGAAAGTCCACGAAATTTCCATACAATGAGCAAAATTGGAAGCCTTTTCCAAAGCTGGAATGCCATCAACATGCTCTGGAATGAGCACTGAAGGTTCCTCAGCTGGCTTCCATCAGCCTTCTTGCCATGGGGCAGGCACCCCCAAACTCGGCCCTCCAGCTGTTTTGGGACTACAATTCCCATCGTCCCTGACCACTGGTCCTGTTAGCTAAGGATGATGGGGGTTGTAGTCCCAAAACAGCTGGAGGGCCGAGTTTAGGGATGTCTGCCATGGGGCAAAGAGCAGTTAGAGTAAGGGTGTGAGATTTATATTGGGAAATGGTTGTGGGGAGGATGGGTTAATAACTCGCTCCTAATCAGACACAAAAAAACAGGGAGGAGCTCCTGATCACAGATCACCTGTGCCTCTACTTACACCCTTATTAACTGCTCCAATGAGCCTTCTTTGGTATTCAAGAGCATCTTTCTGTCACCAAGAAAACACTGGGAGTAAAAATAAAAATAAAGGCCCTGGGGAGTGGCATCCATGTGTGTACATGTAGAGAAGAGAGGCACAATTGTAGCCACATCTATCAAGTTCCTTTCGAGCATGAAGGCAAAAGGGCTTGTTTGCCTAAAAGATGAACTCTGAGAATTTCAGAAGCCAACACTGTCCAATTGCATTCTGGATTTTAACTCAGTGTAAAAACCAAGAAATCCACCTGCTGCATAGCCAGCCAAGACCCGAGGCTGCCACTATGCCTCTGCAATGGCACGGCAGATAGCAGCTTTGAGATAAGGTCTCCAAGTACAGCACACCCAGGATATCGATTTGAGAAATCAAGGTGAACTTGTAATCCTTTGGCTGCAAGCACTACAGATGGCGCGCGCAGTCTGTATGGAATGCCACACATGCGCAGTCTGTATGGACGCCGTGCAAACGGCAGCCCATATGGCTGCCACGCACAAGCGGCAGCCCATACAGAGTGCGCATGTGCGGCATCCTGTATGGTTGCCACACATGTGCAGTCCATATGGGCTGCCGCACATGCGCAGTCCGTATGGGCTACCCCGCCCCGGGTGCCGGAGAGGGTTCCTCCACCACTGGTCAGAATGCCTGGCACTCTTGTGAACAGAGCACATCCCAGAATCTTCTACAAAATGCAGCAACACAGCGGTCAAATTGACATAAACAAGTTTCCTTGACCATAGGAAATCTGGATAACCACTGCCAGTTACATCACACTGGCTCACAAGAATCATGCCTTTCAGGAATCTGAAATCTATAAAGTAATCAGGCGCTCCTCTTTGAAACGCATTCAGGATGCCAGGAGAAAATTGTTCCTGGGGCCGAAACACTTGGCTGCAAGCTACTTTCACTTCAAAGCACTCCATCATTAACAGATGATATAATTGTAGGCTTAGGTTTGCTGCTTGTGAAATAGGCCTTGCAAAATATGACAGAGCACATTAACAGCCCGTGTCTCAGACAAAGAAGCCTTTTTGATGGAATGCTAGAAGAGGCAATTCATCCAGTTTACTCCAGTGGGAGGGGATGAGGTGGGAAGCAGGTTCCGCCTCCATCTAGACTGTCAGTATTTTGTGGGCGGAATTCAAGCGCATTCTGGGAAACATAGGTTTGCACAATTAAAGTGAATTAAAGCATACTGTCACCATAGGGCAACTAATCCACTTGGGGGGTAGGGGAAACAGACTTTTTGTGGTTGGGATTAGGAAAGCAATGGGAAAATGCATTTTTAAAAGTGTGGAGTGAACAGTCAGGGTACAATGTGTAAACACAATGCAAAGTAAAGCAAGATTAATGATCGTTGTCATATAATTGCCCAGCAAATGAATGAAAGTGAATGCTCAATGAAGTTCAGATATAAACTCTGTGTAAGCTTTCCGAAAGCAAATCAGGATGCGTGCTCAATAAACAGAGCATCTGGAGCAGCAATATAATACTACCACCCACAACTCAGTTCAGTCCTCAGAGTTACTATGACAAGGGAAGAGGATAAAGAAATCTCCTTGTCTGCCATTCTCTGCAACGTGTTCTTGGTATGTGCATTAATGGGGCTTTATTCTGCTTTATAAGTTGTTCTGAAATGCTTCGCCAGAGCCAGTACATTATTGTTTTCCCGGGAGGCTACAGTGCCACAAAAGCAGGGCAATTCCACCATCACCCTGGAAAGCTTGTGGTATGAAAAGTTACGGAGCTGGAGCAGGAAGTTACCAGACATGCACTGATTGGAAATGAGGCAGCAGGATTGCCCTCAAATTTTTTGCAGGTGCAAATAGTATTGCAAATTGGTGGGATTGGGTGAAACTGCCCTGGCATCGTAATGAGCACAAATCTTCAGGAATGTGCAATAAAAGGGGCACCTAGAGAGGGTCTTCTGTGCATCTGCGCTGTTAACCCTCCTCAATCCCTTTACTTTGTTTTAAAAAAGAGTAAAGGTAAAGGGACCCCTGACCGTTAGGTCCAGTCATGACAGACTCTGGGGTTGCGGCGCTCATCTCGCTTTATTGGCCGAGGGAGCCGGCGTACAGCTTCCGGGTCATGTGGCCAGCATGACTAACCCGCTTTTGCCGTTTACGTTCCTTCCAGAGTGGTACCTATTTATCTACTTGCACTTTGACGTGCTTTCGAACTGCTAGGTGGACAGCAGCTGGGACCGAGCAATGGGAGCTCACACTGTTGCGGGGATTCTGACCCCCCCCAATAGTCCCCACTTGAAATCATACATATTTATTTAAGATGAAAACCAAGGTTTTGATCAAAGCCCATAGGTGATGGTGCTTTCAAATGTTCCTTGGTGTTCACACTGCTGTCCCCTTGAATTACTGCTCACTATCAGCCAATATTTTTTTTTTTTAAAGAAAAGGTAAGAGATCCAGCAAGTTTAGTCTTGCATCAGTAAACTCTGTGGCAAGAAAGGCTGTTATCTTTCAAGCAGCTGCTAACCTTTCCATGCAGGGCTGTCTAGCTGGCACAGAGGTTAACCCTTCATTTGAACTAGACTTTAAAGATGCAATCTTTATAGGCGCTTTCCTGAGAATAAACTCCATCGGTCAGGATTTACCACAGAGCAGATGGGCACAGGATTGTTCTCTAAATCCCCCACTTTCTCTCCATCTGACGGAAAAGAACACGAGGTAATCCTTTAAGAAAATAAATAAAAATGGTTTACTCTCACAACAACTTCACCACCTGTATAAAAGGTGTGCACTGGCCTTCGACAAGATCACTGCTGCATTTAAAAAAATCAGTGTGGAGCCTGATCCTATGCACATTTACTCAGAAGAAAGTCCCATTGAACTCAATAGATCTTTCCCCCAAGTACAGAGTAGAAGTCTGGAGTTTCATCTGCTCATTGAGGAATTGCAGCATTTCTGGGAATGTAAGTTTGACCCCCCCCAACCCCCCCCCCCCCGTAACACGTGCAGTTTTGCTATTTTTGACTCCGGACTGAATGGGTGAGCACCTTAGATGGCAATGTGCATTACTTCAAATTGTGATAATCCTCCAACATTTGGAGCCTTCTTGCTCATACTGCTGAGTGGGGCTCTGGATGACTGCCCTGAACTCTTGCCCCTAGAAAACAGTGTAACAATGAGTTTTGATCGACTGCTTTTCATTTGCAGTAGCTGCACATCATATTACCCACAGACTTCTCTTCCCGCCCCATCCACCTATAACATCTGCATAAAGGTAAAGTTCAAGGGGACCCCTGACCATTAGGTCCAGTTGTGACCGACTCTGGAGTTGCGGCGCTCATCTCGCTTTATTGGCCGAGGGAGCCGGCGTACAGCTTCCGGGTCATGTGGCCAGCATGACTAAGCCCCTTCTGGCGAACCAGAGCAGCGCACAGAAACACCGTTTACCTTCCCGCCGGAGCGGTACCTGTTTATCTACTTGCACTTTGATGTGCTTTCAAACTGCTAGGTTGGCAGGAGCAGGGACCGAGCAACGGGAGCTCACCCTGTTGTGGGGATTCGAACCGCCAACCTTCTGATCGGCAAGTCCTAGGCTCTGTGGCTTAACCCACAGCACCACCCGAGTCCCAACATCTGCATACACGTAAATAAATCTGCTGGAACGATGGAAGCCCATTGGTTCTTACAGAGCGATGGAGGTAATGATACTCAGCGTTTCCAGAAAAAATGCTTGAGATGAGACTGGCTGGAAGGGAAAACATCTAATGCTCAACTGAGCGGCAGCAGCTCATCTACCTTTAGGCAAAGTTGGGGAGGGGGAGGGGGAAGGGGAAGGGGGAGGAAATGAAAATCAATGCAGCTTTACAATACATTGCTTACTGAAGACATATTGTGGTGCCATTGTCCCCCTAAGCAATTTTTGTTTGCACTTTTTTAAAAAAGAAAGTCAAGTATAGCCTGTGGCCCTCCACAGGTCATGGGACTACAAATCCCATCATCTTTAATCTTTGGTCCACAGTGGCTGAAGCTGATGGGAGTTGTAGTGAGGAACATCTAAAGGGCACTAGGTTTGGGAAGGTCAGTAATGTAGTGCTTTAATCTGATTGCAGACTCAGTGCATACATGCATAGGTGCCAACTCTGCATGTCAAGTTGTCTGCAGAAAGACTGGACAACCGAGATTTTTTTCCTCATCAGAAGATGAGTGTAATCACTGTCACTTTTGCCATCTTGTGAGTGCTGCCCTGTGTTGCAGACAAAAAATGACCCACGAGCTGAGCACATGTTGAATCATTCTCTTGACATGGGCATAGTTTTCACATGGGGGGGGGGGGGTGGGATTGCAAATGGTCCCAACTTGTGACAGGGGGTTTGGGTGGACTGGACAAGCTGCGTCTCAAAAGAGAAACATCAGTGGCATGACTGCAGCAACTAATCATTCCCTAATTGTAGTTTTATTTTTGTTGTTTGGTGGTGGTGGGATTGTGGTGTCTGCCAATCCAATCTTTCAGATGGATACAATAACTTCCCTAGACATTTGTGCTAAATTGTCCAAAGCAACTAAACTGTACTGAAAGTCTAAGCTGTGGACACAGATGTCCCTGATTAAACTGTTGCCTACATTATCAACCCACTCTCAGGGGTCAGCAAACTTTTTCAGCATGGGGCCAGTCCATTGTCCCTCAGACCTTGTGGGGGGCTGGACTATATTTTGAAAAAAATATATGAACAAATTCCTATGCCCCACAAATAACCCAGAGATGCATTTTAATAAAAGCACAATTCTACTCATGTCAAAACACCAGGCAGGCCCCACAAATAACCCAGAGATGCATTTTAAATAAAAGGACACATTCTACTCATGTAAAAACACACTGATTCCCAGACCATCCGTGGGCCAGATTTAGAAGGCGATTGGGCCGGATTCAGCCCCAGTTTGCCTACTCATGGACTAGGTAGTCTCCAACAAACATCTCTCACGCCCCACTTGCAATACTGGATAATACAACCTCCCTTACTACATACATTGTTGAACATACTCTTTTCACTACAGTTAGAACCACAGAATTGGAAGGGACCACAAGAGTAAACCAGTCGAACTCCCTGCAATGCAGAAGTCTCAAGTGAAGCATCCAAAACAGATGTTCTTAAAAACCTCTGCTTGAAAACCTCCAAGGAAGGAGAGTCCACCACCTCCAGAGAAGGTCCATTCTGAGATTTGCTTTTCCCCGTTCTCTCTTTAGTAATAGAAGTAACAACAACCAGTGGCGTAGCGTGGGTTGTCAGCACCCGGGGCAAGGCAAGTAATTTGCGCCCCCTAACCCGTGGATTTTAGCACTCGAGGTAGGGGCAGAGAGCTGCGAGCGCCCCCCCCAGATGTTGCGCCCAGTGCGGCTGGCCCCCCTGCACCCCCACGCTACGCCACTGACAACAACTACAACAGCAACTGCAGGTGGAGTTTAGAGCATTGCTGCATCTCCAGTTCCAATCAGCTGCATCAGCCAGCAGGGCCAATGGCCAAGGATGATGGGAGTTGGAGTCCAACAATAAAGAAGGCTGATCGTGGAAGAATGGATGCTTTTGAATTATGGTGCTGGAGGAGACTCTTGAGAGTCCCATGGACTGCAAGAAGATCAAACCTCTTCATTCTGAAGGAAATCAGCCCTGAGTGCTCACTGGAAGGACAGATCGTGAAACTGAGGCTCCAATACTTTGGCCACCTCGTGAGAAGAGAATACTCCCTGGAAAAGACCCTGATGTTGGGAAAGATGGAGGGCACAAGGAGAAGGGGACGACAGAGGATGAGATGGTTGGACAGTGTTCTCGAAGCTACTAACATGAGTTTGACCAAACTGCGGGAAGCAGTGGAAGACAGAAGTGCCTGGCGTGCTCTGGACCATGGGGTCACGAAGAGTCAGACACAACTAAACAACAACAACAACAACAGTGGAAAGGAACGACTTTGGCTACTCCCGGTCTATAAAGTGGCATGCAATGGAATGGGGATCATCACTGCAACATGAAGGGTAACTTGCAAGCCTCCCCAAAGCCTACACACTCCAAGAAGCTGTCATGCCTAAATTTGCAATGCCAAATGAGCATTTGAACCTCACAGGGGGTTATTTGGGTGCACTTGTGAATGATGTTAATGCAGGATAGGCGCAGCATTTCAAAATCACAGAGACGCAGACCAGAGTCTGCTTTTAGGCAGAGTCGAAGGAGATTTGAGAAAAGTGCCACTTCCTGTGGCGCACACTCACACCCACATCCGCAGAAGCAATCCCCGCTCTCTGCCCCGATCAAGCAAGTTTTGCAGGTTTCAGTATTGGTTCAAAACCTGTCGGACCTGTGAACCAGAGACCCGAGTGCGATGACTGTGTCACAATAAGAAGCCACCCCTCCTTCAAGTCAGTCCGCGCGCAATATTCGACCGCACATGACCTTCAGTGGAAAGGGCTGGAAGGAACTGACAAGTGAATGGATAGTAAGGTGATTTACTCCCAGTGGCAAAACCCGCTTTCCATTTGTTCAGGATAGTTTGAGGAGGGAGGGATGGGAGGGAGAAGACAGGCAGGAGGAAGAAGCCGCAGAAAGAGGACATCTGAAGTAGCCTGATGCCATCTCTCAACTCGCCTCCAACGCAACCCAACCACACCCTCCCACCCTCCTAAGGCAATAGTTTAGCGGGACTAACAAACACAAAAATAAAGCCCCCTCCTCTCTATTTGGATCGCCAGGGGTTAAAACGAGATTTGCAAAAAGAGGGAAAATATTAAAGCCTTCTAATGTATATTTGTATCACAAGTTGAAGCAAAAAACCCTCTTTTTGGGGGGGCGGGATAGCCACAAATTCACCCCAACTCCAGGGGGAAGCCCCCCACGCCTTCAGCATCCACCCCACGGGACCCTGTCCCCAAATGCGCTTCCTCCTCAAACGGGAAAGCCACCAAGGATGGGGGGGGGGGGAGGGGACGCGCGCCTGCCCCCCGGCCAAGGAAGGAGCCCAGCCCAGCGGCTCCCCAGTCCCAGAAGAAGTGGGTCCGCGCCCCGATTCCCGGAGCCCGAAGCACAAAGGCGGAGAGGCTGCACTCACCTCGCCCGGGACCACCTCGGCGCGGAGGTCGGCGCGCTCTCTGGCCGCGACTGCTGGGCAGCCTCCGCTCTGGCGCAGGTGGAGCCCGGAGGAGGCGGGTCCCGCCCGCCGGACTTCTCACCTGCCGCCGACCCCGGGCGAGCCAGCGGGAAACTCCGCCGCCCCAGGCACAGGTGTATCTCGGAGCGGCGCCGCTGGGTCCTAGGGCCGGCGCGCCCCCAGCCGGGCGCCTCGCACGTTGGGTCCTAGCGCCCGGAAGCGCCAAGTTGGGAGGGACCCGCAGGGGTCATCTAGTCCAACCCCTGGCAAGGCAGGAAGCAGCAGATATTGGGCACACTTCGTGTCCCGCTTCATTGCTGAGTGGCCCTCCAAGTTGAGAAGAAGCAGGCTCCATCATTGGTAGAGCATGAGACTCACTATATAAAAAAATGTTTAGGGGCACTCTCACTTTCCTACTCATATTGAAATATTGCCCCTCAATGAGGCCAAACTTAGATTCACAAAATGTTTAGGGGTATGCGTACCCCTGTGTCCCCCCAGAAAAAAGCACTGTGTGTGTGTGTATATATATATATATATATATATATATATATATATATATATATATATATTTTTGTTTTACACTTTAGAATATTCATTTAAACAATCTTGACGAAGATTTGGAGACATGCTTCAGAGGCCCAGACTATGGGGAGCCCCCCAAAATTAATAAATACAATTTGGATTACAATTTGGTCTTTTTTATTGTAGTTTCTTGTTTTTAATTGGATTATGATGTGGATATGTTGATTGGCTGTTTTTATTGGAAAATCAGTTAAAATGATTTTTTTAAAAAAATGTCAATGACTTCTCTTTCCATGGTTCATTTTGCATATCATAAATCCTTGCATATTTTACATAAAGGAAACCATTCAGTGTTCCATTATTACATCCTACAAAACTTGTTTACACTGTTGAATTTATCTTAATGCTGCCTACGTTTTCATGTGTACACAATCCCCTCCCCCCATATATACAATAAACATTTTCCAGTCTTCTTTAAATGTATGTTCTTCTTGTTCTCTTATTCTGTATGTTAGGTCTGCAAGCTGTGCATATTCCATCTTCTTTAAGTTGCCATTCTTCTTTAGTTGGGATCTCCTAGAGCATGAGACTCAGGGTCGCGGGTTAGAGCCCTGCGTCTGGAAAAATATTCCTGGATTTCAGGGGGCTGGACTAGATAGTCCTCGTGGTCAAATGATAGATAACACACCTGATGAAATGGGCCCCAATCCATGAAAGCTTACAGTCTTCCCCCCAAAAGCTGTTTTGTTTCAAAACTCCAACAAGAGGGTTTGTGGTTCCTGCAATGATCTAATACAGCTTACCCAGACACATGATTCAAATTGTGAGCACTCCACGTGATGCATTGAGACAGGAGAGGAACCAAAACTGAGAAAGGAGACAGTGGAGATAAAGGAGAAGCATGCTTGCAGCCAGTTAGACTTCACCGCAACCTTTTCAGAACTGTACGCTGCTAAAAACGTCAGATCAAAACCATTTTTAAAAAAACCGTTTTGAGTTTTCAAGAAGTGTCTGTGCAGATTTGCATAGCTGCAGACACCAAGGTGTGAGGCACTGTGTTGAACCACTAAATGGTGAGACCAGGAAACAACAGAACAAACGCCAACTCTGTATCCTGGTACCTATCCTTAGGCAGCTCAAACTGACTCTGGAAAAGGGTGAATGGATGATCACCAGCCCCGTGGCAGCCAAACAGAAAAGGTTGCCTAGCCACTCATTATTGCTTCTCAGTGTCTAAGAATAATTCGTTGGGTTGCTGTAAAAAGCTCTGCAGAGGCCGGCTGACTGTGAATCAGATATGGAATCGTAAGCATTGGGGGAAACCAGCTTTGCATATATCAGTCATATAGGCCTGGCTCTGAAATGGCAGATTCCCCTTCTGTGCAAATGTGAATGGCATTAAAGGTAAAGGACTCCTGACCATTAGGTCCAGTCGTGACTGACTCTGGGGTTGCGGCGCTCATCTCGCTTTATTGGCCGAGGGAGCCGGCGTACAGCTTCCGGGTCATGTGGCCAGCATGACTAAGCCACTTCTGGCGAACCAGAGCAGCGCACAGAAACGCCGTTTACCTTCCCGCCGGAGCGGTACCTATTTATCTACTTGCACTTTGAGGTGCTTTCAAACTGCTAGGTTGGCAGGAGCAGGGACAGAGCAACGGGAGCTCACCCTGTCGCGGGGATTCGAACCACTGACCTTCTGATCGGCAAGTCCTAAGCTCTGTGGTTTAACCCACAGCGCCACCTGCGTCCCTGTGAATGGCATTAGAGACCTCTTAAGTACCGGACCTGCTGGTGTGGATGTTTGTAGACAAGAAGAAGCTGTTCCTGGAGTGAAGGGAAAGTGTGAGAATATAGAGTGCCTTCTGCAAGCATAGAGTAATAGGATCATAGGATCTTAGAGCTGGAAGGGACCCGAGGGTCATCTAGTCCAACCCCCTGCAATGCAGGAATCTCAGCTAAAGCATCCATGACAGATGTCCATCCAACCTCTGCTTAAAAGCCCCCAAGGGGGAGAAAATACCATCATTATTAGAATGGCAAAGTAAACTCTGTGAGTTTGTGGAAATGGCAAAAATGACGGCAACTATTAGAGGCCATTCAAATCAGAGAATAATTAAAGAGTGGGAGGGAGTGAAGGAATACAGTATATGCAAAAATATGGTTCTGGAACTGGAATATTAATAGATAACGTGTAAAACGTGCAGGGGTAAGCAAAGAAATAATAAAAGAATCAGCTGAACAATGATTAAATTATAACAACACAACAAGACGGAAGAAGTAAAAATAAAATAAAATAAGATCACACATGGGTGAAGGGGAACGGGGGAGGGTATAGGGGAATTTGAAATATTATTTATAATACAAAAGCTTTAATATAAAATTTCTAACTGTGTTGTATTTGTATACAGCAAAGAGAAATTTAGAGTAATTAGGTATATTTTAATTTACCGTAGTTAATTATGTAATAGGTTTAAGTTAGAAAATGAATATGGATGTTGAATTTGATGTTTGTAATTTTTCTTTTTTTGGTTTTGGAAATAAAAGATAATAATAAAAAAAAACCAAGGAAGGAGAATCCACCACCTCTTATTCCACTGCCAAACAGCTCTTGCTGTCAGAAAGTTTTTCCAAGTGTTAAGTTGAAATGTCCTTTCATGTAGCTTGAAGCCATTGGTTTGAGTCCTACCTTCCAGAGCAGGAGAAGACAAGCAAAGAGAACATTTTCCACCATCACCATCCAGTTCCTTCCATGTCTTTGTGACTGGTTCCCCGTCTAGACTGGTGACCCAGCTGTCATTGCAAATCTCCCAGACCACAATCTTTGAAGAGGATCAGTGTTTGTGAGAGATTCTCCACCCATTTCCTCCCTCTGGGCTGGGTTCTGCTGCGTTATGTGGCTTGGCTTGATCTCAATTTTGGTTTTCACATCATGAGTTTTAAGTAAAGATATCCTTTTTGTTTACTGACTAAAACATTTATATCCCACCTCTCGAGGTGTGGCCAAGGCACAGTCCGACGCCCTCCTTTGGTAATCCTCATAGAACTCTAGCCCAATGTTTGCCATTAATTTGTTTCTTAATTAATTTTAGAATGAATTGATTTTAGAATGCTGTGTTACTTTTATTGTTGTTAGCCGCTCTGAGCCTGGCTTTGGCTGGGGAGGGCGGGATATAAATAAATTATTATTATTATTATTATTATTATTATTATTATGTGTTTAATGCAGAAATGGAGCACGTGGAACAAAGGAATTGCAACCCCTTTAAAATAAGCAGTAAAGGTAAAGGGGCCCCTGACTGTTAAGTCCAGTCGTGGATGACTCTGGAGTTGCGGCGCTCATCTCGCTCTATAGGCCGAGGGAGCCGGTGTTTGTCCACAGACAGCTTCTGGGTCATGTGGCCAGCATGACTAAGCCGCTTCTGGCGAACCAGAGCAGCGCACGGAAACGCCGTTTACCTTCCTGCCGGAGCGGTACCTATTTATCTACTTGCACTTTGACATGCTTTTGAACTGCTAGGTTGGCAAGAGCAGGGACCAAGCAACGGGAGCTCACCTTGTTGTGGGGATTTGAACTGCCAACCTTCTGATCGGCAATATAAATGTTTTGAGAGGCCTTTTAGAGTCATGAGGCCATTCATACCACTGAACAGGCCCTCGCTCTGGTGTGCGTGTTTGTGTGTAGGTACTTGTGTAGTCAAAAATAGACAAATCTCAGACTATTCAAGCTGACCAGACTATTCAAGCTGGTACTTCTCGCACATAGAGAGAAGGGAAGCTGGTCCCTGGGGGTGCCTGCTAAGCTCTACTCATCTCGCTGCCTCCTTATTTATCAACATCAGATCGGGGGTAGCACTGATGGGTGACCCATTTCAGTTTCTTTGAAGAAGAAGTGTGTTTTGGATTGCAGGTGCGACAGATTTTAGGCACCTGTTGTCGAAGGAACTTTGCTAATTTTACTAGGTCCTTCAGTGAATCCACACTGCAACTGTGTCTAATGCTCGACGGGAGCTGTAGACATTTAAGGCACAATCCTTGAATGGAATTAGAGTGATTCAAGACAAAAATGGTATCTTATGTGAAATGATTTGGGGGGCTTTGACAGATAAAAAGGTTACCTCATCTGAAATGATTTGGGAGGCTCTTGCTGTGTTAGAGAAGAAACAGGAAGGGAGGGCAAAAAGTATTGTATGTGGTGGCAATGTAAAATTATTAAAAAGGCCTGGGAAAAGACATATAAAAACCCGAAGAGAATGTGGAAAATGATTGTTGTTAAAAAAAATTGAAGTGATATTGAGAGGTACAGGATTTGATGGCCTTATAGAAGGAAAGACTTGGCACCTGTATTTGAGAGTGGATGCCAGGCCAAAACCAGCCCATCTCTCCAGAACGAAGAAGTCACCAGCAAAGAAGAAGAAGAAGAAGAAGATTGGCAAAACAAAATACTGAACTATGCAGGACATATTAAATCATTTGAAATCCAAGAAAGAAAAAGGACATGGATTTATTTATTTTTTAAAAAAGGAGAAATGTTGAATGCATATTATGTAAGCTTTGTGTATAGGTTTCTACATTAGTTGAACTTCTAGAAGTCTTTGTAACAATAGGAACAAGGTTTTAAAATTGGATTATTAAGAATATAAGATCATATGGCCCTGCATGAACAAGTATAAAATAATGGATCCAGGAGCGGGTGGGGAGTGGAGGGAAGTCAATTAAGACTTATGGTTTAAATATTTGATTGTAATGGGTTTTTGTTGTTGTTGTTTGTTTTTGGTTATCATAAAATTAATAAATTGTATCAAAAAGAAGAAGAAGAAGAAAGAACACCAGACATGCTACCATCACGACAAAGGTCCCAGCAGAAAACTTCACCAGCAGAGCTGTTTTGCCAGGGAGCAGGCTGCGGGAACCGGTCCGTTTGGGCAAATGGGGCACTGCCCCCCAACCTCAGCCAGCCCCTACCTGCCTGCCTCCTTTCTTACATTCAATCAATCCAAGGTGTGGCCCCGACTGTCAGCTTCCTCTTCCTTAGTGTCAGTGTTGTGCTGGCAGAACTCAGCAGGGAGGATGACAAGGACAAAGCTGGAATTAGTTAGCTCAGACTGTCATTGACTCTGGCTCCACCTACTGTTGACCGCTCTGCCTTCTACCCAACCAGTCCCATCGCCCCCCTCACTTGGCAGAGCAACTGGAACAGGACAAACTCAGAGGCAGGATGTGGCTGGCATGGGAGCACTGCTCCCAAGGAAGTATAACCTAAATGGGGTGAGCAAGACAATTGGGAAGCTGGGATACTGGAGTTGGGTGTGTTTGTTAGGATCTCAGGAAGCTTCTGCATGAACCTAGCATAAGAAGCGGTGTTTCTTTGCATTTGCATACTGTGGCGTTTGCCTCCTAGGATGGGTCATAAGGAAAGGGTTAAAATAGGTGCGATGTGATTGGCCAGTGAGAATACAAGGGGGGAATAAAAGTTAGAGTGGGAGGTTTTGAAAGTTAGTTGAGTTGAGTAGAGAGTTGAGTTGAGTAGAGAGTTGAGGTTTGGGAGTTGAAGAAGGAAGAGGGAGGTTTAGGTGTGGGTTGGTAGAGTTGTATTGTGAGAGAGTGAGAGGAATTGTTAGGGAGAGTCAGATAGATAGTTGGAATAATCAGTTTGAAGTTGTTAGGAACTAAGATTAAGAAACTGTCAAGAAAAACTAACTGAAACCATAAGCTTGTTCCTGCATTTAAAAATAAACTCGATTATTTGTTTATGTTAACAACTGACTGGACTCGGTGTGTCCCCGTGAGATACAGGGTGGTGGCAGTGGAAAAAGCAATCGCAGTGGCGGCACAGGGTCAATAGACCGTCAAACATCCGGGGGCCCTGTGTGTGATCGCCACACATACCAATACCCCCCCCACACACACTTTCCTTATTGAAAAAAAAGAACCTCAAGGCAGAAAACAGCATAGTTTAATAGTTTTAAAGCACTAGTTCAGGGGTCAGCAAACTTTTTCAGCAGGGGGCCAGTCCACTGTCCCTCAGACCTTGTGGGGGCCGGACTATATTTTTTTTGGAAAAATAAATTCCTATGCCCCACAAATACCCCAGAGATGCATTTTAAATAAAAGCACAATTCTACTCATGTAAAAACACCAGGCAGGCCCCACAAATAACCCAGAGATGCATTTTAAATAAAAGGACACATTCTACTCATGTAAAAACACACTGATTCCCGGACCGTCCGCGGGTCGGATTGAGAAGGCAATTGGGCCGGATCCGGCCCCCGGGCCTTAGTTTGCCTACCCATGCACTAGTCAGAGAAACGTTGAAACCAAAACAAACAAACAAAAAACCCCACAAAAATAAACCAGCAGCAGGAGGAAACATTATTCTAAACCAGCAGATTAGAACCGATACAAAAACCCCAACCATATGCAAACCAAAAGTCTTCTTTAAAAGGAAGTTTAAAAAACAAACACATTCCTGCTACAATATTATTACCTTTAGTTTCTGCGGTTCCTAGGTTGCAAAATTCTAATTATTGTTGGCTACAGTTGCTCACCCTTTATTCACGGGCGCTGTCTCCTGTTGGTGTCCCTTTAACAACAACTCCAGGCCCTTCCAGGTGACCTGTTCTTAAAGTATCCTGATTGGTTTTCAGGGAGATTAGATGATGCTGGCTGCTTCATGAGCATATATTCCGGTTTGTTTGTAGGGGGGATTGGATGATGTTGTGCCAAAGCAAGTGTCATTCCACACTTTCCACTGCACCCCCCCCCATTTCCTTAGTGCAAAAAGTCTGATCTGTGAGGGAAGCAGGTTTGTTGCACAAGACTTCCCAATCAGTTATAGTTCTGCAACCTGAACGTGCTGGTAAGTGACTGAATCTCACCTGCGCAAAATAGGCCGTCTAGAAGTGCCCCCAGCCTGCAGTCACAAGCAGTGTTTATGCTTACCCCCTGCTCACCCATCCCTTTCTGCGTCTCAGGCTTCTGTTAAAGGCATAGGTGCAAAGGCCAGCTCAAGCCATCTTGCTGTCTGACATGAAGGACAAGATTTTGCTAAGACGAAGGACAAGCTAAGCCACCCCCCAATCCATGCACAGAAGGTGACTGAACTGGTGCTGGACTTGTCCTTCAACCCTACGGATGGACAGCATCCACTGTGTTTAAGGGCAGCAGGCAGCTTTTTAGGGTACTGGACAGGGCACCTGGGACATAACTCTAACACCTTGCTATTCCCTATTTCTTTTCCCCGTCAGATGCCTGTGGGGCTGATATTGCCACATTGCCACATAGTAGTGCTGGGATGGCCGGGGGGTGGGGAGCGGAAGTGACTCCTGGCCCTTTAATAGTAATAGAGCAGCAGGGGTAGGCTGTGGCCATGCAAGCTATGCCAGTTGAAGCAACCTATTCCACACCTGCCCACTTTAAGGAAGGCATTCCTGCAAAGGAGAAAGCCATGCCTGTTGTTATGTACTGAATTTGGATCCTAGAACAATAGGCAGGTAGGATCCTAGAAGGCAGCAACCTGATTGGTCTGCAGGAGCCACCCAATCCGGCTCCAGGAAGAAGTGAATCAGCAACCTGATTGGCCTGCAGGAGCAGCCCAATCAGGCTCCAGGAGGAAGTGAATCTGCAACCTGACTGGCCTGCAGGAACAGTCCAATCAGGCTCCAGAAGGGGAGTTGAATCAGCCAATCACACGGGACCCATTGTGTAAATAATGTACAGTCATACCTCGGGTTACAGACACTTCAGATTACTTTTTTTGGGTTACAGACCGCCGAAACCCAGAAGTACCAGAATGGGTTACTTCCGGGTTTTGGCAGTCGCGCATGCGCAGAAGCGCTAAATCGTACTTTGTGCATGTGCAGAAACACTGAATTGCAACCCGCGCATAAGCAGACGCGCCGCTGTGGGTTGCGAACGCTGCAGGCTACGAACGTGCATCCTGCACGGATCACGTTCTCAACCTGAGTGTCCACTGTATATATAGCCAGAGGTTTGGGAGGAAAGCACTCACTCACTGTTCACCATGAGCTGAAATAAAGAGCATGAAATCAACACTCAACTCCGAGTATATTTCACCTGTCTTTTTTCTCGACTAGTGCTGGTGGCATGGGTAATGCGAGGGCTTGGCATGCAAGCCAAATCCGCCGATGCCATTGCAAACACAGCCTTTCCTTGAGTAATAGAAATGACTGTTTAAGCACAGATAGGTGTGGCTATCTTTCAATAAGCAAATCTCCATGGACAAAGGGAAGCCCACACTCCAGAATGTTTAGTCAAACCAAGTGGAAACATTGCCAATTGTTCTCTCGGTAGCTCGGTAGCAAAAGGCCCCCTGCAATGAACGTGGCGGCTTTGAAGGATGCCTGGTGGACTATGCGCAGCAAGTGAGCAACCAGTGTCCAGTACTCTGCAAAGTGCTTAGAACGGAAGGGCACCTTTGATACATTATGCACCTCGGTGGAAACTCCCACAGTCGTGTCTGTGCTGAGCTTTGTCACCGCGCTGCCCTAGTGCTTGGGCTGCTGTCGGAAATGAGACTGGCGAAGCTTTCCCCATCCCTTTAACTCTATGGCGGTTCCCTCATTGTGAGAAGCAAAGCTACAGGGAACCAGGCAGAGGGCCTTCTCGGTAGTGGCGCCCACCCTGTGGAACGCCCTCCCATCTGATGTCAAAACGATAACTACCTGACATTCAGAAGACATCTTAAGGCAGCCCTGTTCAGGGAAGTTTTTAATCTGTGATATTTTAATGTATTTTTGGTTTCTATGGAAGCCGTCCAGAGTGGCTGGGGAAACCCAGCCAGATGGGTGGGGTACAAATAATAAATTATTATTATTATTATTATGCCAGCAGAACAGGAAGGCGCCCAGTCACACCATCAGGTCCTTCTGGTTCTACATGATACTGATTAGCAGTGGCTCTCCAGGGCTTCAGATACGAGATGCTCCCAGCCAGTGCTGGATTTATGTATAAGCTAAACAAGCTATAGCTTAGGGCCCCACTCTCTTGGGGGCCCCAAAAAAATCAAAGGGAAAAAAAACTGGATCTACATTTCCAAAGTATAAGATAAAAAACAAATAAAATAAAACCTACATACAGCAACAGGGTTTTGTGTTGTGTAGGCTTCTATGATGTAAGTAATGGGCTGCACCTGCTAGCCTGCTCCCTAGAATATCACTGGTTTGCTCATTTCATTTCTATATATAGGGTAAGGGACGCGGGTGGCGCTGTGGGTTAAACCACAGAGCCTAGGACTTGCCGATCAGAAGGTCGGCGGTTCGAATCCCCGCGATGGGGTGAGCTCCTATTGCTCGGTCCCGGCTCCTGCCAACCTAGCAGTTCAAAAGCACATCAAAGTGCAAGTAGATAAATAGGTACGCTCTGGCGGGAAAGTAAACAGCGTTTCCGTGCGCTGCTCTGGTTCGCCAGAAGCGCCTTAGTCATGCTGGCCACATGACCCGGAAGCTGTACGCCAGCTCCCTCGGCCACTAAAGCGAGATGAGCGCCGCAACCCCAGAGTTGGTCACAACTGGACCTAATGGTCAGGGCCCCCTTTACCTTATATATAGGGTGCCTACATTTTAAGTAAGAGCTTAATAATTATTTCACTCTTAATATACTTCTTCTTAATTGTATTTCAGTTCAACAATTACTTTTATAAAATACATTTTTTTTAAATGTGCAAATGGCTTTAGATACCTATTAGGTCCATAAATTACCATATAGCATATATTCAGCACAAAAAACTGCGACAATTTGTTGTTGAAAAGGACAGCTGGACATATAAAGGGCCCCATTGCCTTCAGTAGCTTAGGGCCTCATCAAACCTATATCTGCCCCTGCTCCCAACCCTACTTGCAGAAGCCATTGGGTGGAACTGGGGCGAATTTATGGCACAGTTACAGGTTAGAGGGGCAACCAACTCCAAAGACTGTAAAATCTTTGCTGGCTTGCAAAAATCACAGTACTTTGGGGTGGGGGGGGGCATGTAGTACTTTTTGATGGGGCTAAGGACTAAGAGCTAGTACAGATAGCAAAAATGTACAAAACCGGGTCAAATACATGTTGGAAATGTAAAGAAAAAGAAGGGACTTTTTATCATATGTGGTGGGAATGTAGAGAAGTTAAATATTTTTGGGAAATGATATATAATGAACTGAAAAAAATGTTTAAAATGACATTTGTAAAAAAACAACAACCAGAAGCATTTCTGTTAGGGATTGCAGGACAAGACTTGCCAAGAAAAACAAGGAACCTATTTATGTATGCTACAACAGCGGCAAGGGTCTTGATAGCACATGGATGGAAGAAAGAGGAAATCCCATCGAAAGAACAGTGGCAAGAAAAATTGATGAGCTACGCAGAGCTGGCTAAATTGACATACAAATTGCGGGACAAGGACAACTGTGACTTTGAGGAAGAATGGGAGCGTTTTACAATTTATCTAAAAAGACAACAAAATGAATTGGGCTCCTTGGCAGGTTTTGAATAAATATACACAAATTTATTAGTTGATAATATGGTAGATAGATAATGTAAGGATATGTATACTTTTATAACATGCAGAAAATAATATGTGCTGAGAAATCACAAAGAGGAGCTGTGGGAAGTCTTGGGGGGAGGGGAAAAATAATGAATATGATATGTTTTGATGATTTGTTATTTTGAAATTGTGAATAATTTAAAAAAATAGAAAAGAAAAGAAAACAAGAGCTAGAATGACCTATGCAATGGTACTACGTGATGGTGAGGCATTCTTACCAGGAGCTTTCCAGGTGGCAGTGGGGGAGAAGGGATCTTTTCTCCCAGCAATGACCCTGGGATTGATGTCCCATCATCACATACTTTTCTTAGGAGGCATTCTGGCTCTTATTCTCAAAGCACTTGGCAGCCAGGTTCAACATGGTTTCTCCTTTTTTGTCTATTTTTCTTTCTCCCGGTTCCAGTTGTTCTTTAATTAGCTGTCTTCTTGGCTGCGACTCTGCTCAAAATTTGGAATATACAGGAAATGAATGCTGGAAGGTAGAGGTGTGTTCCCATTTAGCATGTGAAATTGCAGCAAACATTGCCTTTGCCAGTGTGAGGTTGCTGAGCCACAAACATGAACAAAGGATGACTCAGAATCCTATTTTTAGTTGGCTTGATGAATTGCTGAGTTGCCCTTCTGAAGGTGGTGCTCTCATGATTACTCAATGAGTCGGTTTGGGTGATCCCATCTTGGCTCAATAAGCTGAGATATGCACCAGAGTTTCACCTCTGTGTGCATCCCCTTCCCATTTCTCTTCTCTGTGAATTGCGATGAAACCATAGTTCAACTAACCATAGTTTCCCATTGCATCCTAAGCAGGGAGTAATGATGGTTGCTCAGTTTAGAACAGGCACCCCCAAACTCAGCCCTCCAGATGTTTTGGGACTACAATTCCCATCATCCCATGGTCCTGTTAGCTAGGGATGATGGGAGTTGTAGTCCCAAAACATCTGGAGGGCCGAGTTTGGGGATGGCTGGTTTAGAATGTTGTAAAAATATTTAATGAAAATGCTTCAGATGTGCCCAGGTATTTATAACTACAGCATGAGGGAATAATAGAATCAAAGAGTTGTAGAGTTGGAAGGGTCATGCAGGTATCTCAACTAGATCATACATGATAGATGACCATCCAATCTCTGCTCAAAAAACCTCCAATGAAGTACAATCCACCATCTCTCTGGGCAACTAACACCCCTGCTGTCACAAAGTTCTTCCTGATGTTTAGTCGCAATCTCCTTTCTTTCTCGTAACTTCAATCCATTGGTTTGGGTCTTAGCCTTTGGGAAAGGAGAAAATGCAATGTGTTATTTTGTGAACTTCGTTTTTCTACAGAAAGGTAATTCTGTTTTAGCGAATATCTATCATAAGAGTTTTGGGTTGAAAAGGGGCCTTGGTGGCCGCCTATTTATTTATTTAAGACGTTTATAACTTGCTCTTAATTAAATATAATCACAGAGCATGGTACATCATAACAAACTTGATACAAATTCAAAACAATATAACTTTAAAACAGCAAACGAAAAAAACAAGTTAAGTCTAGAGTGGGCAGACATGTTGACCTCCCACCAATTAACCTAAATAAGGACAATATTAACTGGCGCTGGAAACCCATCAGGGTTGGGAGTTGTTGAACCTGAGGAGGGAGGGCATCCCATGATTTGGGCACAAGTATTGAGAAAGCCCTCTCAGACTGATGTGTTCAAGGGCCCTGTCAAAACAGGACCTATAAAGCAGTATGTGGCTGATACTTGACATTTTCATTCTTCTCTAGGTTAATAGCTCATTTCATTAAAGTACATTCTATGTTTCACAACACGTTTTTAAATATTTGATTTGTCTGCCCACAACTGCTTTTGTGTTTATCTATGCTGCTGGCAAATAGAAGGGGAAGAAATGGAGGCAGTAAGAGATTTTACTTTCTTGGGCTCCATGATCACTGCAGATGGTGACAGCAGTCACAAAATTAAAAGACGCCTGCTTCTTGGGAGAAAAGCAATGACAAATCTAGACAGCATCTTAAAAAGCAGAGACATCACCTTGCCAACAAAGGCTTGTATAGTTAAAGCTATGGTTTCCCCAGTAGTAATGTATGGAAGTGAGAGCTGGACCATAAAGAAGGCTGATCACCAAAGAATTGATGCTTTTGAATTATGGTGCTGGAGGAGACTCTTGAGAGTCCTATGGACTGCAAGAAGATCAAACCTATCCATTCTGAAGGAAATCAGCCCTGAGTGCTCACTGGAAGGACAGATCGTGAAGCTGAGGCTCCAATACTTTGGCTACCTCATGAGAAGAGAAGACTCAATGGAAAAGACCCTGATGTTGGGAAAGATGGAGGGCAGAAGGGGAAGGGGACGACAGAGGACGAGATGGTTGGATAGTGTTCTCGAAGCTACCAGCATGAGTTTGACCAAACTGCGGGAGGCAGTGGAAGACAGGAGGGCCTGGTGTGCTCTGGTCCTGGGGGTCACGAAGAGCTGGACATGACTAAATGACTAAACAACAACAACAAATGTGATTGCAACTGTGACTCTCTGCACACACCGAACCCAGTGAGAATTACTTCTGAGTAGACATGTGGAGGTTTGAACTGCAAACCTGCTGCATTCAGTTTGTGATGTGAATCAGAACGGTGTCTCCCCTCCCCGCAACTAAATGAATCACCACCTCCTTACATGTGCTGCTTTGCATTTCTTGGTCTGCAGCAAGGGTGGGGAACTTTTGGCTCTGCAGATGTTGCTGAACTATAATAATAATAATAATTTATTATTTATACCTCGCCCATCTGGCTCGCCCATCTGGCCTCGCCCACTCTGGGTGGCTCCCAATCAAGTGTTTAAAACAGTACAGTGTTAAATATTAAAAACTTCCCTGAACAGGGCCGCCTTCAGATGTCTTTTAAAGATAGGATAGCTGCTTATTTCCTTCACATCTGAAGGGAGGGTGTTCACAGGCGGGCACCACTACCGAGAAAGCCCTCTGTCTGGTTCCCTGTAACCTCACTTCTCGCAATGAGGTAACTGCCAGAAGGCCCTCGGCGCTGGATCTCAGTGTCCGGGCTGAACAATGGGGGTGGAGACGCTCCTTCAGGTATTCAGGACCGAGGCCGTTTAGGGCTTTAAAGGTCAGCACCAACACTTTGAATTGTGCTCGGAAACGTACTGGGAGCCAATGCAGATCTCTCAGAACCGGTGTTATGTGGTCCCAGCAGCCACTCCCAGTCACCAGTCTAGCTGCCGCATTCTGGATTAATTGCAGTTTCCGGGTCACCTTCAAAGGTAGCCCCATGTAGAGCGCGTTGCAGTAGTTCAAGCGGGAGATAACTAGAGCATGCACCACTCTGGCGAGACAGTCTGCAGGCAGGTAGGGTCTCAGCCTGTGTACCAGGTGGAGTTGGTAGACAGCTGCCCTGGACACAGAATTAACCTGTGCCTCCATGGACAGCTGTGAGTCCAAAATGACTCCCAGGCTGCGCACCTGGTCCTTCAGGGGCACAGTTACCCCATTCAGGACCAGGGAATCCCCCACACCTGCCCACCCCCTGTCCCCCCAAAACAGTACTTCTGTCTTGTCAGGATTCAACCTCAATCTACAACTCTCAGCAGCCCCAGCAAGCATGACCAATAACCAGGGATGATGGAAGTTGTAGTTCAGTAGAGAGCCAGATGTTCACTTCCCTTGGTCTGCAGAAACTGGCAGGAAAAGCTTCTCATGGCACAGAGGTAAGTAAGCTACTCTTATGGCATAGCTGCAGTGCCTGGTTGGAAAGTTGGCAATCCTAGAAGCACAGGAGGATATGCCTGGCTCCTGTGACTGTTTGCAAAGGATATTTCAGTAATGTGGAATGGGAACTTTATCCCATGTCAGTGTCATAATTTGCCTACATACATTTATTGCAGCTAAGGTTCCAAAGGCCATGTATACGTCACGGCTAATGGCAAAGTCTTTCTTGCCAACTGTTGAAACGCACAGGTACACAATGGTTTCTCAATATTTAAAGACCAGTCACGGAAGATCCGTTTCCTTCTGGAGCAGAATGGAGTTTGACTTTTGTGTTGCAACTCAGCCGCGGCACAAAACATTGACATTTCAGTTATTCTTTTAAGCTCCTCCAGAACTTCCTCCTTGGCTACCGATTGTGCACAGAAACCAAATTGGCTTGTCAGGCTCTGTTGGAAAGACTTGACATGTCAGCTCAAGGATGTAATCTGGAATCCACGTCAGCCAGGGCACTATCTTGTCTAGGGCTGTAGCAAGTGATCTACATCGCTGAAGTCAGCACACTGGCCTTGTATCCTGGTCAGCCAGAGATTTTAGGAATCATTTTGCAACAGAGTTAGTATGCCTTTTATGTTCTCTCTTTATTTCCTGCAACACTTCCTTCCTTTCCATTTTCTACAAAGCCACAGAAAGTGTCCCTCTTGGCTTTTCAATAATCAGGTCCAGTTTTTCAAGGAAAACCTTTGTTATTGTAGATCAGGATCCCATTGTACAAGGCCTCTCACCACCACTAGGTGGTGCAAGTCCTCAAGAAACAGACACCCCCCCCCCCGTTTTCTTTCTAATTCCAGGATAAAAGCAGAAAATAAATATGCAGCGTGCCCAGCGAATATCTCCAGAATGTGGTTGTTCCCATTTTGCTTTTCCATTTGTTGTTTTCTTGTGGGGAAAAGGCAGCATGAGACTATAGGTGGACCGGAGGCTTTGGATTTGGGCATAGAAAGAGGTCTTACGAATACTGATGCCCCAGGCAACACTCAGCTTCTGCCCACACCCTTATACACCAGCCTGGAAACTTTCCTCCTTCATAAAGTGACCTTGTGACTTGCTCAATCTTGTGAGGGCCTCCTCCATCCATGGAAGGTCTATGCCAGGGGTCAGCAAACTTTTTCAGCAGGAGGCCGGTCCACTGTCCCTCAGACCTTGTGGGGGGCCAGACTATATATATATATATATATTAAAAAATGAATGAATTCCTATGGCCCACAAATAACCCAGAGATTCATTTTAAATAAAAGTACACATTCTACTCATGTAAAAACACACAGATACCCAGACCGTCCGCAGGCCAGATGATGATGATGATGATTATTTTATTTATACCCCGCCCATCTGGGTGGGTCTCCCCAGCCACTCTGGGCAGCTTCCAACAAAACACTAAAATACAATAACCTATTAAACATTAAAAGCTTCCCTAAACAGGGCTGCCTTCACATGTCTTCTAGATGTCAGGTAGTTGTTTATCTCTTTGACATCTGATGGGAGGGCGTTCCACAGGGCGGGTGCCACTACTGAGAAGGTCCTCCACCTGGTTCCCTGTAGCTTTGCTTCTCACAGTGAGGGAACCGCCAGAAGGCCCTCGGCGCTGGACCTCAGTGTCCTGGCAGAACGATGGAGGTGGAGACGCTCCTTCAGGTATACTGGACTGAGGCCGTTTAGGGCTTTAAAGGTCAGCACGAACACTTTGAATTGTGCTCGGAAACGTACTGGATTTAGAAGGCAATTGGGCCGGATCCGGCCCCTGGGTCTATGCTTACAGAGACAGCCATCAGCTGCCCCTTTCTGGGCTTCCTAGACTGTTTCATTCTTTTCTAAGCCTGCCAGGGACACACCATATGTCTGCACATTTAGTTTGACACTTAAGATACTTTAAACCTATATTTCAAGACACAACCCATGTGCTGAAGCCGGCTGAGATCGAATAGGCTTACGCATGCTTAGCTCTGTATTGAGTTTATAACTCGTGAGTGCGCCGTTCAAAGTGTCCAATCAGGAAGGAAGCTCACTGGGTGACTCTGAGTCAAGGGCTGCAGCTTCCTCATCTCACTATGATGGATTTAACAGGTCACTCCTGCCACCTGCTGCAATGAAACGGTATGTCTGGCATATTCACTGTGCAGCTTTGTCTACAAAGTTGAAGTTTCTGCAAGTTTCTCAGCCCTTCTTGTCCTTGGGATTTGACAGCAAAGGTACCTTGTTTTGGGGAT